AACATAACTAATTCCAAAAAACTAATCTCATTAAAAATTAAACTATCTTACTAAAAGAATAATCAACTAAGAATCCTACAAAAATAAAATATTGCACTATAAAAAACTAAATTAAACATAATTTACAATTAAACAAATAATATATATACAATTTTAATATATAATTACAAAACATACAATTACATTAAACAAAATTATTATAAAAAAACAAATATTTAACTAATCAAAAAAATATATTACATTAGATTTCCCTATAACTAAACTTAAATTACTATAATTAATTATATTCGCATATATAATTAAATGTAATTATATTCGCATATATACTTATATTCGTATATATAAATAAAAATATAATTCATAATTAAACAGTTATAATAAAGCAAACTAAATTAAATTTCATTAATTACTAAATTATTTGTTAACATAACTAATTCAAAAAAACTACTCTAATTAAAAACTAAACTAACTTACTAAAAAAAATAATCAACTAAGAATCATAAAATAATATAATGACCAAAAAAAAGATAAAAATAAAAATAAAAAAACATAATTAAACGAAAAAAAAAAAAGCAGAACGGGCAAGATACCCGTTTCGGCTTGGTTCGAACCGGGCAATATACCCGTCCTGGTTGAACCAAGGACGGGCAAGGAATGCGTTCAAGCCTTAACCGGAACGCGTGGGTCGCTCGTCCGGGCGTGAAGCAAACGCGTGACTGGCTCGTCCGGGCCGGAAGGCGGACGCGTTCCTTGCGCGTTTTTGGTTCAATCGGGACACGTATATACCCGGTTCAGACGCGCAATATACGCGTTTTTCTTTAAAATTGAACGGGTATATTGCTTGTTTTTTGTTCAACCGGAACGTGTATATTGCTCGGTTCGGTCCGATTTTTCAGTTTTTTTATTTTACCTCTGAGTAACTCATTTCTTTCTCTCTCTACTTTGGAAAAAATGACAAGGATAAAATGGGAAAAATTAAAAGATAGTGGCTTCAAGTAATAAAGTATGTGGCTGCAAAAATCCATCGCTTAAATGTAAACCAAATAAAAGAATTGTATTCTGTGAGTACTCAAATGAACAATAATAGAATCAGTTATTGTACATATGTCCCAATAATACTGAGTTTTGCACCATAAGTTCAGATTTAGTCATTTCGATTTGATGTGCTTTTGTATTTTTGCTTCTTGTTGTTGCATATCGGACATGATTATACAGAATGAAAGATGACAGCGACCAGAAGACTACTTTGAAGAGCATTCCCACTAAAGATCGCAGGAGGATAATAGGTTTTGGATTTTTCTCTTCTGGTACTGTGTTCGGTTCTACTTATAATTTACATTCGATGACTGCGGATATGCATTTAACTTCTTATTTAACTAAGAAACAAACTCATATTTTCCGTCTCAACTAGATTTTTAGAATACCGCGTACTTCCTCTGTCTCAAAATTATTATTCAGTTTGAGATTTAATTTTTAGTACAATTTGAACTAGAAATGAACATTCAAATTGGACAATAATTATAAAAAAAAGAGAGTATTATATTATTTCCCGAATATACTAATTAATGATAAAATTGACCTAATATTGTTCACTATTACTTTCACGTTTTTTAATTTGTTGTTTATACTTTTAAAATATTCCCACGATCACCATCATTAGAATTTGGCACTCCCAAACATCTCGTTTGCTGTAATAAAAATGACATAAAAATTTGACAATTACTTTGTGATGAAATTTATAGTTTATTGTTATATTAGTATTCTCAAATTTTTTATAGCATGCGGTTTGTGGTTGCTACTCTTAACGGAGGAATGGATTAATTTCATAGTGTATAGGAGGTAAGAACGTTGAAAGTCTTCATTACAATGTACTGATAAATTAATTAAGAAACAAAATTCACTTAATCACTTTAGTTGCTCACTTATTATACTCTGTCTCGTGTAAAGGATTTGTTTTGTTGAATAAAAAATAACTAATAATATGGGAGAAATGAAGTTACTATTTCTAATTTTAACTTGTTATACTTTTTCCGTCCCAAAATTATTATCCAGTTTAAATTTTTTACTTTTAATATTATTTAAATTAAATATATAAATTCAAACTAGACAATAATTTTGAGACAGCACGTTCGAGACAGAAAAATAATGCTTTGTTAATGACGAAAGAAAGAAATTTGAACAGTACAATGGTAACTATGATTTTTTAGAAGAGAGGACTGAGGAGTGTCTCCAATGGGGTACAATAACTTGGAACAGTCCAATAACTATAGCTTGAGAGATTTGACTGGTTGTAAGATTCTTTTCACACACTGCAAATTGCAAAAGGTTATCGTTGCTGAAGGGAATCAACAACACTAGATTCTATTTGTCAAAAAAGATGCACATATAAATTAGGGCAAACAACTGAAGAACCTCCATTCATGTGCGGACTTATTTATCAATCATTGTCAGTTTGTCACACCTCATCAAAATAACACAAAGTACTCAAGTACTGCAATAATGCATTTGCCTAGCTAATATGGTGTCTACAGAATAAAGTGTATGGTATATGGGTCTCAAAAATCAGTTCTCAATCATCTTTCTTTTTAGTCTTTTGCACGTCAGTTCAAATAATTTGGGGTTTGGTTATTGCATTTTACCTCTTCTTGATGTTTGCATTTCTTAATGACCAACCCAAATAAATTTTAGAGTGATCAACTCACCGCTAATTAGTCATTAATTTTTACTGATGGAGAACACACAGTAATATAAAAAAAAATTTAAAAAAAAAGAAGAAAGAAACCAAACATTGTTCCTCAAAATTGGACCTCTCTTTTCAACTAGTTTGCAATTACAAGGGCCCCAAGTTTTTATATTGATTGTGTCGACCGACACTTTTAATTTTACCATGCGGCTTGTTATAGCTTAATTTCTTCCCACAAATTTTTGGTTAATTAAAATCTTATCAACTTACTAAATTAAAAATTAACAGAAGATACATGCCACAAAAATAGTTTTTGGAGTTGTTTAAATGAAAATGAACAACGCAATAACATATAATCGGAGTATAATTTATCATTCTGCAAAATTTGTTTTCTTGTCCGACAGGTAAATCCACTCTAAAATGTGCTTATAATTAGAGATTCTATACAACCCTCTTGAATTTTCTACACTTAAATTATAAAACTCTTGAAACTTCATTTTTAGCAAAACCATAAATTTAAGAAGTTGCCGAATTTTCCCTCAAAACACTTCCATGTTCCAACCACCAACAACCTACAAACATTTTCAAAACACAAATCAAGCCTAGAAGATGCATACATAACTTTAAGAAAATTCAAAGACAACATTTTTTCTCGTAATATCTCCATCTTTTCTTTTTCCGTTTGTTGCCCATCTCTCTCAATATCAACCACGACACTATAGTAATTTCTTTCACTTTTCATCTCAATTATCTACTTCTTGTTTCACTTTTTAATTAGAATCGAAAGTGGTTGTTCGTATGGCGGAAAAAATTGGCGTTTATCCTCAAAACTTTGGGCCTATCGTCAATTCTACCCTAATGATATTCGGTTAGCCAATTTTATTTTTACTGTTTGAAATTTTTATCAATTCCGCCCAATTGGCCCAATTTCCGTTAATCTTAACGGATTTTTGTTAAATTTTAACCAAAAACACTCCTATAGTTTCAGAAAATTATAAAAATAACCCTAAAAATATAAAAATAGCAAAATAGTCCCTTTTTATTATTTTTTTCTATTTCATTTTATTTCTCTTTATTACTTTTCATAACCATCAAAATATACTATATGATCTTTAAAAAAATAATTATTTATTTTCAAAATCTATTTTTCATGTGCAACACATGTGATTTGGGTTGAGAAGTAATTTTTTCATTTTAAAATTTTAATTTTTTTTATTCGTTATTTTTTAGATTATTTTTCTTATATTACATGACTTGTATATATTGATAATAGTATAATTACTAAATTTCAATAATTAATTTACCTTTTTATTTCAGAGATTATAAAAAAATTAACATAAAGAAAATGAGGAAGAAAAAATCAAGTTGAAATAAACATAAAAACTAATACTTTATCATTCTGAACAATAATCGAAAAACTCTTTAAAAAAAATCTGCAAAGACAAGTATGAAAATAATCATTTTAGGCTAGATCAAGTAAATTTATGTTTCGTAACTCAACTATGAATTAGAGGAAGTCAAGGAGGAAAGACTTGTCTTTGCAGATTTTTTTGTTTATTGTTTAGAATGATAAAGTATTAATTTTCTTGTTTATTTCAAGTTTAGTTTTTCTTCCTCATTTTCGTTATGTTAAAGTTTTTATAATCTATGAAATAAAACGGTAAATTAATTATTAAAATTTAATAATTATTCTAGTATCAATATATACAAGTCAGGAAACATAAGAAAAAGAATCTCAAAAAAAGACAAATAAAAAAATTAAAAGTTTAAAAATTTAAAACGACAAAATTACCACTAAACCCAAATCACATGTGTTGCACATGAAAAATAGATTTTGAAAATAAATAAAGATCATACAGTATATTTTGATGGTTATGATTAGTAATAAAGAAAAATAAAATGAAATAAAAAAATGAATAAAAAGGGACTATTTTTTATTTTGATATTTTTAGGGTTATTTTTATAATTTTTCGAAATTATCGGGATATTTTTAGTTAAAAACCAACGAAAATCCGTTAAGATTAACAGAAATTGGACCAATTGGGTGGAATTGACAAAAATTTCAATTAATAAAGACAAAATTGACTAACCGAAAATCATTAGGATAAAATTGACGATGGACCCAAACTTTGGATATGAACACCAATTTTCCTTCGTATGGCATAACCATCAATGAAAATAATATTACATTTGTATGTATCAACTAATAAGTAATGATACAAGATTATACATCAAAGTAAATACTCAAAGTAATATTACATGTGTATGTATCAACTAATAAGTAATGATACAAGATTATAAATCAAAGTGAATACTCCTTCTGTCCGAAAAGTATTATTCGATTTAGATTTTTACTTTTAGTTCAATTTGTATTAGAAAAGAAAATTCAAATTGGACAATAATTTTAGGATGGAAGAAGTATTAATATGTAATGACGATGGTATCATGGTGGTACTATAGTAATGTGTCATGTATCCATCTTAAAAGTTACGAATTAAAAATCTAACAATTAGTTTCAAAATCATTTACTAAAAATAACCTTGAACTTGAAAATGATAGTACGTAGTATACATCATATGAAAGCATGGACCAACACCATCAACCGTTCATAAATTCACCCACATTCTACAAGCATTCAACCCCAGAAAATAAAATTACTCACCAAATTTGAAGATGAAATGAAATACATTATATGTTTTCCTCTTCAAAATTTCCAACTTATCCAAACAAAACGAGAAAAAAAAAAAAAGAAATTAATTACTGAATCAACTGTCATTAGGATAAAAATGCTTCTTTTTTTTCCTGTTTCTTTAACATTTATTTGAGCTAAATCCAATCAACCGTTTGGCGAGGTCAAAGTTGACACGTGTCCCTTGCTGCTGCACGTTACCGATGATAGACAGTGAACCAGAAGTCGGAGCGAAAGCCAAGCAGTATTTCCCCATTGAATCCACCGGGATGAGGTAATTTTCCGGCTTCAACGACAGCGCCTTCCCGCTGGCGAACAAAAACGACACCGTCGGAACCTTCACCGACGTCATCGACGAAAAATCGTAACAAGTATCAAACAAGGCGAACCCACCCGACGAAGGCAGATTCGGAGCCAATCTCTTGAAGGCGTCGCGCAGCGCGTTGTACGCCTGAGTCTGCAACCGAGTCACCGCCGTGCCGGAATCAACTATGATTCCTCCGTGTCCGGTTCCGTCCACTTGGAAAACCGACTGCGGAATTGGGAGTTTCTGTCCTCCGACGCTCATTCCGACGAGGTCCACGTAGTAAAACAAGTCAACTCTGGGATTCCTGACCATGGAAGCAAAGACAGAGTCGCCCGGAGCGGCGGAATTGAACTCCAGAGTGGAGGCGGAGTTGGAGTCACGGTTCACCAAACAGTACGAAAACGACGTAGCTTTAATCTGTGCCGGCAACGACAACGGAGCACGGGCGAGTCCGATTATGCCGGCGGCGCCGACGAATAGTCCCTCGTTGTCGTGCCCGCATCCGATCGGGACGTTGCCGATGGAACGGGAGTTTCCAAACGACACCGTTTCCTTCACGAGCTGGCCGACGGTGTACGACCCATCACCGTAAGAAACCTGATAGAGACACGTGCCGCCGCTGCAGGCGGATACCTCCAGAGCATTACACTCCTGCGACGAGCAAGAAACGGTCTGGTAAGTGGAGGATTGAGTCGGGTTGTAAATCGGGTCGGTTTGCTGGTAACAATCGGTGCATGGCTGGCATTGGAGCCAGCTGACGTCACTGCCGGTGTCAATCACCATGTAGAATTGCTTAGCGGGTCGACCCACTCCTATCCGGGCGAAATACTCCCCGCTCCCTTGGCTTGTCCCGGAGGTCAAGGGGGACTCGAAATCCTCGGGTCGGATATCCGCCGGAACGGGTTTGAGGTCCGATTGAGTATACTTGGACAGCTTGAACTGGAGCTTGGAATGGATTGAATTGACCCGGGATGTATCCCGGGCGAGACGGGCGAGTGTGATGCCGGAATAGTCTTTATGGTGGGGCTTCCTTATAGAGGCTCGCGGGTGGAGTGAAAATGACAGCAACCCCGACGAGTGGTTGCCGGCGGCGGCGGCGGCGGTGGCGACGGGCTCTAATTTAGCTCCTTCCGCTTGAAGGGTCTCTTCTGTTTGTGCCAAAAATTGACGGGCTTTGTGAATTGATGCTGAAACTTCAAAAATTTGGAAACTTTTCTCATCTTCATGTAAAGACTTAACAGAAACAGAGGATGAGGCAAAAAACAGAGTACTGCTGATAAGAAGGAAGAAGAACAAGAAGAAGCCGGAGAAGGAAGCCATTTGAATCCAATCAAGGGTTGAGGTAAAATGTGAGGAATGGGAATGGTATTAATGGAGGAAGAAGAAGAGCATGGGGCCTGAAAGGTGTTCACGATAGGCTTGTTTTAAGCTAGGTGAGCAGAGAGAGAGAGAGAAAAGAGCATTTAAAGTTGAGAAAGAAACATGAATTGATCACCTGATTTTGGACGTCCCATCTTTGATGTACAAAGATAATGCATGGGTTTGGTACTACTGTTAACGGTAAATTTATCACCTTTCATTTTTTGTTTTGTATTGTTCTTTTTATGGTTTTTTGTTGTGTAATCTTCTTTGTAAGTGTTCTCTAATTCCGGCCGCCGGTATCCATTATTACTTTAGAGCTTATTTAAACCCCACGCTTTTCACTTTTTTTTTTTTTTTGTCTGTTTGCTTTTTTTTAACTGCTTGAAAAAAACCGTCTTTTTTCTTCACAATCTTTCTGTTGAATAAAGATTCCAGAAATAGTCAATTTTCTTCACTATAATAATCTTATGGCGTCACTTTGATGGTTTACCAAAGATAGCTAAAATGATTTACGTTATGGAGTACGTACGTAATATTTTGTTGAAATTGAGGAGAAATATAGGAGATGGTTTTCAGTTGAAGAGACAATTACCCGAAGCTGCTAATTTGACCCAAACCCGAAACAGAGTACGAGTCAAAGTAATGATGATAATACACATGGGAGATTACGAGAACTTTGTACGTTATTAATTGAGGGGGGAAATTCTAGTTCTTATTCCTAATGATCTTTTTTGTTTACTAGTGGTTGTTGAGGTGGTAGATATGCATCAGTTCAAGTCCCTTTTTTTAATTTACCAGATACTAGTAGGTTGGTAGTTCAGGAGAGTTAATGTAGTTGACTTTTCTTTGTAGGAAGGTATAATTAAGATCTCTGTCACTTGTTGTTTTCGTACGTATTACGTAAAGCATCCAAGACAGATTTTAATGTTATAAAGTTTGCATTAGATTACGGGATAACAGTTGCTCCTCTTCGTCCCGAAATTATAGTCGTGTTTATTTATCGAAACTCTACACCTTGAACAACCTTTGCTTACTTGTGAGGGAATTGGTTCAGATCGATATTAGTAACAGATAGATATGTATGACCATATGGGGCTCTTATAACTAGGCAAATCCAACTGGTAAAAATAAATGCCGTCCGACTTTGCAGTTTGGCCGAAATGTTTGGAGATCAGAGTTCAGACGGTTCAGTAGTTGGAACAAGAGAAACATTTAACACTCATTCTCCAAAAATGAAGAAAACCCTATTGAGTGATTGACTTTCAGGTGTTTATTTATACCAAAAACATATAGAAGAGGTAAGGTCAGTGATTTTGCATTTCTTTTGCTACTACATTTGATAAGGACAATCGACAATACATATGAGCAACTCCCAGTGGTTGTTCTGAGCTGCCTTATTTTCCAGGTGCTTGAGTTGTTACGTCTTTGGTTTTGCAATCAAAATGTGTTCAAATTCTTGAAGAAGTTGTAGGTGATTTAAAGTTTTTTAAATTAAACCAAATAAAACATGATAACGACAAGGAGTCAACGACTAACGAAATTGAACGAAAACCCAATGAAGTCAAGCCAAAAAGACAGACTTTCTAATGAAATTTTGTAAGTTTATGCTTTAAACTTTCCCAAGCTCGTACCGCATCCTCACTGCGGATTGTGAATAGGCCAAGTTAAGGTCACAAAATGTTTATTCTGTTGTTGGAATCGATACCGTCGACCTTTTCGTCCTCTTAGTAAAATCGATGAAAAAGTCGACGAGTTCCAAAATTTATTTAAATAGTTTTCACAATTCTTTTTGATGGTGCTATGAATAAGCAATTTTATATCGGCCTTTAATCTTGTCAAATGTTATGGATTATTTACGTGAATTACAATTTTTTCTTTTTACTTTTTTTTAATAGACTAAATTTATAACTATGTTCTTGTTCCTGTTAAAAAGGTTAAAAAAAAAAACGACGAATCTCAATATATATCACACATAATATAATCGATTATTGCGTTAACATTCCATCGCCGGTTTGAAAGCTGAATGAACAGAATTTGATAATGCACTCCCTGTTTACACGATCTTGCCGATTTTGGATATTGTTAAATGCAGTTTGATTTTACTTTGCGTGACTTGTAAAAAATATTAAAATACTCCTCTTTATAAAATACTAACATAAAACTGAATATTAAATGTAATTGGATTTAACAAAAAGAAACAAAATCAAAATAATAACAATTTCAAAAAAAACGAAAAATATTTAATTTCATCATAGACATACTTTTTTTTTCAGTAGATATTAATTTCTTGGATTCCTGAACTTTCTTTGCTTTAGAAAAAAACGAAAGCAACGCTAAATGAGAAGATTGATAAACAAATTCGTCTTATTGCATACATTTCTCCCAAATAATTACTTGTTGGGACGTGGATTCCTCTATTTTTTTTTTTCTATTTTCCTTTTTCTTAAGTTCTCCATTATTACAAATTATCAATACTCAGTGAATATTTTGATTGTATGTTTGAAAGAATTTGTGATAAATGATAAAAAGAGAGACAATCTTATAAAAGAGTAAAAGGTAAGAAAGTGTAAGATTCAAGATATTTTAGTATATTTTACAAATTGCGCGAAATAAAATCAAATTACATTTAACAATTCACAAGTGGGGCTAAAACTTAACGCAATCTTAAAATAAATTTAAAAATATAAGTTTTCTAATGCATATTGAAAAGGATTTTTTTTTTTTTGAAATATTTATCGGGATTAGTGTAAAAGTCATCGAAATGTTTATTTCGGTTAGATTTTGGCGTCAATTTTAATGTCGTCTTAGCAAAGTGAAAAACAAAGGAGGGCCACATAAATTGCCAAAAATTTTCTATGATACTCCCTCCGTTTCAAAATAAGTGTCATTCTAGAGTTTGTACACATTTTAAGAAAACATTAAATAGAGTAACTAAATTACTAGAATATCCTCAACCAACCCCATTAAAATAAATGCTCACCAATAATATTATTTCTTTTGAGAGTATATTTGAAAATTTTTGACAAAAAATGCATTGGCATCCGAAAACGACATTTATTTTGGAATTTTTCCATTTTGCCAAAACGATACTTATTTTGGAATGGAGGGAGTATAACAAAAACACGGTTGTGGTAATCAATCAAGTTCATTTTAACTTAAAGTTTCAATTCATTGATTGTTTGCATAGATATTAAAAATTTTCTTTTCATAAAAAAGAAAAAAGAATTAAAACAACGTATATGCTCATTTGGATTAAAAAGGCCACAAAAAAGTCGATCGAGGTTAATGCTACATGTAATATAGAAAACTTCTTACATTAAATTATGAATTTTACTTTTCATTGGAAAACCTTTGCAAATTTGTATTGACTAAAATATATTCCCTTTGGTCCTTATTATAAGGCATTTTAACTTTTTCTAAGTTGAACCTAGTATGTATTTTTAATTGTCAAAAAAACCTTAAAATTGTATCATAATAATCAAAGGAACACAACGAATATGAAAATATATTTTTAAGGTTTTTTTGTTAATTAAAAATGTGTATCAGGTGAAACGTATGACAAATCAAAATGCTTTATATTAAAGACCGGAAGAAATACTTTGTATCAGCCGTTCTGTTCTGTTTCAAACGCAGATTTGCTAAACTTACTTTTAATATTTATTATGTTAATTTAGAATGGTATCCATCAAAGAGAAGTCGTTTGATATTGATTTTGATTTGCTAATTAGGCGATAAACACGTACGCATGATAAATAATTTTTTTTTTTTTCTTTTGGAGAAGTATGCATGCTAATTGGGTTCTTTGATCCTTGTAATGATTTTCTGGGGCAACAAATAAAGGACATGCCACTAAAAGTGTTCTTAAGGAATCTATTCACAACAAAGAGGTCAAATCCACTACAGTTTTTGGTCAAATACTTACTTTCATCTAACTTGTCCACTTGAAATTAACAGGTTTTAGAGAAAAAAAAAAAACAGATAGCATGCAGTAGTACTAGATGAATTATGATAGAAACTGGCTACAAACATTTCTGGTCCCTAAAATAATTTGTACAAGCAAGTTGAAAGAAGTTATATGGTACAATAATTGGTCTCCTGTGCTAAGAATGCAAAACTCCCCTAGAACCACAGAATGCAGGAATTGATGGAGACAATGCACTCTTGAACAACCTCAATAAAGACTGTCAGCAACTGATCTAACATAGTTTATAGCAGTACAACTTCTGTTTCGAAGATATTGTCTCCACACTGGTTATGGGCATTTTCTTTGAACGTAAGAGGCTCCATGCTCCTCATATCTGTCATTACAAACAACCTAAGTAAATCTAAAAGTTGAGGTACACTAACACAGTTTTTAAAGCTTTTCAATGAATTTTGGGGGGGGGGAAGAAGAGGGAACAGTAGCACAGGAAGAGTTAGAACGGCCATGGAGAAAAACTTACTCCGACTTTGAAAACCACATTTGCTGAAAGGAACCAAGTGAAGCCAATATGCTCCCGCCTATCCAAACACTGAAAAACCAGACACATCATTCAGTCAGAACCATCCAAAATAACTCGCAACATCCCTGATTACTAACATTCATCCCAACTTGAAAACCTCGGAATCAAAGGAATATGGATTCTCAACAGAAAGAATCAAACAGTAACAAAATTATGTAGAAACAGAAACCCTCTGTATCCAAGTAGACCCAGAAAATCTGGAATACACTCGTCACATTATTTGTGTTAAGTCAACCTACCTGAATCTCCTTTCTGTTGCATTTCCACTAGCCAAAACCTTCACTCTTGCTGCCTGTGGAGATTCCTGGAAGTAGCAGGACAAAATCATAGAAAAAAAAAATGCAGTTAGTATCTAAATCAATACATAACACATAGCTTTTGATGGTTAATCATTGACCAGCTCACTACAATTTCAACAAAAGAAACCACCACATGGATGAATCCCAAATATGACCTCTCAAGAGTCCACATGATATTGTGCATGCCAGATTTATAAACTTCCTTTTCTTTTTTAAAAATATTATGTCAGATGAGCAATTCAGTGTGAACAGCATCACTATCTTGGTTTGAAAAAAGGTAGATTTCAAGCCCTACCTTGAGCTAAAGAAACAACTGAAAGCCATATTATTCCTTCTTCTTTTTTTTCTCTCTCTCTCTCTTTCTTCCTCTACTAAATCCCCTTATTCTTTTCTTCAAGATAAAAAAAATAATAATAACTTCCCAGCTTGGTCATGAGGGGAAGAGATCAGGTTTTCCTACACTATTTATTTTCATATATGTGAGAGAACAAACCTCTATCAAGTCTTTCTCCAAACGTTCCTTCAATTGTTGCATTGATGCACTGCCCCCAGCAAGCTGTGTAAAGGAATAAATGGAAGCAAATCAGATGAAATATGATCAACTTACAATAAAACAAAAACGGAAGCAAATCAGACGAAATAAGATGAAATTTTCAATGACAAACAAGAGCCTCCTCAAGGCTCTACAAGAAAGAAGAATATACAAACTCAGAATCTTTTTTTCGCAAGATGAACTTGCACATAGGAAGGTAAGAGGCACAAGTAGGAGACATGGATATTATTTAAAAAGCAATTTCTCACTCCTTTGTAAAATTTTGTGAAGCTCATAAGTGGGCAAACTCTAATGAAAGCATGAATACAATGTGGAAATGTACATCAAAATATAAGGAGGTATGAAGTACTAGGAAGAGAATAAAGAGGCAGATATAGCATCATGGACAAGCATTCTCAGAAGTTCAACGACCAAATAGAATAAGAAATTTATTGAAAAAAAGAAAGCCCCAAGCCACATGCTTGCGAATTATGAGAGAGACGACATCAAAGAAATTAAACACTTACCAATATACTGTTGAATAAGTCTCTCCTAATGTCTACATCACATTTATTTATGCTCTCCAAGACCTGGAGATAACCAAAGGGGACAACAATGTAGTTAACAGAAGACAATAGAGAGCCAGTTAAAAAGTAAACCTAAAGCAAGACAATACTTACCATTTGTGGAAGGCCACGAACAGAAGGAGCAGTCTCCGCAAAGTACTCCATACCAGGAATAGTCTAACATGGGAAATCATGTCAGAACATAGATATAAAAGCAACAATAATGAACAAATAAAAAAGGAAGAAAATTTAGCATCTTAAAACAACCTGAGCCAAGGAAGGATTGAAGAGGATGTCTGGGATCTTGAATCTGTCAGATCCAATCTCTATTGTCCTGGATTGATGTTGAAATTAGAAGAACCAGGAGAAATATCAACAAGATAAAGTACACATCAAGTTGGAAAATGCTCTGTACTAGAGTCCCAGAGGTCTTGCTACTTTTGGCACAAATGGGAAACTGTAAAAGTTATCTATGCAGAGGCCAAGTGTAGCAATTCATCCACTGGGAACTAGTATTGAGATGTATCAGGTACAAATAACACAATTGCTCACATCCTGTAAGTGTTTACTCCATAGATGTGGTAATATTAAGAACTTACTGTCCATCAGGCAGCTCATAAGGTGTCATAGGTATGTTTGAGTACGAAGTATCTGCAAAGAATTAAATGGCAAGAGCATTAGCAAGCAATCTATTATAGCTCTCATTAAGCATTATCTGGGTTTTGGAAATATACACAAGAATAGAATTGACCTGGATTGAAAAATGAATATTTGAGCAAAAAATGCATGAAAAAAAGACAGTAAACTTGCAGAAGATCCTACAAGAGCATTTAATCATTCCACCAACAGGAAGCAGATACAGTGTAATCTTGTTCCAGAATGTTAGAGACTTTTCAATGTCCATGAATATTTAGGTCTATTAAATAGCCAAATGAATCATTTTCCTTTTCTACCTCATTAAATTAAGAGAAAAAATAACTAGCCAGTTGAGCCTACATGCATAGAAAGATTATGTCATAAGCCACACATAGACGGCATGTATGTTAGAAGAGAGATATCCAAATTACTTGGTCATTCTATTTATAAGAAAGCTCGATATCAGACTTCATTCTGATACGTGGTCCCTGCATCAGAATGTCATCTATGGTGCATAAGCATTTCTTATTTTGGCTGTTGTGCAATTAGAAGTTAATTAATAAACACGAGATAACATAATTTAACAGCATGCGACTTATCAGGTTCCTGAAATCTGAAAAGGGAGATATCCAGCAGTACTAACCATCATATGGAGTGTCTGGAGCGCGACATACACATTCTTTAATATCACTAGCGATCACTCTCTGTTGAAAGAAAGAAGTGTTTATTGGCAACAGAATAATGCAAGAGTTACATATAAGCAAGACTTTGGTGAGTCACCAACCTGGCAATACAGTTTGTAACTTTCAGTTGTATCAGGAAAATCCTGATCTACAATCTGAGATTCCATAAGAAACAGCATAACGTCATGCAAAGTACATGAAAAGTAATCAGAAAATTGGTAAATTGTTGAAACAAATAAGCCGGAGTCAAGTGTCAGAGATTACCCAAAGGAAAAGCTTTTCTTAAAGGTTTTTTCATACCAAAACTTAATTGAGGTCAAAAGATATGAAAACTAAGCTTGCAGATCAAGATATTGGGAGGGAGGGAGGGAGAGGAAAAAAAAAAAAAAAAACCTTTATCCACCAATACATGAGCGAAAGATGCATAATACATGAGCAAAAGATCAACATCAACTGAGCTTAGCTAAGGATGTAAACGAGAGACATGATACAGCAAAACAAAGATAGCTCAAAGCGCATAGTCCAATGAGACAATAGTCAAAAGGCACAGAAAAGAGAAATCAGAAACCAAAACAGCTTTCAAACATTTGAGACAATAATCATGTCTCTTTTTTTATTTCCACAGCAGATGGTTCAAAGGGGGGCAATATTAGAGGGAAGGGAGAAGCTTCTCTTGAGGTGGACACTCGAATCCATCATGTAATCATAAACTTATAAGAAAGACAGGACATGCTCCTTGGATTAGAAAGATTTAAAACATAGACACACCCAGAGAGAAGAACGATCAAAGAAAGAAGGTAAAATCTGTTGGTACCTGAAATTCTCCAGGATGAATTTCTTTTCTCTTGAATGAGTAACGAGGTTTTATCTGAAAAAATGTAATGAGAATGGCGTCATTATAAAACAAGAGAAGAGACAAACTTTTGTAATGAGAAATGAAAAGTGAAAAAACAAGCATTCATTAGATGAAAGAAACTCACAGCAATGCCTTTGCTTTCCAAGCTTTTAAGCAAACAGTCCGTGAGGAATTCTCCACCAATCGGAGATGTTACCACAGCCTATTCAGAGGTTTGAATATTATGTTATTCCGCTTGATGCGAAGACATTTGAAAGCTCGGCTATTTAAAATTCAAACTTAGAGCATTTGCAGAAATAAGTATGATAGAAGTTTAAATAGGCAATAGAAAATACCTTTTGGAGTACATATCCGTCATGCACAGGAGCAACTGTAGTAGATCCCCCACCACTGAATCAAAGGATTAGTTAACCACATCAATTTGTTAAGAGTCCGATCCACATTCTTTCTTAAAAAGATATATTAAGCCAAACATTGTTATTAGAAGAGAAAATATTAAACAGAAAAAAAAAAAAACAGAAATCAAATTGAGCACCCCAGTAGATCAAAGAGAAGTCTAAAAGGCTTCCTCTTTCAAATAATTGATTGAAGGAAATAGTCATTAGGTCTTATTTTAAAAGTGTAAATTGTCTGGTTGTTCTTCCTAAGAGATTGCTGGACAATAATAAAGCAAAATGATGCCAAAATATGCTAGAGGCAAGAGGAAGACCATGATAAACCAAAAAGAAGCACCCTATCAAATTTCATACTACCTTAATAATGTATAACTATTCCAATGATAGAGCTTAACAATGTATAACTATTCCAATGATAGGGAAGGAAAACAGGACTGGGAGAATAGTGGGGCTCAATGCTAGAGTTCAAGTTCAGAAGCAAAATCTCCAAATATAAAAGAAAAAAAATTGAAAGCAACATACTTCTTGAAACAATAATGAAGCATGAACATAAACATAATGCTAGCATTTTAAGAAGAAAGATCTTACCTATCCACAACTAAAGAGGTTGCACGCCCCGATGCGAAAGATGTAAGGACCTACATGCAGACAATTACAGTAAACAATTAACAATAACAGAGCCAGGGACAAGGTAATTCTTACAGGGGGTTTCAAGCTGCAGAAAGGTAAATGAGAAGTTGAACAGAAAAACTTACAGCATTTTTTGCCAAAAATAGCGCAGGAGCATGATACTTTTCAAACATAATCTCTGCTGCCCTGTCATGCGGCTTATACTTCAGTACTTTTAAATTACCAGATGTTAAACCCCAAAACACCAGAAGCTAACAAATAGAAGCAGCACATATTACATTAAATCCCTTCAACAGGACAACAACATCGACAAAGAATATGATACGCAATACAAACAAAGGATATTTTATAAATTAAGCATCAAAGATGTGGAAATTCAAGGATAGTAGGAGATAATAATTAGAGCCCGTTTTGGTACAACCTTCGGATAATTTATGCACGCATCAGTCAAATTCCAAGCAGATGGCATGAAAAAAAGGTTCTCTAGACTAAATACATGATGCATATTATGTCAATACAAACTAAAAAGTTGCGTGAACATATACAGATAGGCAAACAACATGTTAACGAACTTGATTCGTCGAAGGATTCCGAAAGCTAACTTACTTTTCTCTTTGTTGTTGTGAATTAGTACAAGGCTCAGCAAGCAGCATTGGGTGTTCCTTTGGATCAATCAAGAGGCATTCCCTTCAAAAGTCAAAACCACAACAACATTAATGAAAAAGGGAAGGGTAATCTCTACAAAGAGACAGACTTGCCTCTAAACTAAGTTTATAAGAAAGAAAAAAGAATGATAAAAAGAAATAACAGTATCATAAATCACAATGGTTAAAGTTAAAACAATTACTTGAAGGCATGATCCCATATGCTTTCAACAATATCCCAGTCAGCGACTATCCCATCCTTGATTGAAGGCAGCACCTGGCCAAGTTAGAATACCATCAGATTAATCTGAAAGAAAGTAAACCCAGATAATGCACGAAAATCATTCTACAAGTTAATCGGCTGACTGACCTTCATGTGATCCCGGCGATATCCCAGGGCTTGAGTGCCAACATATAATTTTCGCTTACTCTTGGATTTAGAATCTGGAGCAGTGGAATTCTTGTCAGGATTATCTGGCTCGTCAACTTCCATTTGATCAATTGATCCAACAACCTCAATCAGGTGCAAAGGTGAAGTCAGTTGTATAAACACCAGAAAGTTTCATGTGCATTAATTTTACCATACACTAGCTACATCATACATCATATCTGTGACAAATAAGCATGAAGAAAATTGAACTAGTTGCAGATTTGTAGATTCCAGCCCATTTAAAAGCCTGACAACGGTGCTCCATTTAATTGTAATTTGTTTAAAAAAAAAAAAAAAAAGGAAACTAATTTATCCTAAAGCCTTCTTGCGCTGGTTGTCACAATTTGATCACCGGCACATCAACTTCATCAATATTACAGTGCTTACTTTTTAGTTTATTTTTTTATAAAATAAAAAAAAATAATAATAATAGAAAGTGGAATTTTTAGCCCTAGCATCAGTTGATACCTTAAACAAGATGTATTCAGTTTAAGGAGAAATCAAAATAAATGAAAAATGTAGCGGCAGGGATGAAGGCAAAAGTAAACGCAGCCCCACAGAGAACATATGACTCAACATTCATTTCTTCTGACAAATTTATTCGGTAGTCCATTGTAAACTTTAAAGACAATCTGGTCTGCAACATACACGCCCCAATCCTTGATTCAAGTTTAAAACTTTGATGTTTCCTCCTCACACAACTATAAAAACAGTAAGAGATAAAGGTACATTCAGCGTGTTTAGATATAAGTATTATCCTTAAAAATAAAACGTCATCACTAATCTAAAGCAGACATCAAAAGGTCTTTCTGATGAATAATATGATCCTAAAATTGAATTTATTTTTTTCCCCCAGGATTAAAGTTATGTTATGCCTTTGAAAACATATCCCTAACTCCATGGAATCACGTCTCGAAACAAAGAGTTGCAAAGAAACCACCTTTTTTGCTAATTCCCTCCAGACCCAAATACTACTTAGACTCAAAAATTGCAGAACCACTGAAGAAACTGAAAAATTCGGCCAACAGAAAACAGTCAACCAAAGGAGGGCAAAAGATTTGAAGTTGCACTTCGAAATTCAGAAACAATATTATCCACATTGTGCACTCGTGCCTAGAACACTGCAACTATGCAAACAAAAACGAGCTGAAAACATGGAAATTCATAGTGTGCTTACCGACGGAAAGACAGCTTTGGGAGCATCTTCGCCGGCGTAACCAGCTTTGCAAGTATGAGAGCCTAGGTCTACCACGATAGCGGATACCTCATCTGAAAACAGGAAAACGTACAGATAATGCAAATAAGAAATCAACAGTTTCCAGTAGAGACGGTACAGCCTCTTCTCTAAGTGCAACTGTGTGAGTGCGAGAGAAAAGAAAAAAGGGGATTTAAAAGCTTGATAAAATTCGTAAATACTCACCTCCTCCGTACATTTTTCAGTTGCCGGAGACCGCAATTTGGTTGGGTTTCTCTGTTTCAGAGTCTGTGTTAGACCGACGGGGACGAGGGCTTTAAGGTTTGGGTTTTTGAAGAACACGGTCTCCCGGGTCGGGTTAAATTGAAGAACAAATTACAAAGTACAGTACATATCTTACTACTTGGGCGGGCCAGAAATTTAAAGGAGTTTTTTAATAAATATGGAAAATCGCGTTTAATTAAGTTTTACTACCAAAAAAATAAAAATAAAAATACTGGAAGGATCCGAGAATTTTTAATTTGTTTTTAAATGAAAAATCCTAGAATGTGTTAAATGAATATAATTGAGGTTTGATAATTAGTGTGTACTAACCAAAACAATTAATTAGTACGATTAGAAGAGATTATTATTTTGTAGTTTTTTCCTTTCCCTCCAATTCGTAATTTCAATTCGTAATTTGTGTCATTGGCAAGAAAATTATGTAAGCATTAGATATTAGTACTTTTTTTTTCTCATATGTCGATAAACAAAAAGATCATCGGAAAAAGTTAGTTGTAAGTACACAAAATTTAGAATTAAATTGATTCGTAGTAGACCAACCTTTTGCCTGTATCAAGAATTATGTAGAGATATGAAATGAAGGAAATAATGATACCAAGTAACCCAATGTGAAGTTTAGTTTTTCACGGCTAGTATAGTTAAGTCACAACCATATAGTTTTTCCATCTACTTTGTGGAGGATTTCTTAGCTTTTTTATGGCAATCGGTATAAGTGGTTTGCTAAAATTATATAATTCTCAGCATTGAGCGATTTCTTAGTTAGAACATGACATTATCAGTATCTCTTACCAATAGAGAGTTGCCCTCTTTCTTGCATTTTAGAGTTGCCCTCTTTCTTGCATTTTGACTGTTGGAGAAGGTGAATGCTAAACTACTTGTATGCAGAGACGTCAATGTTCATGTTTATTGACATTCCTCAAGTCCTCAACTTTAGTTTACAGCCCATAATATCAATAGTGCTGATGGGTTTGCTTTGGGTATCTATGTACAATACTCAAAATCTAGGGGCATATTACTGCATGTCGACTGATTTATAAGCTCAAATTCCATAAAACTATTTTGTTCAACAACCTCCTCCACTGGCTGGTTCAATTGAGCTCAAAAGCCCATTGCCTCTTAGCTGCATGCAGTGATCTTCTGCATCTGCTTGACCACAAATAATCACCACCGCCATCCCGTTGTAGTGCGCCTCTTGCATGATATTTACTGCGTTGTCAAGCGTCATACCAGGAATGACCTTCATCAGCACTTGGACAACGTACTCCCTCTTATTGTAATTATCATTGTGCAGCAGCACACGATAAGGAGGCGACATTTTCTTCGATTTCCTGAAATACATAAAGGTTAAGTTAACGATCCATGTAACTGATGCATATTTGTATTCTTTTAAAAAAGAAGAAAGGCTTTCAATCATTCTTCCCCAATCTCAAGACTATACAACAACAACAACAACAACAACAACCCAGCATATTCCCGACTCGGTTGGGGTCTGGGAGGTCAAGATGTACGTAGTCTTACCGTATATTAGTACAGAGAGGCTGTTTAAGTAGTACAACCCAAGATGCATTGGTGCATTGATGTATTGATTTCCGGAAACTTCACCAAATTAAGAAGCGCCGGAATTTAGATGAACCATTTTGATCTAATCCATTATCAGCACAAAGCTGAAAGAATTGTCAATAATGACTCTTCCAGCTCGAAAATTGTCAATAGACTCCTAAATTTCCTTGAAAGCTGACTACATGAAATCAAAATGCTCTCTTTTGGCTTTTAACTTCTTTGATGCTTTAGCCTCTCTCTATAATTCCCTTCAACACCCTTTTATAATCGCTTTGACTTCACAATTCCTTTAGCTCGTGTACAAATGAAAAAGTTGGCCACAGAACAGTGCATAAAATAACGGGGATTCTTGTTTCTCTACTTTCCACTTATTTAGAATCTTGCACTGGCAGAAAAGTAAGCACGCCAATAGCTGGCTCTTACTCCATGTACCAGAACACCACTATTAGTGCTCTGCATCTGCTCCTGCTTCATCTAAATACTGACGAAGAAGACAAACTTTCCCGCGAACTGAGTTCATGGCAAACTCATTATCTATCCTAAAGCATACAAAAGCATACCAATCTTGAGCAACTTAAGTTCAAACAAATCAGCTGCCAGGTATGAGTTAGAATTATTTGCTCCCTGTTATACTCAATGAACACACTGTAAGTCTTATCAATTTGTAACCACTTTCTAAGGTCCTAACGCTCTTTTAAGGTATAGCAGCAGTAAAATCTAATAATCCTGTGATGGTATTTATCTACGTAATGGGGCAGCAAAAGCCAAGTTGAAGGAAACCAAGTCCAGTATGAAATCTCAACCAGTTTAACAAGGTCTCCCCAAGTCAAACCCCTTGGTATTCTATTCCTGCCAATAAAGAAATAACTGCTCAAGGTTTCTTCTACTGTCTAAGTTTCTAACAAACTTGGCTTAAGAAAAAGATATCATCGACCAAGAACATGTGATGCATCTATCTTCAAGATTGAAGAACAGAAAGAACAAATCAATATGCATACAAGAGAGAGATAATCATGGTTAAGGAAGTGAGAGGAGACAGGTTAGATCACAAAAAACAAAAAAGAGAAGCATACAGGATTGCAGCAATACAAAACTCAATAATTCTTAAAAAAAAAAAAACTTGGGACATACTTCAAGTCAAATTCTGATTCACGACCAGGTGTGGTCTTCTCTATAACAGGTTTATCCAACACGCCGCCACCCTTCCCAACTCCAGCAATTGGCACTGTCCTAACATTGCTCCTGCTTGTCCACTGCTTTTGAAGAGCATACTTATCTCCTGGCAGGTATCTTCTTGTTAGATACTTAGATATGCCGAGGCAATGTTATAACTCAAAAATTGATAACAGGCACACCCTCGAATAACACGAGAATAATTTAACAGACATTTAGGTTGGATTATGAACTAGGCACAAGAAATGAGAAGATTGGATAAATATATGCTGCACTCTGGAGGGAAGAACATTAGAAACCTACCACAAATACTTGAAACAGAAACAACTCCTCGACAAGTCTCTCTAGAACCCTTACTCCTAATGCTAATTGCCGTAAAAGGATCGCTGCATAAGACTTGCAAGACTCTTCTTTTAATAAAGTTCAATCACTATAGGCGACAATTCCCAAATCTTCCCACCAATATTCAAACAAATGTGAACACCAATAAGCAACTTTGGACTACAAATGCCTCTACGGTCTGCCCCAGAGCTGAATATCCATTTTCTAACACAAGAAAGTCTAAATGCATCATTTTTATATTCTTACTGAATTATACAGGACAACAAACATTTCTGTGAAGCTGCAACGGCAACAAACGTCCCAAAATGGCCAACACAATATCCCAGAAAAAAAAAAAAACACTACCACTTCCATATCTGTTCACTAATTTCTTGAGAATCAACCACTCAAAAAATACAGAATGAAGAATTCTCAGTAGCATTTTGTTAGGTAAACAAGCTGAAGAGGGCAAAGTTCTCAGCTTTTATAAGCGAAAATCATGGAAATACCACATACCCATTACCCTTTACCTGGAAAACAAGAATTTCCATTTCTAGGAATGAAACGATGGGATTTTACTTCTTAATGCATGCGAAACTCATCAGTTAGATATACAAAAAAACGAAGAACAAAATCCCAAATCATCAAAGCTCAAATAACGGAAATCCTAACAATAACAAGCTATTTTCTAAATATAAATCAAACTGAGCTCGCCCAGAAAAAAGAAAAATTAAAAAGACAAAAACAGAGATTGGGAGAGGAGTAAGAGTACCGGGCTTGGGGTGGATTACTCGAGTAGGGGAAAGAGCAAGTCGACCGCAGATGGCAGTCTCCATTGAAGAGCTCGCTTCTCTATCGGCTCAGTGTGTATTGTATATTCAAAGTGCCAAAATAAACACAACAAAATTATTATTCTCAACTTCTGGGATTTCCACGTCTAAAAAATATTTGGTGGCTCGTGTTCATTTTACTTTTTTGATTTTTCATTCCAGGATTTGTTTTCCCCGGAGGATGTCGTTTTGGCCAGTTACAAAAGGACATCGCATTGGGAAAATTTACTAGGGAGGTCCTTCTAAATATAGACATTGTGAATTTTTACACTAATTGATTGTGTACTTTACATGACAAAGTCATTGAAAAATAAATACCCTCCCCTTCTTCTTTTTACTCCCAAACAAAATGGTTCCATATGCTCAATCTTTTTGGTTTATCCTTTGATGATTCAATTGTATAAATTATTAGCAGAGATGTATGTTTAGTAGGAAAAAAGGGTTACCTTACAGCGAAAAAAATACAATAACTTTTACTTGTACAAATATAGATAAAATTAACCAAAACATGCAATCAAATGAAAAAGGCAGGATTAAACTTCTTTCAATCTTTGTGCAAATTTTAAGTTCATACAACACCAAATAGAAGAAAAGTATAACTTGATTTCATATACATGAGTTTTGTTAAGAGTTGATAATATTGCAATTGAAACAAATGTTCACTTTATCCAAAAATAAATAGGCTTTGATTTTCAGATTTGTATGATTTTGTCATTAAAATAATACTCAATGTTATGGTACAATAAAACATTAACTTCACCATTCTGCATATCATATATTTCATTGACTATCTTCAAATGATGATTTTACATTCAAAAGTATAATTATGTGCAAATTCAAAAAACTACCAAAAAAGGTATAATTATGTTGTCCTATCATTACGTCGCCCGTATCAATTTCTCTTAGAAAAAATATAAGTTCTATTGTGATCAACAAAGATAATAAGAAATCGAAAATCGGTTACAAGTTGTTCTTCTCTCCATGACACATCGACACTTGGGTAGATTTGCTTTCTAACGATTTGGAAAAATGGAAAGTTTTTTGATTTATTGGGGGAAAAAAGATTAAAAAAAAAAAACAAAAGGTAAGTCTTAATCATATCACTAGGGGAGGGAGGATGCACATTGTGCAGCACAACATGAATTGTACTTTATTTTTTCTCTCTTTTTTTTTTTATATTGCAGAGTGTCCCCTCGGTCATGGTAGGCACATCGATGGATGGGAAAGTTGGCTAAAGAATTTAAGGTTGTTTCATGTCCATGGTGAGATTAGAATCCTCGACCTATGGTTAAGGGCGGAGTAGTTCTTACCACTCCATCACAACCCCTTTGATTTTATTTTTACCTTTGTTTTGAGTGATTGTAACTAAAGACTACTTAGAATAATTGACATATTTATATGATTTAAGGAGAAATGAACAAAACATAAAGATATGTTTTAAGAGAAAGAAAAAGCAAAAAGTGAATTTTACATTCAATATAAGCAAAAAGTAAATGTATTAGCAGACAGAAATGATTTCACATATTTAAACAGGTGATACAAAAGCAAGATAAAGTTTTGCCACCTCATCATAAGTAAGTGATAAAATTCTACATATTTGTTTGTATTTGGTAATATCATATATTTTATTTAGTGTAGCTCCTGGTTTTGTTTCTCGGTATTTTGTGGACTATCGTTTATAGAACGAAATAAAAATCCTTGCGAAAATGGAAGTTATGAATTCTCATTGTCAGTTGAAAGAACAGGTAACAGAGGCATACATATGATGTTTGAACGTATTTATTTTGATCATGAACAAAGGAAATTACATACAGTTCATGAATGGCGTACACCGATTGAACGTGAAAAGTATAATTTACGGGTTCAATTTATTTCAACACATCAATGGAATGATGTGTTACAAGAAGAGTTAAGAAGTGGAGAGCTTTTACAAATACTTAAAAAAATAATAGAAATTATCGAATAATCTAATCGTGGAAGAAATTTTTGAATTCCTGATCTGCGGAGCAGTGAAACATCATCTATGGAAGATGTTGATTAAAGGTTGTTTTTTTGGTTTTCAATAATTTTTGTTTCTTTATTTTGTAACAAATATTCATGGAAGTAGTAGTTAGTTTCAGTTTCTTCAGGAGTCATTTGTTATATTTCCATTTTCAGATCTGTATCTGAAATAAATCTATTATTACGAGGAGCAAAAAACAATAACTAAGAAAAAAGAACACAAAACGCGACCTTTTTTGCTCGTATATTCGGCGGATATCGCGAGACGCGAGCACAAATTGCTGCTGTCGTCATCAAAGCGGCGCCATAACTGATTTTGGCGCCCAGAATCAACCACCTCCACAAGAACTCAATCCAACTACCTTAATTACTCTGAACTTCAGCTCATAATCCCTCTCAGATAACTCCGAATCCGAATCCGTATCCGTATCCGATGGGCTTGGGATTCCGTCTTAGAACGGCGCCGCCGTGTTCCTCCACCTTGTTCTGTCAGCGCAGGCCAAAACCCGCCACCACCACCACCAGAATCCTATGCTGCATCAGCGGCCCGGCAGACTCCACGTCATCACCCGCCACGCCATCATCTCACAGCCGGAGATGGTACAACTACAACTCCGTCCGTAAGAAACCCAATTCCTTGGACCCAAACGTTGACCGCCGTTGGGTTTCTGCAGACTTTAGTGACAGTTCTCTTCTTCTTTCTGAAGGTTCAATTTTTCTTTGCTTTTTTTTTCCAAATTTCCGAAAAAATGTTATCTTTAATGGCATTGGATGTTGTAATGGGTTTTGATATGGTTCAGTTTGATGCAGAGAGATTGACGATTGTGTCGTATAATATTCTGGGGGATAAAAACGCTTCAAATCATTGGGATTTGTACAGAAATGTGGCGTCAATTTACCTGAGATGGGACTACAGGAAAAGGGTTATATGCGAAGAGTTACTTGATTTGAAGCCTGATATTATTTGCTTACAGGTATAATTGTATCCATTTCATCCCTTTTCCATTCTTTTTCCCTTTTATGTTGTCATTCAATAAGATTAAGAATGAAAAATTGTAATTGATGGATGCTGAGCTGACTGTGCAGGAGGTGGACAATTACAATGATCTTCAAGAAGTTTTACAGAACACTGGATACCAAGGTTCCTATAAGGTTCTAATTGCCTTTTTTTTTTTTTTCAGGAGTTTCTAATCACTTTTTGTTTAGTCAAATGATTGGTAATGATTCTCAGACCTGTTTGATTTTTTGGGTTGATACAGAGGCGTACTGGCACGTATGTGGATGGTTGTGCAATGTTTTGGAAAGCTGATAAGTAAAGATTTTGTACTCTGCTTATTTCACTTATCTGAAGCTGAGATCATGTAATGGTTAGTATTTATGGTTAAGTGTGAATTTATTCTCGTTGACTATTTTAGGTTACAATTATTGGAGGAGGAGAGCATTGAATATAAGCAATATGGACTACGTGATAACGTCGCTCAACTTTCTGTTTTTAAGGTAGCATTTCAACAAACATCAAGAACTATATTAATTACCTTATAATTGTTTACTCAGCATTATATGTGATGTTCAGAAGTGAATTGTACCGGAAGATCTCAACAAAAAATTGTGAAAAGGATAGACCCTATAAGAACGTAGAAAGTCATTAGTTGTCGGATAAAAAGCCTAAATCGTTAGTTTTTGTGAATTACAAAGGTGTAATTTTTCTTTTTGAAAAGTTATACAGGGGAAAAAAAGGTTACAATTCACTTCAAGATGCTACAAAATGAAATCAATTTTTCAACGATGATCTGCATTCTGCTTAAACATGTGACTTTGTTCCTACTCTGTAAGATACCAAGGTTGATTTGGCAGTAGCATGACTATGAGTACAATTCATGACTGAATTGTTTGTGAATTTTCCAGTTCTTACTTTCTCTAATACAGGTAGATGTGCAAAGCTAAATCAAGAACCATAATTGTTGGTAACATTCATGTGCTTTACAATCCAAGGCGAGGAGATATTAAACTTGGCCAAGTGAGTATGATATTTACTCCATGGTTAACAGAAAGTATATGATTTGCTAATTGTAGTTCTCTTTTTTAGGTCAGGGTTTTCGTATTATTGGTCTCATTCTAACATGTACCTGTTACTTGTCATGTTATTCTTCAGATTCGTCTTCTTTTATCGAGGGCACACATACTCTCCAAGAAATGGGACAACGCGCCTGTGGTACTCGCTGGTGATTATAATAGCACTCCCCAGGTTAGGAACTTGAAAGTCTATGGGATCAGATTTCATCATTTGGGAGTTACTGAAGTTCATGTTGAATTTGACTTATTCACAGGGTGCTATTTACAAATTCTTTAAATTTTCTGAGGTAATAAAGTTTTATCTAACTTTCTGATTGATTGACAGCTTTTTGCTTATGATGATTATTATTATTGGAATGACTTGTATTACATTTGCATTTCATTTTACAGTTGAACATCATGCTACATGACAGGGGAGAGTTGTCTGGACAGAAAAATTGCCGTCCAAGTCCAGCTCTTGGTGTGAGAAGACAAAAGAACTCTCTTTTTGCTTTGATGGATAGGTAAGGGAGATTTGCCTTCGAACCTCCATACCAAGGTGTAAATTTTGTTGTATTACATCTCTGATTATCAGAAGCAGCTAAGTTCTCCTCATGGATATAGAATTTCAAGCTGTTGTAATGGTAATGATCTCCAGCTTAGAAAAACAGCTCTCTTTTTGCTGGGCTTGGGGACATAAGCCAAACTTTTATGTGTTAGGAGTTTAGCTCCACATTTGTTGTAACAGATGACTGAGCTGTAACATGGGCCATCATGTCAATTTGTGTCGATGCCTTTGGAATAATTTTTTGAATTGCCTTTCCAGATTTAATATTATGTTCCATTGTCAATGGTTCAGATTCTTGAATACTAGCTGGACAGCAGAAGAGATTGGAACTGCCACTGGGGACGCCCAGAGCCGTATACTTACCTCCCCTTTTAAACTCAACAGTTCCTACGCCATGGTGAAGGTATGTTCTTCATCAGATGATGAGTATATTTCCCTACCCTTTTGTGAGTTTACTACTTTACTGTAACTGAGAATGTCTTGTATCTGCATATTCTTAGGATCCTTCAGGAGAAACACGTGACTCCAACGGTGAACCTTTGGTCACTTCTTATCACTCAAAATTCTTCGGAACAGTGGATTATTTGTGGTAAATTCAGCTAATGCCGTTCATGGAAGCCTTTTTCCGAGTTGAGAGTGCTATTTTTTGGTGAAACCTCTTTTGGTCCTTTCTGCAGGTTCTCTGATGGTATAGTACCCACAAAAGTTCTGGATACGTTACCGGTTGATGTTCTCAAGAAGATAGGTGGTCTCCCAAGCCAGGTAAAATATATTTATGGACAAGATTTTACTGGTCTTGTTGTCTAAATAAATCAGATAGAATAGCTATCTCAACCAATAATGTGCTGCTTTTAAGTTTGCAGTTTAGTTGTGGCTTGAAAGTTCATAGTCCTGTCATCGTGAATATATCTGTCAGGGAAGACTCATCTGTTAATTCCATTAGGGCTTCAGGACCTATTATTGTTTCTTATGCCATTTGTTTTTTTGGTACGAATATCAGAAACTAGGTAGCGATCACTTGCCATTGGTATCAGAATATGCTTTCACTCAAGATGCAAAAGATGAAAATGAGGCTGGGAATGTTGCAATCTCGTAAGCACTCAAGTTCTGCCCTGCTCTGTCAATTGTCAGGCAAGGGTCAAGTAGGAAGACTTCATCTATGATTCTGTTCAAAGAAGAATTTGGTGCTAATACTTCACAGGAATGTAAAAAAAAGAACTTTGTTTCTAGTTCTGTACCTATGTAATGAACGAAAATTTGTATGTATGCTGCGGTTTTTTCAAATAGGCATCAGATAGAGAAATGATCCTACTTTAAGGTCTTTGAATTTTGACCTTTAAATTTAAAGCAAGTTGCTCCTCTGGATACTATTCCTTTTGTAATGTAGTAACAATCAAATATTTTACAATTATTAACATTATAAATAAGGCCAGTTGGAGTATTTTGCAGTCCATTCGACTTATATGCTACTTCCCAAGGCGTTAGGCGTTAGCAAACTATGTCATATTTCTTTACAACTTTAATATTATTTGAACATAAATGACGTAAAGTTATGTTATATATTACAATCTTCTTCGTATTAAAATACAACCAAATTTGTTGAGTTGCCCCTTTAAATCGAATCATCAACCAAAAAAATTCGTTGAACTCAAAGGACCTCGGCCATAAATGGAAGTCACCAAGTCCAAACAAGTAGTAGTACCAAAAAAATAGTTGCAACTTCTTGCCATTAATGGCTAAAAGTGTCTTTTCGTGATATTCAGTGGCTGATACGTACGCCACAGAGATATACACCAAAACCCTCTGACTCATCGCCACCTCACCAAAGGGGCAGCATTTGAAAGGTGGACACCAGTATTCCTCTACCCTATGAGAATCTGCCACGTGTACTCCCAAACAGGCTTCCGAACATTTGACCCCTACCGACTTTAAACGCTTTACGACAAAGAAACGGCGTCGACTCCCGGCAGCCTTCCCTATTTCGACGCGATTCCGGATAATTCTTCTTTCCTCTCTCTTCACGTTTCCCGTGGGAGAAAAAAATTCGGGAATACTCAACTTCTTCGCGTGATTGATGGGGTTTTCGTGTAATCGTATCTTTCGAAATTAATCACAGCAAAAAAAAAAATAAAAATAAAACCTAAGCTAAGATCGATATTAATTTTGGGAAATTTAGGCGTTTTCCCCATGCCGATGCAGCGATTCGTCGACAACGTCCTCGCTGTTACTAAAGAGTAAGCCCGCCATTTATCTCTCTATTCATTTATTTGTTAATCGCGATTTTTTTTCTTCCAACCTTTTTGCCGTGATTATGATCGAACCAGGAATGAGAAATATAAGGGAGTTTTCCGGCATTATTTTTTGTTTTATTTGGGTTAGGAGAAGGGGGTTTGGGGATGTTAGTTTGAGTCTGATTATGGGTTTATTGGGAGTCGATTACTGATTGATTTTTGTTGTCGTGTCTGCTGTGTAATGTTATGTTTATGCGGTGATCAGGTCAGTGAAGACGATTACTTATGAGTGGGTGAACAATATAGTTAGGCTGATTAATGGGGCCTCAGCACTTCTGCTAGCTTTTTTGCCTGGGAAGGCTTCGATTCTTGAAGGTATTCATGGTTGGGAACTCCGGCCCACATTTCGCGGACCTAAGCTCCCACGCTGGATGGAGAAGTAAGCTCCTTTCTTTCAGGTGTTTTTTTTTTGTTTTTCAATATTTTCTTTCCAATCCTGTGGTTTGAATTAGTTTTCTAGCTTGTTTGGAAGGGCTACACTTGTTTAGGATTTGCATCACATATTAGGCTATAGTAGCTTCTTTTATTTTTTGGATGAGTTACTCATGGTTGTCTTTTCTGCATTTTGTTTCGATGATGAGGTTCGTTCTAACATAGATTAGGACTCATCTCTGTAGCCTTGCTTTTGTTTTATGAAGTTATTTCTGATGGTGTTAACTTTCTAGTTTTCAATTCAGTGATAATATGAACTGGTAAAATGATTGGTTCAACTTTTTTGTGTGAAATTTCTTTTGGTTATTGGTTGGTCACAAGATTATTGTATATGGTGCTCATTTCTCAGTGGAAATACATTGTTTCCTTTGTTTCCAGTTTGATATTGGATCTGGTTCTCACCTTTTCACTTTCTCTTGTTGATGTCCCAGTGGCGCTTCATCTTTCAATCAACTCATTCACGATCTTTCAGTGGATTCTGATACATCTTCAAGTCAGGATAATTCATCAGATGAAGAATATAGTGAAGAGCATGTTCCTGGATCTCCATTATCGCAAACATCTCGTGTTTCTAGATCTCCCAGTTTTACCAAGCGTGATAGGCGGCATACAAGTTGGATCCGATGCATATTTATGTGGCTTCTTCTCCCTTTAAAACTTTTGTTTCGGATACCTTTCTATCTCTGCAACTTGACATCTTGTTGGATCTCAAATCCTCCTACTGCCCCAAGAAGTCCGCGGCCGTCTTACTTGCATTCTCCCCGGAGACGTCAGTCCCTTAAGGATCATTTTGTTCAACGTGCAACTGATCAAAGGCGTGGAGTTGTTGAGGTTTGATCCTGTTCACCTCAGAGTTTTGTTGAATAACACCCCCCTCTTCCACCCTTTGATTTAACTGAGTTGTTGTCCTTGAATGGCTAGTATAGTTATAGATTCGTATTCTTGCATGGTCGTTATAACTCTCTTGTTCTCAGTTTTTGGCGGCCATTTTTTTCATATGTAACATACAAGTATCCCTTTCAACTGTTCCTATGGATTTAATTGCTGTTGTTCTATTTTCTTGCAGGATATACATCTAGCAATTGAGATCTTCATAGAGTCTGTATTTGATATATTTCACAGGGTGGCAAGCTGCTTTCTTTCTCCATTAGATACTCTTAGGTGGATTTGTTCCCATATAAGTGGTCCCAGAGTTCCAGATGTTCAAGTCTCAGTCCCAACTGCAACTCTTGCTGACAATGATCCGGCTCCCACTGAAAAGAAGACTACTTTCCGTAATCCACTGAATACAGACGCTAGAACATGTGAAGATGTCATCACGGAACTTGGGTAAAATTCCTGAGAATGCTAATGTGCTGATTCTTTCATTGCCTTTTAACTGAAGTGGATAAATCTTTAACTTTCACGACTAGTCGTAAATAGCATGCTTAAGTGTGTATGATTTTAAGATATGTTTGTTTTCTTCCTTTCTGGAAATAGGAACTTTTTTGCTTTGGGAAACAGTTTCTTCTTGTATTTTCAGTCCTGTTTTGAAGATTGATTGTTTGACTAACATGCCCTCTGTATTGATTTCATATTAATTTTACTTGTGCAAAGTGCATTATTTGTGAATCGGGGTTTGCTTTTTGATTAAGGTATTTGGTCCAGGTTGTTTGGAAATAACTAAATTAAGATATTTTAATTGAGTGCATAGGGTGCTTAGTTGATACTGAACCATCAGTTTGGAGTCCCCATCCAATTTCTTCTGCTAAACATTACCAATTAATTTGCCATCATATAATTTAAACTATGGGGTTTCCTTAATTATAATTTTGGTTGCAAGTGCAGAATGATGCCTCTTGTCATGAAGGTGTAAATTTACAGCAGATTTCTGGGGTTATATGTGTGCAAGTAGCTTATAGGTCTAGGTAGGGTTTCTTTTGATATCTGCGATCAGACAGTGAAATATTGTAATTTCCACGTGGGTCTTTGGGGCATTAACTCAGGAGATCCAATATCATTAGGATTTGTGCGTTTGTTTCCATATTATTATCTTCTCCTGTCCAGCCTACGCATGATTTTATCCGATCTATTTTTTTAAATCAAATTGTGAAGCCTACTTCTGCCAGCTGATGTGGTTGTGGGCATTGCGTGTTCTGGGTGTCTTATTGCTTCTTTTTTGGTGACAGTTATCCGTATGAATCTATACGTGTTGTTACTGCTGATGGATACGTTCTTGTTCTAGAAAGGATTCCAAGGTTTGTGTTTTTTACTTTCTTTTATAGTTCTTTTTTCTCCATCTAATATTAGTCGCTAATTCCATTTACTCTTTGCAACCCCGTGGTGCAGACGAGATGCTCGCAAAGTTGTTTATCTGCAACATGGCATATTAGATTCATCAATGGGGTGAGTCAAGCCTCCTGCAACCTGACTTTCATTTTCTCATCGATTAATAGTTTACAGTGTCTTATGGATGAGCAAGCAATTACTCTTACAGTTGCCAGATGCGTCAAGTAGTGTTGGATGTATGATTAGCTCTTTTTTAGCCTAAGTGTTCCTTTTTATTTACTTATCTTAGCTATGTGGAGTCGTCTTTCCTATTTATAATTGACAAAGTAACACTTTTCTTTGAGGCTGTATCTGCTTACCGTCCCCAATGTCTTTCCTTTGTTCTGGTATACCAAATGTACATATTTTGTTTCTCGGCAAAATAAGGGAAAAAAAAAAAAGGAATTTCTAATATAGTCCAGGAAAGCAGCTAACAACCGTTTGAACCTTTTCAAAAGTTGCCATTCTGTGGAGAGGAGCTTTTTTTTCATCTTTAACACCCCCCGGGTAACTCTGTGGATAGAGAAAATGTTATTCACTAGAATAGGGGTGAGCGTGTTATTTTGTTCCCTTTGTCTCTAATACATCATTCGTATTGCAGTTGGGTGTCCAATGGTGTTGTTGGATCTCCAGCTTTTGCGGCTTTTGATCAAGGTTCATTTTTTTTTTTATAATTTTCAAATCTGTCTTCAGGTGTATAGTAATCCGATGTTTGGAAAACGGATGAAGGCGTAACATCTTCCTTTGTCTGATTTCTCAGGATATGATGTTTTTCTTGGGAACTTGCGTGGATTGGTCTCAAGAGAACATGTCGATAAAAATATATCATCACGCCAGTAAGTGATGAATGTAAATGATGCTCGCTTAGTTGAGAGGCATATTGATAGTCCTGATGAGCCTTCTTCCTATATTTCTGATGGGGCTCTACTTGTCTTTTTATTAATATGTAAATATTCACCTTTGCAGGTACTGGTCCTACTCCGTAAATGAGCATGGAACTGAGGATATTCCAGCTATTATAGAGAAAATTCATGAGCTAAAAGTTTCTGAATTGAAATCTACACAATCTGATCAGGAAGGAGAAGGGACTGACGAGCAGCCTTACAAACTCTGTGCAATCTGCCATAGCCTCGGAGGGGCTTCCATATTAATGTATGTGGTAACACAGAGGATGAAACAGAAGTCCCACAGGCTTTCGAGGATGATCTTATTGTCACCTGCTGGCTTCCATCATGATTCCACGTTTGTCTTCACATTGGTGGAGCGCCTATTCTTTATGTTCGCCCCCATCTTGGCACCTTTGGTTCCAGCCTTTTACATTCCTACTCGTTTTTTTCGTATGCTTTTAAACAAACTAGCTCGGGACTTCCATAACTTACCAGCAGTGGGTGGACTTGTTCAAACACTTATGAGCTACTTTGTTGGTGGGGACAGTTCAAACTGGGTGGGTGTATTGGGCTTACCTCACTACAACATGAATGACATGCCAGGTGTCTCATTTCGTGTGGCTCTTCATCTAGCACAACTGAAGCGCACTAAGAGATTTAGAATGTTTGATTACGGGAAAGCATCTGTCAATATGAAGGTTTATGGTTCACCAGAACCGATAGACGTGGGAGAGAACTATGGGCTGATCGACATTCCTGTTGATCTTGTCGCTGGGAAGAAGGACAAAGTGATCCGGCCCTCAATGATAAGAAAGCATTACAAGTTGATGAAAGATTCAGGAGTCGAAGTGTCATACAAGGAGTTTGAGTACGCGCATTTGGACTTCACATTTTCTCACCATGAAGAACTCTTGGCTTATGTAATGTCTCGACTGTTGTTGGTTGAACCCTATCCTAAGAAGCTACACACTCAGAAGTCACTGAAACAGAGGAAAAAAGGGGGAACAAAGGAGCAACAGAATGCATTGGTAATGTGATCCTGAGCTTTACATTTTGGATTTATTTAGCTTCAGGATGTTGCGTATGTTGTATCATGGTTGTATCACTTTAGTGTATAGAGGAAAATCCTAGAAGAAAATTGAGGATGGAGTATAGGAATAGAGAGCATCACTGTACATATAGGTCGAAATCCCTCTTTTTTTTTTTTTTACCAGGGAGAGAAGCTGGCTGTTGTATGATTGAGGTTTTGGTAGCTGTTGCCGTACACTTTAAGGGAAGGAGAAAAATAGATTTGTATCCGAAGTTCTAAACAAACCCTTCTCCCAGAATTCCACTCTGTAACTTCATGCGTATAATCATCTGTTAGATCACCGGGGGAAATTTTTCCTACTATTCATCATTTGCTATTACTACATTTTTTCTCTTTGGAGTTTGGTCCACTGTCAAAATTTTAAAATATGGTTCAGTAAGTTGAAAAAAAAAGGTGTTAAATTCAGGATTCAATGCCAGCATTACTAATTTAGTGTTACATACTATAATTAGTAATTACATGTTTGAATACTAATTAGCTGCTATCAATGCTTGCCATGATAGATTGGATTGAACGATTTATGTGATAGTTGTGCCTTATGTATTCATTTCAACACCTTAAATGATAGACTAAATTGAACAATTTATGTGAAAGTTGTGCGTTATGTATTCATTTTAACACCTTAAATGAGATGTAAGTAATGTGACAGTTGTGTCTTATGCGTTCATCTTAAAGATCAAGAGTTAGAATCTTATAAGTTCAAATAATCTTTTTTTTTTTTTAAAAAAAAAAACCCACGTGTTAGGGGTCGTACATTCAGCAAGATAATTTTGGTATCTGTAAATTGTAGTAATTCGAAGTTTTTTTTTTTTTTTTATATAAAAAAAATAAAATTTAACAGTGTAAAAAACCAAAACTCTAATTCCTGAAGAGATTAATTCTTAGGGCCCGTTGGGTTTCAAATTAAGGCCAGATTGTCCTCTGCTTCGGCCCAGAAATTATCTAGAAACCACCATCGTTTCCCGCCGCTCGTTTTACACACACGTCCTTTGGGTTTAACCCAGTTGTTTTCGCTGATTCTGATAGAGTAAGTAGGAATTTGTTTCTCACGAAATTCAGCCTGCTTCTTTCGCCTAATCGATATTCGATTCCGTGGTCGGAGAATCCGTCTGTTGAAGCTGATAACGCCGGCGCCGTGGAGCCGCAGCTTCTACAGGTGAAGTCGCCATCGCTGCTGCACCGTCTTTTTCCGAGCTCCGACTGGGCTAGCGCTTCCACAGCTTTCTTTTTCTCTCCTTCCGGCTCCGAAGTTTCAATGACCTTTTGGTAATTAAAGCTAAAACCTTGTTCATTTCTTGAAGTTATGATTGTGGCAAAAGTTTGATTTACATGATGAAATCAGTCTATAGTTAGAGGTTTAGATATCGGTATGAATTGAGTTTTTCTGTCCCTTGTAATGCTGTCTGAGATTTGGGAGATACGGAGTTTAAATTTAAGGCACGCGTCGATTGATTAACTAACATGATTGCTTCGGTAACTAATATGTATCTTCTGTCACTTTTCTGCGGCTTAAACTAGTTTGGATGTAACTAAATGAAAGAATGATTGATAGAAGTCATTGGAGTTGAATTCTTTGTTGGGTTTGGGAATCTAGACTGATTCTGAGTTTGGATTGTAGTTTTGCTGTTTGTTACCCTCTCCATACATGTCGTTATATCAATGAAATGATACCCTTAGTTGTGTTTGTTATTATTGATTGCAGGGAAAGTAGTTCAACTTTTCAAAGTTGCTTGTGCTTTTGGTTGTAAGTGAAATTTGTTGTTGCTGTCTCAAAAGTTCCATATCATTTGGTATCATTTGGTGTGACATAAATTGAAATCAATTGAAATCATGATATGCAATTGCTTTGATAATACCGGTTTAAAAAATTGTCATTGGAATCTCTTTTGAATGCCTCCATCATTTCTTTATGGAAGTGTGTAAGTAAGAAGTTCAACCAAGCAAGTGATGTTTAAAATTGCCTGTTTTATTGCTTGATTTCAACCACCACATTTCCGTGTACTTGCATGCTTCCTGAGTGAGGTTGATTGTCTTTGAAGCTTAATTAACTGAAATATCATCTTATGATACATGTGTTCCTAATGCAGACAATACTTGTTTGGATTATTGGTTAATTGGTTTGGATGTGGAAAACCTAATAAAGCCCATGTATCTATCTCTCTTTTCTTTTCTTTTCTTTTTTTTTTTCAAATTAGTCTGATTTATCATTTTTGGATTCTGATATCTTTTGATGTTTTAGTTTCATCAATGGTGAAAAGATGTAATTTAATGATATTCATCTAAATTACTGCTGTCTAAGTATAGTCCAATTACCACAAAGTTTTGGCTTCTGATTTGTTCATTTGTTTTCATATGTTTGCAGAAATATTTGCTTAAAAGTGTCTGGCATATCCATATACTATTGTTTGGGTATGGGTTTAGAAGAAGAAGTGATTGATAGGGTCGGGAATAAAGACACCAAGTCCAAGGAGAAGTCTAAGAAACATAAGACGGATGCAGTGCGTGGTGACGTGATTTGTGAGCCTGGAAACGTTGGCGCAGATAGGGTGTTTGATGATGGTACAGGGTTTGAGAATGAAAGTGGTGAAAGAGGAGATATCGAGAAGAAGAAGAAGAATAAGAAGAAGAAAAAGTTTAAACATATTTTAGAAACTCAGGAAAATGACGGTGACACCAAGAGGGTTGAAAATGACAGTAAGAAAGAGTACGAGGTTCATGAGCAAAAGAAACATGATGTGAATGCTATAAAGAAAGTTAAAAAGAAGAAACGGAAGGAGAGTGATAAGTGTGGAAGCTCTGATAGTCCTTTGCAAGAGAAAAGTTTTGAGGATCTCGAGGGTAGAAGCACAACTGGGGAACATAATATTGAGTTGCAAGATGGATCAGGTGCTATAGCAGTGGGGCTGGAATCATATAGAATTGATGTCTCATCGGAACATAAGAAGACAAAGAAAAAGAGGAAAACATCCAAGAGCAACTTAGATTTGGGTGAACCATTAGGTGACAGCCATGACCTGGAAAGTGGCGAGAAAATGGTAAGGAGGAAGAAGAGGAAGAGAGAGAAGGATCAGAGTATAGGTTCTGAAGGTGAAGGCCAAGAGCATGAGTTGAACTATCTAGATAGTAAACGACAGTCCAATGTTGCGGAGAGGGATAGTAATGAGACCCTGAAAGGAACAAATGTTGGAGTAATTTCAGAGGATGATGTCGTCATGAAGGATAAGAAGAGGAAGAAAAAGTGTAAAAAAAGAAAGGGCGACTTAGGTTCAGGTGCTGATACAACCATGGACAGCCATTTGAATGATGATGAAACTGAAGGCAGGCAGGACGAGGCCAACTCTGTTGAGAATGAATCTGAAGATCCTAAAACTAGAAAATGCAAGAAGAAGGTAAGATTTTCAGGAGAGGATGAACTTTTCGCTTTGCCTGAGGAGGAACTAGTTCGAGGTAAGCGGTTCTCTGAAGAAGAAGATGAAATGGTGAGAGCAGCTGTATATAATTATATAGAGGCCCATGACTTAGGTGACGAAGGCCTAGATATGGTCTTGCATTGCAGGTCAAATCCCAAAACTAGGAATTGCTGGGAGGAAATAGCAGCTGCCGTACCACATAGGCCCCGGAGTTCGGTTTATTTTCGTGCTCATGTTTTGTTTCAAAGGGATGAAAAGCGTAAATGGACTAAGGAAGAAATGGAACAACTACAAGAGCTCCATAAGAAGCATGGAAACAAGTGGAAGGCTTTGGCTGATGAACTTGGGAAATATAGATATCATGTTAAGGATGCCTGGCGCAATATAAGACATGAAAGTATGAAGCATGGGAAGTGGTCGCAGGACGAGTACCAGTCTCTATTTGATTTAGTCAATCTTGATTTGAGAATGAAGTATTTTGAAGAGAAACATTCCAAGTATGGGATGCTGCGGGATAATATTCCTTGGACTGCAATCAGCGATAAGTTGACGACTCGAGTGGAGCCAGCTTGTTGTTACAAATGGTACTATAGCTTATCCTCACCTATGGTAGGGGAAAAGATTTGGCTTGATTCTGATGATTACCGCATGCTAGATGCTCTTTACCAGTTGGATGCCACTTGCTATGAGGACGTCGACTGGGACAATCTTCTCGAACACAGGTCTGGTGATGTATGTCAGAGGCGTTGGAAGGAGATGGTTCGGTATATTGGTGACAGTAAGAAGAAGCCATTTCCTGATCAAGTGGAGGTTCTAGCCAAACGATATTGTCCAGAGTTGCTTGACGCTAGAGAAAACTGGGAAAACAAACCTTACGTCTCATAGCGTGTCTTCATTGCTCCTCAGGGCAAAGTCGTGAGACTGTAGAAGTGTATTGTTGAAATTATAAGCTAGAAGTCTGTCTTGTTTCTCCATCATGTATGATCTGGAATTTTGAGCACATTTGTAATGCTGGAATTTGGATGATGATTATGTGATCGTTTTTTCCAGCTTTTATCTCTGTCTCCAAATAATTATTAGGCCAAAGTTTTAAATATTGTTTTTTGTTCTTTTTTTTTTATTTCAAAAAAAAAAAATAGTATAAAAATACTAGTATTTCTTTTCTTTTCTTTTTTATTTTCAGTTTTCAGGTCTTACTTCCTTACTGGAAAAATATTAGTAAAAAAAAAGAAATAGTCAATGGGCCGAAGCCCATCTATAAAACCTCCATTTGATGGGCCAAGCATGAACCAACTCTGAATTGGAGTTGACTGTTTTAGAATAACCGGTCCGCCGGAATAATCTTTTTACTGAAAGAGCGGTGTGAAACGTCGGGAAGGAGCCATGAGATCACCGAGATGGGGTTATGTTAGGATTATTGCCGGAACTATTGCCGGAGGAATGCTTGGATTCTACGTTATGCACCGTGCGGAACTCTATTACAAGGTCCAACAATTCAAGCCTCTGTTTGTATTGTTTCAAATCATTTGTTCTTGTCATTTTGAAGCTTTCTGGGGTTAGATGAATGCTTGTAATGATAATTTATACTTTCTGGGTTCCTTTTTTATTTTTCAATAGGAGATGTGGAATGAAAGATTGAAGAGGTACGAGGAAGAGCTGAATAGGAAGAAAATGGCAGAGCAGTCGAATGAGTTTCAGGAGTCCCTCTAAAGGTGTTTGGTTCTGTCTGTAGCTCGAGAACATGCAATTTCCCCCCTAGTGGTAAAGATTCAGAGTTGGGGCTTGATCTTTGATCCTAGTTCCAATATCCTAAACTGTTCAGAATCTTTCCATATGTTGTGTAAATTATGTTTATTGGCACATGACATATGACAATCATCTCTAAATGAGAAAATTTTGTCGCATCATTATGCTGTTTGAGCATGTCTGCTGATGTTGCTTAGATCTTTGTTAATGTTGCTCTTTGCTTGAAACACGAAAAATTTCTATTCGATAAATTGGTATTATCACATCCGTGTTCAAAATTGTTGTTAATATTGCTTTATGCGTAAAACATCAGAACGTTCTGTGTTAAAGCTCATATCTGAGGGAAATCGAAGCGCATAGATGTAAATTTTGTAAGTACTAGGATTTATATACTGAGTTCTTTAGGTCTAGAACTAGCTTTTGATGATGATGGTCTACCTTGAAAGAGTAGGGGTTATGAGGGTGACAGATGAATAAGATTCCATGCCTCCCAGACACTTTGTGCTCGTATAACTATTGTAGGTATCAAGAGCTTTTGCTGTAACCTGTGGTCTACCGATAGTCAATTCAAAGCGGGACTCCTTGTCCGGCTTGGAAAGGCGATGCTTGACATTGTTGAAAACTTATACATACTTGTGTTGATCTTTACTGGCCTACATGCTGAAAATGCAATCCAGTCCAAGTGAGCTGAAGATGCCTGAAGCTTTTCTTGCATATTTCTCCAACTTGATTTTGGCATGAAATCAAGTTGGAATCGGAGTCCTTTTTCTATTCAGATTCAGAGTCTTCTGAAATCAATAAGTTCTATAGTGGTGGTGTTTAAGGCTAATGTTGAACATGTTATGTAACCGCCTCAGCTTGTTTGTCCTGGATGAAGTATGTTTCTCAGTCTATTATGCTGCATTTGCCGTCTTTCTCATTGACTTCTATTTGTAGTTGGAAAGCCGCATCATGTGCTGTGGCTGTCAGACTTAAGGTTCCGTTTTGAGTTGTAATTGTGATGTCTCTTATTGTTTTTATGTTCATTTAAAGGGCTTGTTGCTGCCGTTGTAAGAACTGCATAAATTGATTGAAAGCTTTGTCCAACATTTCAAGAGCAAGCAGACCTGTAGTTAACTTGAAATATGTGTTCCAAAGAGCTCCTATGTTCTGTTAATTTGCAATGTAATAACTCACTTGAAAAAAAAAAAAAAAAACTCACTTGAAAAGGTTTGAAAAATGTTTTATACTGGACTTTCCATATCTTCAAATCTCAATATGACTGACTGTTTAGGTCATTTCTTCATATCTGGTTAGTTTTACACTTTTACTTGTGCCCAAAAGCTTTTGTAGCCCCAAGTGATCCTGCACAGATGTAGCTAGATGTTCTCATTTATCAATTTTGGTAATTTTGATTTTTAGATAGGAGGTTGACTTCTTGTCAATCAACTAATACTTGTTGTTAACTCCACTCCTTTTATTGGTTGTTGTGCTCAACATTTGTCGATCTGATGCTCCGGTCTTCATCTAGTAACAGTGCAACTCTTTGATGGATGTGATACAGAAGGCATTGGAAATCCAACTTCAGATCATAACTGTGTCTATTCTTTTGTGCTCGTGTTAACTAGATTGAGAAACCTTCCCCTTGAAGGGGAGGATCTATTTGATGTTGTTATTGGTCAAGGAATATTGGTACTGAAAGCTTTATTCTTAAAGTTCCGGGCTCAACTTTAGTCTCCAGAGGTTACTCTCAAGGAGTAGGAGTCGGAATGAGGAAGTGAAGTTGATGCACAATCGTATTAAACTTCTCATTTCATTGAAGGTCTCCAAAACACCCATTCAACCTGAACCAGGTGCATGAGAGTAACGATCTCACCTCCCTTTTTCTTCTTTTTAGCGGTTCAGAGTCAGAGGATGACATAAACTACAGCGTCCAGCATCTTAAAGTGGTCGAGATATATGGATATAGTGGGCGTACAGGTGGGCGTAAAATCGATTTGGAACTTGTCAGGTACTTCCTCAAAAATGCAGTTTCTCTAGAGAAGATAATTGTTGATCCTTATTATAAATTCGCGGTACCTTGGTACTACAATCCTCGGAAATATAGTAGAGCAGATGAGATGGAACTTGATGGCAGACGAAGGCGGGCTAAGCAACAACTCCAGGAGGAACTAATGCAGGAGCTACTAATGATGATGTATGCTGGTATTACAAACAAGTAGAACTGTGTGGTGAAGTTGTAATTTCATTCGACCACGTTGGAATCCTCGCAAAATGATTTCGGACGTGCAGTGATCACTGCCTAGAATATTGGAACGATCATCACCAATATGGTTCACCACTTGCCATGACTTTCCCTCGAAATCAGCTCGAAATACTTCAAAATAACACAGTTCGGCTATCCCGTTCCCATGGATAGACAAACATGATCCCCACGCTCAGAACCAGGTATTGTGTTGACTATAAATAATGTCATCATCAACCAATCAATCACAGACACATACAAATATGGGCATGGAGCATCGTTCACTGTTCAACTACATGCTCACTTTAATTTGTTGAATTCGCATTTTTGTCTTGGGGTTCTTCTGCAAAGAGTCGCCAAAACTGAAGAAATAGAACTTGTAATTTCTTAGTTATCATCATTTAAACCAAAATTTTATGTTATGTTCTCAACTCATGATTCGTAATACTCTCTCTACTCTGAAATTATTATCATAATAATATTTGAATTTTTATTTAGTTAAAATTGTACTCCTCCGACCCATAATTATTGTCCACTTTTACTAAAATGAAAAATTTTATTTTTAGTTAAACTTAACTATATTTTATCTTAAACAACCGGATATACCCCTACATAAGTAATTGTTTAACCACTAAGATTTTATTGACAATGTTTTTTACTAAAGACAAATGTGTAACTTGATCCATAAAAAGTCAAATTGGACAATAATTTTGGGACAAAATTTTTTGGGCAAAGTAGACAATAATTATGGGATGGAGGGAGTATTAAAAATAAAGATCCAAATCGAACCATTATTTTAAGATAAAAGTGAGAATGCATTTGCATAAGCGAGCGGTTTGACTCCCTGAATTGAGAATCATTTAAGGTTTTCTATATAAACAAAGAAAAAAAATTTTAAAAGTAATCAAAAATTTATTACGATTAACTGGAAGTGCCCAATCACGATTGACAAGAGGGAAATTGATTAGACTATGTTACAAATAGTGATAAAAACTATTCTTAACCAAAAAAAAAAACTTATGAGCAACAGTATTTGTCGATCTACCATCCAAAAAACACACATAAACAAGCTAAACGGGCAAGGCGAATTCGTTCATTTCAAAACCACTGAGAAATCTCCAAACCTATACAGTTTTTTTGAGAGTAAGTATCTATGCAATATAAGGATCTTGAATACAAAAAAATTATGTTCAAATTTTTATTTCAAAAAATTAAAATTAAAATTAAAAACCTAACATATTTACAAAAACTCTTAAGCATTATGAAAGGTCTCAAACTCGAATATGCATATTGGAGTAGGAAAATACTATATCATAACCTTTCCTTGCATATGATACCGAAATTTTCTCTCCGATGAATAAAGACCCTCCTGCTTCTTTCACTCCACTCTGGGTTTACCTTTCAGTGGAAATTGTGGATCGAGATTCACCTCCAAACACACTCTAAGCATTATCATCAGGTCCTCAGACTCACATATGTACAATGCAGTAGAAAGTACATCATATATATATCGTATGCTAATTTCTATAACTCAATCCTATCATTGTGAATTTGCTAATAAACTATAACATTGAAATTTTACAACTATGATGTACTATCTACCGCATATTCACATCCATGAGGTTTGAAACATGATGATGCTGATATCGTTGCAGGCGAATCAGGAACCACAGTATCCAAGGAAGATATCAATGTAGGTAGAAATAAATGGATTTGAATAAGAAATTAATGTTTTATGAGATTGAAAAATAATGATTGTCAAATTCTTTGATCCTACACTTGCATATAACCAAAAAATACTAAATGAATAAAAGCCAAACCTTCCAAAGTTTAACTTGTAAAAATAATACCAGCAGAGAAAGTAGAACAAAAGGAGGAAGGGGTGAGAGAAAATTAATCTTCACAAAACATTAAAAATTGATTTACAAAAATTCTACATAACAAATGCTATGAAGTAAACCATGATATAAGAATTGAGAAAGCCGGAATAGAATTACTTTCATTTTTTATTTTATTTTTTGCCCTGTTGAGAACAGCAATAGTGCCATGGCAAAAGGCCTTTGTGGAGTAGATGATGGTGCACGATAATGGAATTTCAAATTAATTAAATAGAGGTATAGGTTGGAAGGAAATTAAGGGAAGGATCTTCGAAATATCATATGATTCTGCATGCCAAAAGTACCATAATATTTATACAGAATGGAACATTTAATTAGGATCCATTATATATCACCCACGATAATGCTAAAAAATATCAATTAAGAAGAGATAAGTTCATATGATGTGATCCAAAATTCTCAGGAAAATGAAATTAAAATTAATCTGAAAATGGAAATAATCAATCTAGAGATAAAAGTAGTAATCAAAATCTTCTTGCTTTTATGCTGTAAACCAAAAAGAAGTTTAAGATGATTTTGTGATTTTGAAGTTTTGACGGAATGGAGAGTTTATGAATCTTTTCCTGTACAGTCGGTAGACCAAACTAGTCCACGTCGATGAATGATAATGACAAATGGGAGAGTTTATAATTTTCATTAGTGATAATGATAACAAGTAATCCCTCCGTCCCATAATTATGTCCAATTTTACTAAAATGAAAGATTTTATTTTTAGACAAATTTAACTATATTTTACTTTGAACAACCGGATATACCCCTATATAATTAATTATTTAACCACTAAGATTTTAATGGATAATGTTTTTTACTAAGGACAAATGTGTAACTTGATCCATAAAAAGTCAAATTGGACAATAATTTTGGGATAAAACTTTTTGGGCAAAGTAGACAATAATTATAGGACGGAGGGAGTAGTTAGCAAGATATATTCCGTTGACAATAGTGACTTATTCCTTCGTAGACACTTTAGCGAAAAAATTTTTGTGGAAAAAAAAAATCTATTCACCATAGAGAACGTTAATTGCAGTTTAGTCCTCAATTAAACTAGTGTAATCTTGACTTTTTAGATATATAAAAGTAACTAGATGCTTGGCCCGGACAGATGCTCGGGCGCCCCTCTACTTTAATTTTATGTTAATAGATAAATGAATTATTAATTTAGAAAAAATAAAATAGCTACACATTTGATTTTTTTTCCCTTTTTAGCCAAAAATAAAAATAAAAATAAAAAAATTATCTGCCAAAGGAGAAAAAATATTGAAAAGTACAACGATGCAGAAATCATACAAAAGAATTTGGAGTAATAAAGGGGATAAGTTTATGGACAAATTTAAATGCTATTTTAATTTGATTAATAAATGATAAATGTTAAGAGTTAAAATTGTGTAACTATTTTTGTAAAGTAGCTTTTGTTTTTACGGATAAGAATTTTTTTTTTTCTTTTAAAAAGGGATAACACGTGGCAGAATGGTTAATGTTACATGGTGCATTTGGAGCCAACAACTTTTAATAAGAAGTTGCCATGGTTAATGTTACATGGTGCATTTGGAGCCAACAACTTTTAATAAGAAGTTGCCACATCAACATCTTGTATTTTGCTTTAATATGGTAAAAGGGATTTTGATCACAAGACACATGTCGCTCAATTAGAATATTAATAGCTTTCACAGTAAATATTAACGATAAAAATAGTTAATCTTTTATATTTACTATTTATCTTAAATTAAATAGTAAATCATTTATTACTTTTTGTTTACTATTCGCCGGCCTTGATCTCCAATTATTCGGGTAATCGTTATATCTAGAACAATTTATAGACTATTTCCAATCATTCTACTATTGCCGATAACTCCGTCTCGTTGCCATAAAAACTAAACCTGAAATTATTTCGCTGTTGATTATTTCTCTTGATTCCGGCAGAATTTCGGCGTCGCTTGCTACTTGAAATCCTTCATATGGTTTTTTTCGATATATATATGTGTTCCCGAACTGAATTGCCGGGTAAAATCTTCATCCTTTGGGAAGTAATCGTTGTCGGAATATACATCTTCAGGCCGCCCTTTTTACGTAAATTCATCGAAAGGTGATGATGGAGAGGAGAAGAAGAAAGACGGGGACAAGGAAGAAGAGAAGAAGGAGAAAGGCCTGCAGCACACAGCCAACATAAGAATGAAAGTGTAAACAAAGAAGAAAGTCGGTGGCGGCGGCAAAGAAGAAATACCAATGCTTTTGGATTTAGTATCAATGGGTTAGGGTATTTTTTTTATTATTACAACATAGTATTAATTTACTTGACCTGTTCTAAATTTGAAATTCAAACGAACTTTTTAAATATAGAAAAATATACAGATAATCATTTAGACTTGTGGGAGGTGGTTTTGTATTGTTTGAAATTCAAAACAAGATTAAACTTTATGATAAAACGATCACATTTCATGTATCATGTCGGGTACATAGTAATGGGACTCAAGTCCAAATTCCCGCAGAAGACCTCCCGGACAAAGACCTCAGCGGTAACCTTGACTTCTTCGATCCTTCTAATACAGATTTCACACTTTCTTTATTAAACCTGTATTTCACACTTTCTTTATTAAACCTGTATTTCACACTTTCTTTATTAAACCTGTATTAAGGAACATGTTTTATACATTGGTTTGTTCCCTTCATAAATTTGTATGAAACAGTGGATTTAAGTGTCTCAATCCTCATCTCCCTCTCGAGCATGCTCTCTCTCCTTCTCTCTCTCTCTTACATATACATGGATTTTATAATTTGTCAACGATGATAGAGGGCAACAATGTGTATATGCGGGTTGTTCACTATTTAATATATCTATAATTTTTTTTTATAAGAAGCGTCATAGGGAAATCGAAGGACACAAACGAGTCCGGAGTTTGGGGACTTCGAGATGGGCAATGGAAATTAGGATTATTGGCTACTGAAGAAACTGGAAGTTTGTATTTGTGTGTATATGTTTCCATTTTAGATTTAGTACTCTCTCCGTCCCAAAATTATTGTCTATTTGAATTTTCAAATTTAGTTTAATTTGTACTAAAAGTGAAAATCCAAACTGGATAATAATTATGGGTCGGAGGAAGTATTTTGTTTGATGAGTAGGGAAATTAAAATCATGGTTAGGCAACCAGGTTTATGAAATTCTTGAAGTTCGAAGTTACTATTTTGAAAAAAATTATTTTTGCTTTCTTGTCAACATAATTTTTTGGTGGGGTTTAATAAATAAATATAAAAATGCTGCGAAAATTTCAAGAATCACTTAAAGAATACAAAAGAAAAAAAAAATTTAAAAATAACTCAAGACTGGAAAATCTTATTTGATGTGATAATATTGAATAATGAAAAGACCTTTTGATGTAGTCAATTTCTTTGAAAAAAAACCTTTTGATGGACGAGATATTTTAACATTTTTTTAAAAAAAAAAACGTTTCTTTTTCAAATACGGTATACTAAAAATAACAAAGTTACTTGATCAACTAATTTAAAGTAATATAGATGTAATAACTTTTTTGATTGTTTTACCAATTAAACTTTAACTATCAATTAGTGTCTATTTCTTTCAAATTTTGGATGACTCCACTTGCATTTTCTTAAAAGGAACCTAAATATGTATAAGTAGTGATATGTACAGGGAAAAAATGATAATGAAAATTTACAAGGAATAATGTGTCAAACATCAAAACTAAACCTTAACCTTAAATGTTTAAACCCCATATGGAAAGTTTTTAAAATGGATGGGTGAGATCATTTCCTTATTATTTTTTCTTGTAATTTTTCCTTGTACCTATCATTATTTAATATGTATATTCGTATTGATGTGTATCACCATATATCTCTCTATGTGTATCCTCTCATTTTGTGAGATTTATATAAATCTTAATATGACTGTTTTCGTTTACAACTGGAGAAAATCCAATATCTTACTATATTAGAAACAAAAACCACATTTAAGACCACCATTTGCCATGTGACATTTCCACATCATATTTTTAAAATAAATTTTTATTTCCACATCTCCTAAACTTAAAAGGTAAATGCAGTCCAAATTTATTTCCACCTCCTCAATTCGTCAAAATAAACAAAAAAAAAAACCACAGGTTCATAAAAAACCCAAATACTCATCCCCATCGCCATGACAATCGACTCCTTAATCAATCCCTTCTCCACAATTAAAAAAAAAAATTACTCATCAATCATCAATTGAGAATATGTGGTGAAATATACTCCTTTCCTATTAGTATGTTCAATCTTTTCATTAGTGATGATCAACTACATCCTAATCGGATAAAATTTTAACTTCAAAAAATATTCTCTTTACCTCTCTATATAAACACAAAGGAAAAAAAAAATTCTCATTGATCTTGCTTCGGCCGTTGTGGTGGTGCCATTACAGGTATTAAAATTTAAATGATTTTATTTCCACAGATAATTGGTTTGGCTTTTATTATTTTTTATTTTTCCCGTTCAAGAATAGTGTTATTACTATTATTTTTATGCGTCTATCCGTTACAACTACCGAAGCCGTTGTCAGGTAGTATGATGTGATTTCTTATTTGGTTAATTAGTCTAGAATTTTTGTATGATTTTAGTTATGTTTGGATTGAATTGATTGATTGGGTTTTGTTACAAAGTGTGGTTTTTTAAATTTTTTTTATGTTTCATTCAATTAGAGTGGTTTTCTTTTTTTAATTATGGAGTCTCAGGTTTTTTTTCGTATATGGCCAGTTATGAAGTGTATTTTTTCTTTGTTTAATTGCTTTTGATTTTGTTTCATACCAATTATTATTATTATTATTATTATTATTATTATTATTATTTTATTTACAAATGAAGCATTTTTTTTTTGTGTTCGGGGTTTCAAGAATATACTTTTTTGAATTTGGTTTTTGGATTTTTTTTAGTTTCTCGTCATATAAATAGTTCAGGTCGCTTCTTTTAACTAATTTATGTGGAAGCCTTTTATGAATTTGAGGTGGAGAGGGAAGGAATGATGTTTCCACGTTTATTTATGTTTTTATACATCATTTTTACCTACAGAAAAAAAAAATAAAAATTCTCAAATTTTAATGGGCTATCTTTTACTTTTTTTTTTTATTTGCCATGGTGAGGTGAGTTCTTTTTTGTTATATCTTGAAATCTATGCAAATTTACATTATTTTCATTCTCATATTTGTGATCAACCAGTTTCAATAATTAACCAGTATCAAAATCATATTTTTAATATTTTACTATCTATAAACTTTTGGAAGAAATAGTTCCAACGATTAAGCGTATACCCTTTAGAGGAAGCTAACTACAAAGCTATTATAAATCTCCAAAACTAAGTATTGATTTGGTACAACCAATGGAAAACATCAATAAATTATCTTACTAATATTTAAACTTATTAGGATACTTTTATATTTTTTCTAGCATTTACTTCAAGACATATATTGGATCAAGTTTATTTATATTTAAGAAGTAACACTTATAAAACATTTCTAAAATCTTCAAACATTTCTAAAACGTACCGGGCCAAATACAATTTATTTTTATGCCAAATACAAACATCACACTTATAAAACATTTCTAAAATTCTTCAAACATTTCTAAAACGTACCGGGCCAAATACTATTTATTTTTATGCCAAATACAAACATCACACTTATAAAACATTTCTAAAATTTTTCAAATATTTCTAAAATATATCGGGCCAGATACAAAATATTTTTTTTTCAGATACAAACATTTCTAAGATCTATAAATATATTGGGCCAGGGTCACGCATTGCGCCACCAGACATCACTAGTCTAAAGTAGAAACAAGATTTGATGTCGAAATTAAACTTTGAAAGGCCATGTTCATATATTTTAAAGTATGTGAGAGATGAAAGTGATCATTTAAAGTTTGAAGGCCAATTGAAGCAAAATTCGTAGTGAAAAAAAGGTGAAATAAATGATGTGGATTATTGAAGAATGATTAATGTTGGTTGGGACTTGGGATCTATGCTGAAACTAGAACAAAGGGATTTATTTATAACTAAGAACAATAGAATTATTTAGTACTCTCTCCATTCCAAAATATATGTCGTTGGAGGAAAACGGTTTTTTTTTTTAAATATATATATATATATCTCGTTTTCACATATCTAGGCATATTTTGTCAATTTCTTCAAATATTGTCCATACATGGGAAATCGTAATTATATTTAAAGTAAAAATGTATTAGAACTAAATGATAATGGGAATAAAATTGTATTGAGAATAAATATTTTGGAATGAAGGAAATATCATCATTCGAACCATATAAATCGTTTAACAAAGGGATTTATATTTATAAAAAAGGTAGTAGTAATAATTTATTTAACTAGAATACTCCTACAAGTCCCAAAAATGATAATCCATATTGTACTTTATGATTTTATAATTAAAAATAGTATAAATATAAAACACAATATAAATACTGTTTAAATATCGAAGTATTAATACCAATATGCGGACATAATACTAGTTGTTGGAATGGAAAGTTTGGCCTAACAATATCAGAAGTAGTAGAGAGCTTCTTAATGATAATAAATTAATAAAGGGGTGTGATTTTTCAATATTTTTTTGAAAAAATAGGAGTAACAAAGAAAGTAAATTAGTTAACAAAAATTGCAATTCCAAGTCCTCATCACTCGTACATAATTACTTTCGAGGAAATAAGAAAAAAAGGTTTTGCCTGTCAGGATGGTGGGCGTTATTGCAACTTTAGTTTAATTATTTCGGAGCAATATTGGCAATATTATTCATACCTCCTAACTTACCATCCTTAGGCGATCTGACCTAGATTCCACCGGCATTTAACGCCTCTATTAAGATTCTTAGGCCCACCCTACCAACAGACTTGGGCCTTGCAGGAATATGCATGCCTTAAGCCCGCTAGCCTACCACCGTCATCCAGGCAACCGTGATTGCTCAGGGAAACACTTATATGGAAAGCATCTCTCCCGCAATATACCGATGTGGGACGAAAATCTGCATCAATTCACTAATTAAAAACCACTACAGTCTACAAATGGTGCGATGAAATAATTGCGATTACTTAAATTCTTAGAAAACCACATTCAGTCACATTGCGTGGCAGTTGACAGTGGACTTTCCCTGCATCGGAATTCGGAATGCCACCGAATAAGTAACCCCATTATTAACAATAAAATGGAGCACTGAAATTCCTTAGGACGATAATTAATTTTCAGACAAAGAACTGTTCTGTTTTGTTCCTTTGAGATCCACCCCACTTCTAAAAATGACCAAAAACAAACAAATCAAGGACGAAACTGCAGAAGTAGTATCAAATGAATTGTCAATTACTGGTTCCTCTGCTCCCCGTAAACGCAACAAGTCACCCGGGATCAGAATCATTGGAGGGAGAATTTATGATTCCTTGAATGGAAAAAGTTGCCACCAGGTACATTTTTTTTCTTATAATGGATTCTTCTTCAAGATGAATTTCGGCTTTTCCTTGTGCAAAGTTTGCTTCTTTTTTTTTTTTGGGTTCCGAATCAGGGATTTTGACATTTCATTTCATTCTGGTGTAGTGTCGCCAGAAGACCATGGATTTCAGTGTCTCATGCAAGAATCATACCCGAGAGAAGCAATGTACCCTCCATTATTGTCACAGATGCCTCTTGAACAGGTCATTTCTTTGATCTTCCTTCTTTTTTAGTGGATTCTGAAGCTGTCTTACCTTTTCATTGTTGTTTCTATGTAAATTTCTTGTTAATTGGAAAAGCTGACCTGAAAATGTATACTTAACGATGATTTTTACATGGTTACTGCATGTTTAAGAAGATAAATGCCTAAGCTGAATTTTTTTTTTCTTCTTTAATGTAAATTAGATATGGGGAGAAAGCTGAAGAAGTTACAGCATTGGAGCTCAAGTGGAAATGCCCTTATTGCAGAGGAGTTTGCAATTGCTGTAAATGCATGTAAGTCCTCTTTTGCTGAGAGAATTCACTGCTTTCATAATGTCTGTATATGTTGATTGGATTTGATGGAAAATTAAGTTGCAATTTGCAGGAAAAGGCGGGGTTGCATGCCGACTGGCAGACTTTTCTTGGTTGCCAAGGCCAAAGGATACTCATCCGTTTCAGACATGCTACAGTTGGAAGAATTCCAAAAGCCCCCCAAAAATGTATCAAAGAAGCACAAAGCTTCTCATGAGGTCCAACCAAATCTGTTTTAATACCTTTCTGGTCTTAATTGTGTATATAGACAGTTGTCACCGACCATATTGTCGGAAAATTGTTTGATTTTCTTTTTACGATCAATGTAAGATGCCAAAGTGTATTAATATTTTGATTTTTTTATGAGTTAGTGGCCTATTGGCTGATTAATCACATTTTGCAGGAATCAGCTGCAAGTTCAAAGAGAGGGAAGCTGAAAACAAGTATAGATGATAAATCAAATTCAGTTTGCCCTGTGGAGTCTTTGATTGGGAAGGGCAATCAGAAGGATGGTGCAAGTACTAAGGAATCAAAACCAAAATCCAATGATGGAAAGGATGATGCTGTGAATGGGAAGGACAAAAAAGACGTTACTGCAGATAAGAGACTCAGTGGGATGGGTGCTATTCTTACTAAGGTTTCTACCAGACAAGAAGTTAATAGAGTTCTCAGAGGTTCTACCCAGAATTTGATGTCCAGAAAATCAAGCAATGCCGAACAAAGTAACTTAGATGAGTGGTCTGAAATGAAAATTAGAATTGATGCCAAAAAGGCGAAATCGGAAATTCAGCCTGATGAGAAAGCTGTACCAGATCTTCAAGTTAAAGTTTCAAATGTGGAAATTCCCCTGCCTCGGGCCACTGAGTTAACTCAAGTGGCCAATCTTGACTTTGCTTCCGAAGATGTTGGCAATGCACTTCAGTTTTTGGAATTTTGTGAAGCTTTTGGACAGGTTAACTACAATGTTGTTTCTTTTATTTCAATGGGCATAGTCTTAATTAACATACCCTTTCTGACCTTGTGTATGTTGAACTTTCATGGTTACCGCTTTAACAATATAGCTCCATTTCAAGTTCTGCTTTTCACAATAAAGTTTATCTTCGTATTCAGTAAGTAGTAAACTTTCTTCCAGTTCTGAAGTTAACCCCTCATTAGCATGTGGAGAATGAGACTTATTTGTTAGAAATAGTGCAGTGGTGCATTGTGAGAGTACATAACCCAAGGCTTTAACGATTGAAATGCTGCAACTTCAGCGGTTAGGATTTACTGAGATAAGCGTTGAATTTATCAGGCTCAAAACAATAAGCTCATTATTTTGTTTTTTGGTTTCAGTCAGGCTGATACTTTTACTTTATGGCATTCATTGGTTGATTTGTAATTAAAGATCAGTATAGTTGATAGTACGTAGAGGATAATTTTCTCAAGAATGATTAAGATTTTTTAGCTTAGCTTACATTAATGTAGCCTAGTGTTTCCTCCATTTTCTCAATGGTTTGTGACACCAATACTACTTACTGCTATTGAAATACAATTTCCTCTGATCATTTTCCTTGAACCGGTTGACATTCCTGACTTGTAGTTCAAATTCTTAATGCTTTGTATTTTTTCATTTTCCATCACAGGTGCTCGATTTGAAGCAAGGAGAGTCTGAATCTCTGCTTCAGAGTCTAACATGTGGTCGAGAACCACACAGAAGTTTTGATTTCTCAATTGAAAGGCTCCACATGAAATTGCTCTCCATGATAGTGAAAGATTCAGAAAATGGGTAGGAACTTGTACTCAATTGTACTTGCTGCTGGTCAGGCCGATTTGAATAAGTATATAGGATTTCTTCTTGATGCAGATGTACCTCCTTAAAAGATAGAGATGGAAGTTCATGGATGGATGCCTTTCAGAAATACATATGTTCCAACTCCAACATGTCAAAAAATTTAAAATCGGCTTGCTCTCACCTGAGCCACGAAGGATACGCTAAATTAGACGGTTCAGAAAAGCTTAGAATCTTGACCTTTCTATGTAATGAAGCTCTTGGGACAAAGTAAGACCTACTCTCTAATATCTCTTCACTCTGAACGTATGTTCTGCGTTAATTAGTTCTGTAGTTTTCGGCCTTTAGAGAGCTAAGAATGTGGATTGATGAAAAACATATGGAGTTTGTTCAAGAAAGGAAAAGAGGCAGGAAAATGATTCTTGATGAGGTATGGTATTAAAGTCTACAGCAGCTTAGTAGGCTTATTCTCCCCTTCTACTTGACATAACATGATGCTTAATGCAGGAGAAGAATAATAAGATCAGGGTCAAGAATGAGGTGGCTAAAGCTATCCTCACAAGAGCTCCTCTATCTATTACCGAACATGAAAATCTTTTTTCAAAGATAAAAATGGAAGCTTCTCATTGTCTTTCACATTCTGATATGAGTATGTTCTTTTGAAATTTACTCTGATGAAATTGTGAAGAACTATGATAAAATTCCCTTCAATTGTAGCCAAATGCAAGCAGGCAATGTGGAGAATTCTCACAACTTATTGTTTAGCTTTTTCATGGATGTCGAGTGCAATCAAAATCTGACAAGAACTTACTTGTCTCCTTTATAAATTATTTTAAGTTTTCTAAATGCATGATAGTTGAACAGAAAATTGCTGTTCAACCTTTTATAATGTGCAATTACTACTTGCATCAGGAGGGACACATGATTCCGTTGCTACAAGATTGAATCCAGTTGTATCAGATGCATCTGGTCGCAATTTCTGGCAATTGGGAAGCTACTCCGGGGGAATGGATGTCCTGCTTCAAGGTGGTAAAAATTCCTTCATACACTTACCACTTTATACCTTTGTATCTCTAAATTTATCCTAAGCTCTTACGTGCAGATGTTCCCAATCGAGATGAGGTTACTCCCACAGAAAGATGGTTCTCTTATGATCTTAACGAGAAGGCACATGTTGAAAGATACATCTCATCATTTAAGGTCAGGAGAATATATTTGCCAAATTTTCTTACGCTTTGAGCCTTGAGCCTTTTGCTTTGAAGCCACAGAAGATTAATAACTTAATCAAATCATTTGCTGGTACAATGAATAAAGGTATCTAGGTTATATCCCAACATCAGATATGTGATGGATGTTTAAGGATCATACTTTTGAAAACAATGTCATATGTTCTACGCGTGACATCTTCTAGGAAAATCTTGTTTCCATTTTCAGAATGGACTGTGGGATGATATATTTTGGTCTAATGATCATCAAGTGACTGATGGAAAACTCATATTGTGCTTGCAGGATGCTTTATAATCGCGATAAAATATGCGTTGCGTTGGGATATCAAGTTTCTCTTGGTTCCTTTTGAAGAATCTAAGAGTAATTTTGTTGTTTCAAAGGAAGTTTACCATAAGGCAATGTTGATATTTGTAGTACTTTTCCCATCCATCCCTTTGTGCTGGAGTTGAGACCTGAGACAACCTCTTCCTAAGTATATATATGTACACTTCACTCCTTGTTTGGCAGCTTTTGCTATACTAGTCCTAGTTAATTATTTCAGTTCTCTCTCTCTCTCTCTCTCTCTCTCTCTCTCTCTTTAATTTCAGTTCTCTAATTAATCATAAATCTGAAAATTTTACGTGCGGTCCTATGGTTTTATAGCACGCACTCTTACTGATTTGATTTGTTTTAAATTCTATTAAGTATGTTATACTAATTGAAAATAAAATATCAAAAAAATATATTTTCACATTAATTGTGTTCTCCTAAGTATAATAAAATATTATTAAGGATTTGTTTTCAATCGGAAGAACTACTACATGAAATTTATGATAAATCAAAATGTTCATGAGAGAGATTGACTTGACTCCCGAAAATTTATATAAATCAAAATATTTTAAAACAAGGGCCGAAGAGAGGTCATGACTCAAAATTCTAAAGTACTATCAAATGCCCTGAAAAATGGAATTTAGACATGCCAAATATGCAAAGTCTTTCTTTTTTCTTTTTTGGTTTAAAAAAAAAAGACATGATTTTAAATCATCAATTTCTTTCAAGGTAAAACACGATATAATGAATGTTGATCATCACACAATCTGCATCATAATGTAAGAAAATAGGATTGTTTTCACTATTTTCCATATAATATACTCCTTCCGTCCCATAATTATTGTAGTTTTCATTTCTGGTTCAAATTATATTAAGAGTGAAATCTCAAATTAGACAATAATTTTAGAACATGGGTAGTATATTTTGCGTTTAATAAAACGTTTTTTTTTTTATTTTTTTTATTTCTCCTACTAAACTAAACAGCTTTTCCCACAAAATATTTCCACAAAAAAAACCGCTTTCTTTTTTCATCACGCCTACAAAGAAAGCCCGCCCGTTTTCAAAAAATGATGTATTTATCGTATCCTCCGCCCCACCGCCTCCCACCGAAGCCCTTCTAGAAACCGCAAAACATAGCGACTGACTGCAACTTGTGGACATTCATAATAAAGCTTTATAAGAAGGAGAAGAAATTTGCCACTGAAAGCGCGGGGGGAGAAGATCAAATAGAATAGAAGATGGAGGATTCAGGGGCGATTTTGTTCCATATTTCTTCTCTCAAGGAAATGCTTGATCAGGTACACAGTATTATGATTAGCAACTTATGTTTTCCTAGTCTCTTATCACTCATTCGTACCGGAAAATGATCAATTTTGCTTTTAGGTTAACGAAGAGATCGAGAAGAATATACAAGTCACCAGAGATATCGAATCGGAGATCGTCAAGTGCGAAGAAGTTGAATCCGCTTTAATTGCTCGGGAGCTGGAATTGATGAGAAACGCCTACGGTTTGCAGCTCGAAATTCAAGGACTGAACACCGTATCTGGTACGTTTTTTTTTTTCTTTCTTTTACTGAGATCAGAAATTTAGAACCAGAGGAATTATATAATTCTTTTTCTTCCACAATTTTGTTTATTAATTCGTTGATATTAGTGTACTGGCAAAACGAATTCGGATGCAGTTGATACAGTTTGCTGGAGTCTGTTTTTGGAATTTCTTTTACACAGATAGCAGATGAAGATGTTAGTTTGAAAAATGCATGTGAAACGTTTGTAACATTGCCAAGCACGGATGAGGTGTGTTTCTTCCTGTGAAGGACCGGAATGATTTGTGTTGGTGTGAATTGTTGGGCTTAAAAATCTCTAAAACATTACGCCTTTGCGCCATATATCATTTTATTTTGTTTCACTTTCTTTTTTTTTTTTTTTGGAATAAATGATTTTTCACACGCCTGATTCGTTTTTAGCGGTGTAATTGTGTGTTATTTTCGACCGATTGAACTGTTTCTTCTGTCCTGTAAGATGTCTAGCAAGGACTAAACTACGTTTCTGTATGTATTGCAGCTGATTCAGCAAGCTCAGTGAAACTGTTGGAAGAGGATTTGTGTCGCTTGAGAATGAAGAAAACCGAGACAAAGAGAAGAATGAACAGCAGATGGTAATCTTCTGAAATTCAGTTACAGATTCATGTAAAGAACACAACTGGTTAGATAACTCTTTGCAGCTTATAGATTGATGTACTACTTTATCACTGCAATTTGTAAATACTTTTAACTTCCTTCAATATGTCCCTGTCAAGTCTGCTCTCTCTACTTGTATATTCTGCAAAAGGTTTGTGTTATGACATGTTCCATTACTTGGTATTATCAGTTGCTCTAAGTCTAACTAATGTAAATTCTCCACAATTTCCCTTATCCTAGTCAGTGAAAATATAATTGAAGCTGGATGCAGATTCAGGGGGGAATACAATTAGTGATAAGCTTCAGTTGCTTTTTCTTGTTGGCATGTTGCAGGGAAGGGTTCGTTGCTCTATGCCTAGAGTTCCAGAAGGATATAAGTAAGCCAGAAAGTCCTCAAGCTTGGAAATTGATGGAGGAGAAAGAATCCCTAGAAAATGAAATTCATAATTTGAGCCAGAAGAACAATGCTCTACAAAACTCTATGCAGGCTTTTGTGGAAGAGGTAGTTGCCGAACTTCAGTGTTCAATATCAGGTAATGTCATCTTAATTGTACCTCATTTATTGTGATATGTCTTGATCCTTTTTTCCTTTCTGATCATTTCGCTCTGATGATTCTTGAATGTAGCAGCTTTACAAGTTGACATTCAGAGGAAAAGTTTCGAAAATGAGAATTTGCTTGGGGATATAAATGAGCTAAAGGCAACCCTGCTTTCAGCTATCTCTGTTGGACTTTGATATTAGATTTGGTAAGTTCCCCTTGATATAGAAACATCTATATTAGTCCTGTTGTTTCTGGAGTTTCTTTATTGCCACTTGGCCCTTTGATTTTTCTTCTCTAAATTCAGGATTTCCCCTTACTATCTGGGAAGATGGAGGGGAATGTCCTCCGACAATTTCACAAACATTTTTCTAGAATCTCTAGCCCAAAGTTAGACCTTTTTGCATTCCAATATCAATACTATCTGTTCATGTATATCCCAAGCAGAACGAGAAGCATACGTTCTTGGGAAAAGCCCCTGTAAATCATTTAGTGATTGTGATCAGTTAGATACCATTATCAATCATTGTGTTTCTTTGTGCACACATCTGACATCCCATTGCTGAACCCTAGATTGTCCGAGGAATTTAACCATTTATACAAATTCGTCCTTTACAGCCTGTTATGACCAGATTGCTGAACCCTGATATGAATGAAGAATAAAGCAAAACAGTCCTGTTATGACCAGATTGGCAAAAAAAAGTTTACAAGGAAAACCATCAATGTTTCATTTGTTTCTTCTTCTTTGGATATAGCTTTGTTGAGGAAAGATTTGAGAAAGTTTGATGAGATGAGGAAAGAATGGTTAAAGTTACATTAAAACCATATATTCCATTATTGTTGTCTTCCAGGTCGAAGACAGTGGTGGTCTATAGCTTTCCGATAATCACATGCTATTTGATCTTCTTAAACCGTACAGTTTAATTTGGTCTTCTTTTTGTATTATTGCAGGTAGGGATACTGCAAACTCAGCACGGGACATTCAGACTTCACGATGAATCTGGTAAAAAAATCTAACCTGTCTATGTTGCCTAGTCAAGAAAAAAGCAATCTGGAATCATTTGTAGTAGCCCAAGGACCTAGGTTGTACAAATTCACTTGCATGGCAGTAGTTGATCTTCGTGGAACATTACTGTAAACACTCGTGGGGGGTGCAGTAAAGAACCACACCACATGTGAAGTACTCTATGGGACCTTTTATGACCCATGATGTTTTTGTATGAAAAGCTTTTACCCCTATATTACTGTATCTATAACATAAGAACTCTATATAGCGCATGAATGTATCCACGTACATTTGCCCAGGCATTTTGCACTTTGGCACGGACGTTAGTGTGACAATTTCTGTGTTACGATAACAGAATATAACCAGTTTAAAATTGTGAGTAATACGAAGAACAATACTATTTAGGTTAACTTGTGAAAACCAATTTACAACTGACACAAACGATTTTAAACCATCCACCCATGAATATGAAACACGACTAGATTGCGTCTTTGGTTCGTGAGTCTAGCAAGCAAGTGGATATAGTTGGGGCCCAAAGTTCATAACCCATTATAATAGAGAGAGCATGCATGGGAGAGATGTTCAATTCTCTTTTTAGATATTTTGACCTTTCTTTGGAAGTTAAAGACTGACCAGTGGGGAGGGGGGGCAGCATTGATCTTCTTCTTACATAGTGCCTGGAGAAGCAGCAGACGAAGAACTTGACGCAGAAAATGTATGTGAAGATAGATCACGCTGCTGGAAATGCTAATGGAGGTTCATACAAGAGAAAATTTCGATTTAAAGTTGAAAGGGAGTATCTCAAAGAACAGAAGAGTAGACTTTTCATAATCAAGACTTGCATTGTGTTGCTTCTCTGCTGGCGTGATTAATGTATATAGTCTTGCGATCAGTGTGGCTTCATGCCGGCCTGGTTTTCTACTACTCTTGCCTGTTGGTTCTGTTGAAGCTTTGAGGCTATTTCCATCCATCTTTAATTTACTTACTTCTCTTGTTATTACTCTATTCGTACAAAAAAAAAAAAAATTTGTCTTGTTTGATGTATTATTTTTAATACTACAAACAAGCCAATCATTTACGGTTGATGGAGTATTTTCTTAATATATATAGGCTCATGGTCCAACATTAATTAAATCGTTGGAACTCATGATCTGTCTTCTCTCCAAATTTCTTGGTTCGTCTTTTCTATTTACTATTATCAACAAAGAATGCAAAGAAGTGACTAACTTTTAAACTACCATATATCGCATATTGAAACTCGTAAATGTAATGAGGAATCATCAACTAATTTAAGCCTGGAAGATTAATAGTTAATAGCACATATTAAAAGCACTTTCATTCGTGTTATCATTACTACAACCCTTTTGAAATAAACAGACTGCAATGCGGTTACTCTTACATGTTAGATCCTCAGCTTACCTATTCTTTGTTGTGATTGGACATCTACAAAACCTTATTCCACACAGAGCCAAAAAAAAAAAAAAAAAAGGAAAAATTTCACGAAATGTCCATAATTAACCTTTCGATTAACTATTAATTACTCCTTCCGTCTCATGATTATTATCCAGTTTGGGTTTTTTACTTTTAGTACAATTTAAACTAAAATGAAAACTCAAACAAAACCATAATTATGGGACAGAGAGAGTACTTGAGAATATTTAGCACACAAATACTTTTAGTTTTTGGTATCCTCAATTGGTGTGCGACACAAGAGATAATCATGCATGAAGGATGTGCAAAATGGAACTAATCTTAAATCATCCAGTGCTGATAGTAGCTAAATCAAATCACTAGTGACTCTATATTCTGCAAATCATCCAGTGCCATAAAAACACCCATATAATATTCAATATTCCACATAGGAACATTAGTACAGTATTGCAAAATTTACGCTATCCCTTTAGCATCATTACTATCAATGCTGATGTCTTCATTATAGTTGTTTTTTTTTTTTCCCTTATAAGATATAAAAATCTCTAAAAAAAGATTTTTTTTCTTTAAGATATAAAAAGCTCTAAAAAGTCTTATTTAAAGAGACATGATATTTTGATAGTGAAACGAAAATAGTATGTATGATTTTTTTTTTAAAAAAAAATGTGATGAAATTATTATTATTTTGATTTAAAAAATTCGAAAAAAAAAAGAAGAAGAGAGACTTCCAAATTTGAGTTTAACCTTTTTACTCCGCCCAAAAGCCCTAACATTTTACGCCCCCCATTTTTAAATTTTATTATCGCCCAAGAGACCACCATCCTCCGACGGGGGATTTCACCACTCCAGAAACTCAGCCTCCACCGTCGTCGCCGTTGATACTTCATAACCGTCACTATCTATTAGATATATTGAACGGAGTTCGTCAGTAGCCTGCTCGCTCAAATTCCCTGCCGTATGCAATCTCAGGTCAAATTTTCTCACTTGCCCTGTGTTAAAATCTTCTTTTGATGCATACTCGCTGTGACTCTTTCTTGTCTGTAAATGCGCATTTAAGGTTTATTTATGCATATATCTAGTTCTGTGTAGCAGTCATTGATAATGGGGGTTAAATTTGGGGGAAATTTGAAAGTCATTGGTTTTATTGTTGCTCTTTTCTGTTTTTTTGTTAGTTTGTTTAGAAAAGTTATCCCTGTGTTTTTTGGGTGGAAAAAGTTGTTAGCTTGGCTCAAGTTGGGTGGAGATTGATAAAGCTACCTGCTTTTATGGCTGGATGCTGATGAATGTATGGTAGTTTTTCAGTCTATTACATAATTACATTTGGCTGATTGAGAATTCGAGTTGAAGGAAAATAGATGTCCGGGCAAAAGTTTTCGAAATATTAGAGATGTGTTTGTCCAGAATATGTTCTTTGACAAGCTTCAGGGTGTATTTTTAATCAAGAATCATAAGTTTGGTTTTCTTATCATATTGGATCTTGGACCAAATTGATGCCATGCACGCCACCTACTTTCCAAAATCGTTCAGATAGCGAATGTGATATTGAACTAGACTAACTAGGTTTTGCCTGGGAATTTCGGCTATTATGGATTTGTAAATTCTGTGGCAAACATTCTTTCTTATTTTTCTATGGTTTTTTCAAGTCTCTTTTTCCTTTTTTTTGTTAAATGCTTAATTGTTTTTGTTGTTTCTCTTTTCTCAATTATTGGGGAAGAAAAAAAACCGAAAGCTGAAGAACTAGAAAGTAACTAAACTCATGCTAAAAAAGGAAACATAAGTATATTTACGTCAACTAGATTAATAACTTAACAAGCGAAAGCACACATTGCGGAAAAAAGAAAAAGGACAGTCTGGTATATAGAAGTTTTTGGGTGCTGGGTTTGGGTAAGGATTGTTCCATTAAGACCGTGATGTATTTTAATTTGATTCCATGAGATGAAAATATGATATTTTGTCCCTGAAGGACTTTGTTATTTTCTTTTCAATCTGCCAGCTTTCTGCTTGTTTCTTTGCCTTATCTGGTCCTCTGGTTTTTGGTGGTATATAAGTTGCACATACGAGCATTTAGTATATTTCTTCCATTTGTGGAAATGATCTTGGTGGATAGTTATTTATTTAGATCACGGCATGGGATCTGAAACTCTGAAAAATGGTCTGACAAATGGAGAAGCTACTAATAATCATCACAAGTCTAGTAAAGAAACTATGTACCGATCATTCAACAAAAGTCAAGGGGATAGCAGGTGTGCAGGGTGTATCAGCAGTTGTAGCCATGCTGCAGGCGACTCCTCCGAAGTTGCAGTAATCACTACAGGAGATTCACCAAGCAATATGCATCCAGATATGCAAACAGTATGTATTGGACACAAGTTCCATTTATATGTTTGTCTTTTTTCTCCCATTAAATCGCTGATTGCATCACTTATGACGCTTATAGCTTTCTGGTTCTGTGACTTCTGCAGAAGAATGGAAAAAGGCAGAATGAAATGACATTAGAGGATATGTATAACAAACAGTATGACTTTGATGAGGAAGATGATGACAGTGACTGGGAGCCAGAAGATAATAACGTAGAAGTTCTGAAGTGGTTTTGTGTCAACTGTACGATGGTTAACTTTGATGATGTGATCCATTGTGATGTATGCTTCAGCTACATAAAATCACCTTGATGTTATTCTTAGATTCTTTTTCTTCCTACAATTTTCTGCAATTGAGTTCTTTTATTAGTTCAATGGGTACTTAAACAGGATTTTTCTTCTTTTTTCTTTTTTCTTTTTTGTAGGTATGTGGAGAACATAGAGAGTCTGGAATTCTTAGTCATGGTTTCCTTGCCTCTCCCTTTTTTCCTGTAGGAGAAGCTGCTCAAAATGGGTCAGAAGCGAATGAAATATCCCAAGGTTGTTAGATGATTTAATATTTGTTTTCTAATTTTTTTTTTTTTGGTCCATGGCTAAGCAGTGAGGATTTTTCATCTCTTGTCTTAAATGTATTTTTCAAGACAGTGATGTCTTTTCATTTGAAAGCTTTTCTTTTCCCTTTTTTTTTTTTCTAACACATTGATCAGTAGCTTCAGTACTCTATAGCAAAGCAAGCAATTCGGTTTTGTGGTCGCTTTTAATGCTGGATGACCAAGTTATTATGGGCTCCTGTTCTTTGTGTTTTATATTGATGTGTTCTTAATGCGGACAAAGAAGGGCCTAAGAACTCTATCATTAAGATATTCTATTCTTATGCCCATGATCATCATGATCCAAGGAACGAACCAAAGTGTTAGGACTTTGGTTGAGTTAATCCTTTATTAAGCAGCAATAATTAGTTTATTATTTGCGGTAATGATTTTAGGAAAGGGTATTTTAGTATTTTAGCTATCCTACAGGATTTTCTTGAATAAAAAGGAAATTAGGTGTGAATCCTAGTTGTCTTTGGTTTAGGTTAAAGTTTTAGGCCTATTTATATGTACCTCATATGAGGAGAATTTTCAGACTATGATTAATAAAAATTCCTGCGTGAAGCTTTGCTTTTGCAATAGTTGTGTGATGCAACTAAAAGGGCCCTAAGAGTGATTCTTAGGTTTTCTTCTTTTTCATACTGACTATCTCTGTTTTCCTGCGATTTCTAAGCTTGTTTCCCTACATTTTTCTTTAGTTTTCTGCTGCGTACTACTCTTTTATTAGCCTACATCCTGATTTTCTTAACCACCACATATTGTGCTTCGTAGTTCTACTATATTTTTATATCGCTGTTTACAAGAGTGGGTTTGTATGCTTGTCTGTTTAAATTTGTCTTTTCTTTGAAAATACAAAGAAATGTCTGAGTCCATCATGACTTTGCTGATGGCTTTCCTAGGGTTTGTTGCTTCAAATGAATTATTGCATTCCTTTAAGTTCAATTCATAAGTGCTTGTGGATAGTCAGGTTTATATCTTCATTTTTAATTCCTTCCATCTAGTAGCTTGAAACCATTATTCCAGAATCCATTGCCACCTAACGCTGCCACCCAGGCCTTAATTTCTTGGACAGAGTCCTTATAATTTATTTCTTTCTTACATTAGATTTGATTCCTATATTTAATTTATGTAATACTTGATCCTGCTGGAAAGTATTTACTTGCACAAAATGTATCTTGAGCTACCTTATGTAGATGGCTGTTGCATTAACTTTAAATTTTCCTGTCAATATAGAATTTTATTCAAAGAATGGGGCTTCGAGCAGTTCCACAATAGTTGGATATGATGAGAGGATGTTGCTTCATGCTGAGGTATAGTTCATTGGCATCACGTTTCTTTTACTGAACTTTAACAAGTCTCTCTCTTCTTTGGTCCCCTTTCCTTTTTAAACCGTGTCTTGATTAAGTTGGTGCTTTCACCCTTTTAATATTTGCCAGTATCCAACATTTTCTCTTTACTTCTGCTTTGATTGAAAAGGTTGAAATGAAATCTCATCCTCATCCAGAAAGACCTGATCGTCTTCGGGCTATTGCTGCTAGTCTTGCCGCTGCAGGTTAGAAAGTCTTGCTTGCGTAACTAAGGCATTTTCCATTTTACACTCTCTGGAACGTGCTGATAATTCCATCCTTTTATTTCCTATTTGACTGTTAATGCTAGTAGTTCTCTCAGAAAATACTGTCAGCTGCAGGTATTTTTCCTGGAAGATGTTTTCCCATTTCTGCTAGGGAGATTACACGAGAGGAACTTCTGGCAGTAAGATTTTCTGCACAGTTTTTATTTCAAATTCATTGCTGCATGATTTTTTATGTGGGTGGGAATTGAGGCCTTTGAAGTTTGATGTTATGAAACCTCAAGTACTTGATGAGTACAATCTTTGAAATGGTACATAATCTGGCATTCTGATAGCAGTCACTTCTTTGTTTTTACCTTTTGTAGTTCTTACTGTTAAAAGCAGTTTGGATCCATTCCGAGTTTATTTTTTTCTGCCAGTAGAGTTTCTTATATCCTGAAATTTCTTATTTTGAGCTTTTAGATCCACTCCGAGGAGAATGTTCAATCCGTGGAAATTACTAGCCACATGCTTGCAAGGTCTGTTTAATTTATTTTTGCTTTTGGACAATGAAGTTGCTGTTATGCTTGATCAGATGTCTAGTGATTGTGAAAATGACTTGTTTTCTGTGGAATAAAATTTGTATCGCCTTTGTTTGGATGGATTTGCAGTTACTTCACTCCTGATACATATGCGAACGAGCATTCAGCTCTTGCTGCTAGGCTTGCTGCTGGTTTATGTGCGGATCTTGCTTCTGCAATATTCTCAGGGCGTGCAAAAAATGGTTTTGCTCTTGTAAGGAGTCTGATCATTTGCTCATGAATTTGATAGAAGCTTATCTAATCTACATTGAAAGTGACTGAGCTCTCTTTCTCTCTTATAAATTGTAGGTTCGGCCCCCGGGTCATCATGCGGGTGTGAAACAGGCTATGGGGTTTTGCCTGCACAATAATGCTGCTATTGCTGCCTCTGCAGCTCAAGCTGCTGGAGCTAAAAGGGTCCTAATTGTTGACTGGGTAATAGCTTTTACCTTAATGCTGTATTTACAGATAACTCTTCAAATTCAAATCTGTAGAGTTTTTAATTTACACATGTGCGCCAAATAGGAAGTACAATGGCTCTGTCTGACTATTCTTCTTGAATGTGTCTCGTAGGATGTACATCATGGGAATGGCACTCAAGAAATATTCGATCAAAGCAAATCGGTTAGTCATGTGGAATTTTTTTGCAAAAATTATTTTCTTAATATTGAAGGTTAATGAAGCTATAATATTCTTCTGAAATTGCTTCAGATAATTGAACCGTCTCAAGCTGTTTTTGAAGAAGAGGCAAAATGATCTTCAAATCATAGGCTTTATGTAAATAGCAGACATCTTGGCAAAATGTGTGAGAAGATTTTATAAGAACTACTTTACAAATAGTTCATAATAGCTCTTTCTCCTTGTAGGTTCTGTATGTCTCTCTCCATAGATACCAGGGTGGGAAATTCTATCCTGGTACTGGGGCTGCTGATGAGGTACCTGTTGCCGCCGTTACGTGTTGGCATTTGTTTTGGGGGCGTTCCTTTTATTGGTTGCTGCAGTTTCTGGTTATGCTGGTAACTCTTTATTGTCCCCTTATTTGTAGGTTGGTACCATGGGGGCAGAAGGATATTGTGTTAATATTCCTTGGAGTCGCGGTGGAGTTGGTGATAAAGACTATATTTATGCATTTCAGCAAGTTGTGATTCCGATAGGTTGGAATTCCGATTCTTTCTACGTCTCATTTTATAGTGGATACAAACACATTCTTGTTGCAGAATGAGCTTTTTGCTTTTTAGAAGCTGGTGAGGTTTGAAATAAGTAAAACTCATAACATGTTGATGCATGCAACCTTCTGAATTGTTTGTTCTGGATAGCATGCTATTATCTGCAGCATAATTTAGACGACATTTCTGCTTGTAATATTCTTTTTCAATTTGGAGACTGTTCTGTAACCAAATTACTCAATAGGTTATCTTGGAGGTGAATTGATGTAGGATATTTAAAACCTGCGACTGATCATTTGATTTGTTTGGGGGGGGGGGTGTCTCTCTGGGGCTGATGCCACTGTGTGGTTGTAGACATTTTATACTGGATAAAGAGAAGGTTTTCTGTTGTCAGAAATGTGATTGATTAATTGTTCATACTGGAGCCTTAGTGTTTTGTTCAATATATCACCCAATGTTCTTTATAATCCTGAAGTTGAGGAAATCTTCTAATACTGCGAGTACTTCATTGCAGCTTCTGAGTTTGCCCCAGACTTTACCATAATCTCTGCTGGATTTGATGCTGCAAGGGGCGACCCTCTTGGATGCTGCGATGTAAGGATATTCACTCATTGCACCATGTATTTTTATTTTTCCCTGCCTTATGAACAAATCTAGTTGTTGGATTGCCATAGCAGTGAAACTTGGATGTGGAAAATGTATTATGATCGAAATATATGTTTTACTGTTTTCCGGTTTGCATTCTCATGGTAATTATGCCCCTTTGGTTGTGATAAAGGTGTATTTGTTGCTGCTGTAAACTTGCCTATATTCAGTGGTTAAAACCCGTTTCTTTGGGCTCCATATTCATGGTTGATAATTTGTTGAACTGGCAAACGTTGTCTTTTGGACTGTGTCGTTGGATAAAGCAACTTTGCAAGCATCCTTGACTGAAGTGACCTCCCATTTCCTCTTGGAGCCCTTGTATATTTCAAGTCCTGTATTTTTTGAACTTGTTTGTTTATTTCCTTCTTCTCTGGTTCCTCTATTTTTGTCCTCTTAAGTTGCATGCTCTTTTCTGCTTAATCTTATATAGCTGTTAAACAGCTGCTGAAAATGTACTCTGATTGGAAATAAAGCTTATTTTTGGGTCAAATATTTTATAATCTTCTGTTCTTTAAATCAAGCCAAGTGTGATTCAGTTGAAGAATGAAGCATCAATTCTATTTCCCAATGATGATAAGAAACCATGGGATTCTATATTTCTATATGATTCTCATATGCTTCTTTAACTGTGCTGTCTGAATTGTTGATTGAGCTGCTTGAGTCCTTGTAGAACAATGATACATGCTGATGTATGTAGTGAGAAAGCGCCTGATTGTGTTTTGAGAAAAGTAATTTTATTTGATTCACGTTGCCTATTGTAGGTGACTCCTGCTGGCTATGCGCAGATGACTCGGATGCTGAGTGCTTTATGTGGTGGAAAGTTACTGGTTATCCTTGAGGGCGGGTTAGTTTTTGTCATTTTTGGTACTGATCTAATATGTCGTCTTTAACGGCATGATTAATTGTGAGAATTTTCAATATTGCAGATATAATCTCCGTTCAATATCATCTTCTGCTACCGCAGTGATAAAGGTATGATATATTTTGATGTCGGTATTTGATAAGATCTGTAATACACGGCTGAAATGATATCCATTGATCACATATACGGAACTGTTTGGAATAATTCATAAAGAAGGGCAGCTCTGTGCGTAGAAACTTCCTGGATGTGTGGGTTCCAGAGAAGGGCCTGAATGGCCTCATCTTTCTCTGGACTGCACACATGCAAGGGCTTTCATGCATTGGGCAACTTCCTTTTTGCTTGTTAACCTTTAGCGCTGATCATTTATTGAGGTTGTTAGATTTCATTTTTCTTTGTATAAACTTGGTTAGGAATTCTGTCCAAAATTTAAATGCATGTGGTTTGTGAATCTATATCTCATAAAAAATTATCTCAGCTGCCAATGGTCAAAATAATTGCCCAGTCTCAAAGAAAGTTGCATGCCATGTTTTGATGTTAGAATATAGGTTCAAGCATATATATATGGTTGGGAAAGAAGATGGTTGAAGCTGCATTCTTTTGCTTTATGAGAGAACTCTTCCATTCAGCTTGGATTTAACATGTATCACATGCATATTCCTTTGTGTTCTGTTCCTTTCAAGTTGGTTGGTATTGGTATAGGTTTTACTCGGTGAAGTTTCCGATGGTGATCTGGACAATGTGGTGCCTTCTAAATCGGGGCTGCGAACAGTTTTTGAAGTCTTGAAGATTCAGATGAATTATTGGCCTGCTCTTGAGTCGATCTATTCCAAATTGCAGGCGCAATGGGGATTTTATGCTGGCCAGGACCCCAGTGGTTAGTGCGTCTTCTGTCTAACATTTTCAACTTCCTTTTGCAAAACTTATTCTGGTTTTGGGTGCATGCTTGTATATGGTATGTGTTTTTGGGGCTAGGATGAAGGTTTAGCATTCGAGCAGAGTAAATCTAAATCAGGTTTAAGAGGATTGGGTTGATGGTATATTCAGTCTCCATGGTACTTGTTGATGAAAGTTTAGATACCCCAGTTCTTTTTTCTTCTGATTAAATAATGTTTGTTCACTTCCTTGCAAAAAACAAGATATTTCTTTACTGGTGCCGGATCTGGATTTCACCTTTCTACATAATGATGTAATTACTTGGAGAACTTGTGATCTTGTTCACACAATATTGGCTTGAGTACTGAATCTGTTAAACACGGTGCTCTGGCCGTATGAAGTCAGATTTCGTATGTATAGCATCAACACTGAAATGGTACAATCATTGTCACAGGCATAATGAGCAGCATACTTTTTTCTCATAATGTGATGTCCTGTTGGAAGTCTGTTATCTTTTATAGTATGAAAATGTTATTCCCTGTTATGTGGACAATAATATCATGGCTTGCCTTGCAGGGTCACCGGCAAAAAAGAAAAGAAAGGCGGTGGTTCCAAATTGGTGGCAGTGGGGGAGGAAGAGGTTATTCTTTAGTCTCTTGGCCAAGCGGCAGCAGTTAAAAGAGTAGTTTGCAAGTGTACATGCGACAGTTGTTAGTGTCCCTTAGATTTGGAAATGTACCTGTACTCGAAAAGTTAAATCCAGATTGGTTTGGGTAGTAGATGTTACCATTGTGGTAATGAATTGGAAGTTTTACTATGCAGACGAATTGGAAGTTATACTATGCAGATGAATTTTTTTCATGAAACAAATCGGCATTTGCTGTGTGATGTTAATCTGATTTCTTGGTCTTGGTCGCGGAACAGCATTGTTAAATTATGAAATTTGATTGAATGTGGATTAGTTGATTACATATACAAATTGAAGTAGCCAAACAGTGGAGTCTCTATTTTTTATGGAAAAGAATGAATCAAGAAAAAGAATTGGATCTCTATCAGACATTAATTCTTCCTGTCCTGTATGTACAGAAGAACAGATGAATATCAGCCAGAAAGTCACTAACTTTATTACTAGGAAGGTTCATTGATGCATGGTGGGAGGTGGTGCCATCGGATATGCTACTGGCATAACATAAGGTGGATGATGAGGATGGCCGTGAGGAAGCATAACTGGCGTGCCGACGGCTGAGGCCATGTGCCCCGGTGGAGCTGCCACGGGATGACCTATGGGTGCACCATATACTCCTAATCCATGCATCGGCTGCTGCCCTCTGTGCTTCATCACTTGCCCGGTAGCAGCAGTTCCCGCGGCGGCAGATGGTGGTGCATTTGCTTGTTGGCCTGTTATTGGTGCCTGATGACTTGAAACATCTCCATTATTTACACTGGTAATATCATGGATACTAGATCTCCTTCTATCCCTATTCATGGAGTTCAAACGGATGAAATACTTCTGGGCATGACTAGCCACTTGGGTTGGAGTTCTGGATATCACAAAATTCCGAGAAATGCTTCTCCAATCCCCTTTTCCAAACTTATCCAAACCAAGTAAAAACAGCCTGAAAAAAAAAAAAAAAAAACCAGATTAGTTCTTTGGTGAATTAGAATCCAGAAATGTTGCAGAAGGGACCTAGAATAGGGTAGGAAACTATACCTATGTTCTTCTTCAGTCCATGGAATCCCTTTCCGGCGTTCTTGCTCCGACCGGGATCCTCCACTTTTCCCTCCTCCTCCTCCTTGACTGCTTGAATCTTGAGCTAAACCTGGAAATGCACTCCCATAACCGCAGTTCGATCGCCTGTCGGGTATTGTAGCCCCGGCAAATCCACCTTGATGGCCATCTTTAGCCGATGTAGAAGCTTCTTCTCCGATATAACTCGGAAGAGGAACAATTCCGGCCTCAATGTCACCAATATCATCAGCAAGTAATTTGTAGTGTTGCCTCAACTCATCAATGGTTTTAGATGGAACCATGGAAGCCATCTTGTCCCATTGTTCCTGTGAATCTTCCTCATTGTTATTGCTCCAGTGCATGGCAATGGCATTCTCAAAAGCTTTCTCTTCTTCTCTGCTCCATTCCATGGAAGATGATTCCGACATTGTGCAGTGTTTTCTCCCTTGAAGCCAAGCCAAATATACTAGTATGAAGGTGTTCTTGCGCTAGCTGGGCGGGGGGAATCGTTTGAATCTTTGATGCTTTTCTTTTTCTTCTGAGAATTTTTTTTTTTTGGGAGTTGGGAAAAATGAAGAGAATAGGTGAATTGAGTGGGATAATGGGAAAGGGAAAATATAATAAAAGGGAGTGCAAGATAAGAAGAATAGGGAACAATTGTATTAAATGGAAAGGACCACTTGTCACTTGTGAGGTTGAAGGGATGGGTTCATTTTTGTCAACTGTCATGTTCATGGACAAAAAATTTGTTCACTTAATTGTTAAAAAAAAAAAAAGGTGTAAGACAGAATTTAAGTAGACTAATCATCCGTCTTACTTTTCGCGTGTGACAGGAACCAAACTCCCGTCATCTTAACAAAATTATTACTGGTGAATGATGTATAAAATGTTATAGTGAAACGCATGATATCGTAGCCAGAATGAATAACTGATCATAATAATTCTTGTTGAGCTTTAACATGGGGGTTATCTTTTAAGCATATTAAAAAGGGAAAGTAAAAAAAAGAAAGAAAAGGGAATTCATCAAGTGCTGAATTTGAAGGATTCTGGTAAGTGAATGATTGAAGAAAAAGAAAGAAAAAGAAGAGTACCAGAAAGGGAAGGGCAAACGCTGTTAAAATTCAAAAGGTATGTGATATTTTTGTCGCTTTTTAGAGGCATTTTTCAAACTTTTTAGGCTGAATTTAATTTTTTTTTTTTTTTTTTTTTTTGCCCTACTGGTACTGGGGTTGCAATCATTGAGTGGAGGAATGGCCATTTTGATGGTGAGGTCCCCAAAGAATCTTTTTTTATATACAGAACTTCTACTATTTAGGACAACCCGAAATCTAGTGGGCGTGCTTATATCATTTGCTTGACTTCACATTTTATACCGTCTAGCTCGCGGTTGGTTTTGGATAATCCGCCAGAAAGACGTCAGACTAATCAAACAGGTCATTCTTGGCAGTGACAAGTTTATATTATCACTAATTAAACAGCAGTTTTGGATAATCGATCTTTCTGATACGTTGAAAATTTATTTTGAAAAGTATTGGGATTAGATTCCATTGGTGCTACATCTCAAAATTATTGTCCAGTTAGGGTTTTCATTTTTATAAGTGTACACGTATTAATTTGTAGTTTTGAGTCAATGTTTCCCTTAAGAAAATGAAGGATATATTATATAAGAAGTGAAACTATTATAATTGAGAGTTTTAATTTTGGGACGGAAAAAAAAGAAAAGAAAAGAAAACTAAAGATTAAAATATGATGAAAAAAAACAACCAAGAAAACACTTATGTTGGCCCAAAATCAATTCTATGTATAATTGATAATTGATTGATAATGAGGAGAAACCTATCTAAGAATGAGTTGTGTGTGCCTATTGGCAGATGGAAAAGAAAAAATATTCTTTGTCATTTGTCTTTTTGGATTTGTGTGTGGAAATAATAGAACCCTTTTGGACTTGTAAGGTTCCTTCTAGTCGTGGCATTTTCTCCTTCTCTTATTTCTGCTAAAATGTGGCCATCAACATCGGAAAGAGCAAATAGACTTGAGTACATTATATTTTTGAACCATCAATTCAACCAGAAAACCGAGTCCCGGCCGGAAATGGTACAAAGGGGGCTATGTATGACTTGAAGATGAAATTCCAATAACCATCAAAATGGAAATATAGGAAAGAAAGAACAAAAAGATAAGTTTAGGTGGTATGGCACCATTCCATGAATGACCTTTTTCTGCCTTGTCACAATTTCTCTTGATGCATGCACACTTTTGCTCTATCATAATATGTGTTTTTTTGGGTTGTGTGATGCACCAAAGTTTTCCCTCATTCATAGACTTCTAGTTTGGTGAAACAAATGATTCAGGAGTTTAGGATGGAACAATTTATCGAAACTAGTATTTCATTTGTCCTAAAATTATTGTCCAGTTTAAGTTTTCATTTATAATATACTTTGTACTAAAAGTAAAAATTCAAACTGGACAATCATGTAAAGACGAAGGAGAGGAAGTAATACTTTATTAATAATTTCAAAAGGTTAAGGTTTCAGGTTTTTTGTCGATATTATACATTCACAATCTTAGAACAACCAACCATAAGTTGATAATTCGAAAGGAAACATTTATCAAATAGAGTAATTAGTAATTTATATAGCTCAACAACCCTCATGTTAAATGGCACCCAATTTAATAGAAACAAATTTCAAAAGAATTCAAGCATTTTAACCTCAATCTAGAAGAGGGTTTCTTTTTGTCTCTTTCATCCTACAAGTAGGATTCATAAAACTGTATCCAAATAGGCCAGACCCTATATGACCTTCTCGGGCAGCTAAAGTATTTTTCTTTTTTTTTTAATTTTCTTTTTCTTTGAAACTGAAATATTGTGAAATTAAAGGAAAAATAATGAGGTGGGCAAGCTAATAATAGGGAAAAAAAAATAATGATGATGAATTGATGATGGAGGATTCAGTTTGGAGCAATTAAAGAAATCAATGTAACTGTCAACCGTCTTGTAATAAAATCGTACAAAAATTGAGAGGTATGAGTTAACCTATGATCATTCGTTATCATCATTTCAGAATTTCAAGACAGACAATTTGTGTGTGTGTGTGTGTGAATCAATCATTCTGAATTTCTGAAATTTCTGATTTCTGACTTTGCAACTGTTTTAGTCTGTTGGTAAAGTATATATATATCTCTCTCTCTCTCAGCTTTCTATTCACCAACGTACTCTACTTGTTGTTCTTTCTTTCTTCATTAAATGATGGAAAAAATCATCACGAAATTATATATTTGTTTTGTACTACGTTATTTAATTAATTTTTGTTGCTATTTAGGATAAAATGTAGATTATTATTAGTACGGACAATGTATGACCTTTCGGACATACTGTATAATAGATGTCTAAGATAAGGTTATCCATGCAAAGACTAATGATATAACTTCATTAAGATAAGTCTTATGGATTTCCAACTATGGACATATATTAGATATTCTTTGCCCAAAAAATGGTAACTTCAACACATTTAAATTATTTTTATTTTTAATTTAATTTGTAATAAAAATAAAAATTGACACTAAATAATAATTTCAAAACCGGAAGAATATTTTTCTTGTCTTAATTATCTAACACGATGTTCACCGTCACTCACAAGAGTAATTCTCTTTTTTTTTAATCTATCAGTACGTCTCAATTTTCATCTTAACGTTAACCATTCCCCCCGCGCCCCCGGTCCCAAAAAAAAAAGTTATGTATCCATATCTTGGTAGTCACCATGTTCCAAAATAAGAGGTTTTGTTTTTGGTATTATAATAATTTGATAAACATAATTCTTGTTGGACAGAAAGAGTGCATAAAATGCTTTCGGGAGAGTTCACAAAAAAGGGGGTAAAGGGACCTGAGATGTTGTGATGCGGCTGATGGCCGCTGAAGCTGTAGATATTTTGTTGTTCACTCGTGCAAACTGACCACACAAAAAAAAATGCTGATTATTTTTGGGCATCTGAGGTAGGTTATATCCTCGCGTCAAACCCAAAAAAAATAAAGTTAAAAGTCAAATTTTCAGAAATTTTAATTGGAAAATCTTACTAATATTCATGTGTTTAGCCTGTACTCTCTTTTGAAAGTAGGAGCATGATTAATACTCATTTGGACCTTATTATTATACGATATTCTGATTTGTCCTAAATTTTAACTAATATACTTTTTCAATTTGAAATAAAAATTAAAAATATATTTTCACATTCGTTATATTCTCTTACTTATTAAAAAGTATTTTTAGGGGTTTTTTTTGTTAATTAAAAAAAAAAACATATTAAGTGAAACTAAGACAAATCAAAAAACTTTATAATAAAGACTCGAGAGAGTACTTAGTTAGAAGAACAAATCAAAATCACTTTTTACGTCTTGTTCCACCCACTTAATTTTCTCATGATTTAGGTTTTAATTTTTCATAAAATTACGCATTAGGTTTCTGAATCCTCTATCATATTAATAATCTTTGTGTTAGTTTGGATTAGTGAACAATTCCTCCAACCTTGGACCACTACTGGCGCTCTCCTTTTGTTCAAGACTAATAACACTACATTAGATTGATGAACTAAGATATCCAAGGCGGAAGCTAACCCCAACCCTAACTTGTTTACCAAATTTTAGGCTTGAAATCAATTTACAGAACCAACAAAAGACACAGTTTGTAATCAAGTATGTTGAGCAAACAGTTCCATTGCATCAGTAGAAATCGGATCATTAACAGATGCCTTCCATTGAAATGCAAATCTAGGATTTCTACATGAGTTGTCCTCGTTAGATTCCGTTTTCATCCTACGTTAAAATTAGAATTAGATACTCATATGGTACAGTTGAGAAAATTCTGAATGCAAAACTGCAGTAGAAGCATAAAAAGTAGCCATACAGAAGGTAGTGACCATACAGATTGTCGCAGAGAGTGTAATTAGGTCTTTTAGCTACCATACAGGAGTTAGCAACCAGCCTTCATGTGCTTCAAATGCTCCTCCTGGAATACAATTTAAATCCATTTGAAGACCAGATCATTCAAAGAGATCCAGTTTCTCTATCGTTGCTTGATTTCAAAAGCAGGGATCATCTGGCAAAGGAAAAGCTGAGACGGTTAACATATATAAATTGTTAGAAAACATCACGCTTGAGAAGTGAAATGCCATTTAACTAACCTGGAAGGAAGCTGGTTGTCACCATCACACCCCTGATCAAGCTGAACATGAGACTACGTGTAACTAATATCCTTTCAGGTCCCTTTGTCACAAAAGTCAAGGACACCACTTTACAAGGATTGACCTGATTATATTTGAAAATCTTTCAGCGGTCATCTGGGTGATTTGGAGAACAAAGCATCATTGTTTAGGAGAGCTGCTCTCTCTGGGTTCATAAGTAGAAGTTCCTGCACGTCCTTGGGGAGCTCATTGAACAAAGCCAACAAATCCCCCTTCAGTTTCTCAGAGGCAGCCTCTGACTCTACATCACCACTGCTAGACTGAAGTTCCAGAACAATGAGATTAGTCAAACAGAAATCAAGAAGTACTAATCAGTGAATAGAAGGGAAGAAGCTTCACTACAATAAAATTATTCCAGCTTTATCGACACGAAAGCATAAATTGCAATATGATGTAGGGAGCACAAAACATAAGTTATATAAGGATGCTAACAAAGAGAGCAGATATGAGTATGAAGCACCTAGCAATCAGGAAGGTGATAATTCCTCTTCTTAACTCGCTTTTCTTTCCCCAAGATAAGCTAAGAAAAGAGTAATTTCAAATTCACCAAAGATTTGTAGAAGATACAATCTCAACCAGCAGAATACTTGTGGGTGTCACATGGTCAACCAATTTTAGATCGTATAAGCACTGTAAATCCTATGTTCTCATTTCCTTTTGACTTGCCTAAGGAAATAAAATGAAACTAAAAACCAGACATTTCATAGAAAAGGGAAAAAAAAAACACCAAAAAATCTCATCTGATTGAAGACTTTTACTAAAGAAATTTAAGATACTCGAAAATAAAAATAAAAAGTTAAGATACTCTAGTTTAATCCTCGACAGTATCTTTGAGCTATGTGGCAAGCATTATCACAGTAAAGAGCTTATAACATCAGTCATTTTAACAAAATCATTACTTTTTTCCTAAAAAACATGAAGGAATTGCCCAATTAGGAGATACATAGATCAACCTTATCAGTCAAAAAAAAGCATGTTGTTTATAACATAATCCTTAAGTACATCACACTTGGAAATAGCCAACAATGACCTATAATGACAACAGCAAAACTTGTTTGGTGCGGCGAAAGAACTTCTGCTTTTAATGCAGAGATGAACATATACCTGCAGTTCTCCAATAAGATGCCTTTCGATCGCATTGAAGGAGTCGACAACTTCTACCTCTGACAACATTGATAAAAACTGCTTTATGTCAGTCTTCATTCTCACTTGCCTCCATAATCTAAGTTGTTCTTGCTCAGCAACAGCACGCTTTCTTCTAAACCAAGGCCAAAAGTTGTATCCACTTAAGAACCGCCTACAAAGAAATGTAACATAGTCTGAAAAGTCAAAACCAGAACAAAGCAATGAGCTAAGTGAGTGACTACAAAGCTCATGTTGACACTAGGTAACACTGCTAAAGGCGAATGTTTAAAAGTTGAATACAAACATACGGGTTAGCAGAAGGAAGATCCAAGATACCAAAAGGTGAAAACAAACTATATTTACCTATATAAATCCAGCCAATTAGATTTCATTCTCTTGAGTAGGAACTTCCCCGGACCTCTGGCAGACAAGCTAGCAAGAAATTCCTCTTTATCAAAATAGGGGAGTGGAGGAGGGTCCAGAAATGGAGACGTCCCTTCAGATGGTGTGGTAGTCCTAAAATATGGACCAAATGGGGCCAAAAAGTTTGTCGTTAGCTCCAAGAAATGTCGACGGAGTATCTCGTTGTTAACGACAGACATTGATTCCTCAACCCTTGGAGACATCCCTGCATCAATTAGCCTATTCAAGATCGATGTATCTGGCTTGGTAATTGCAGCATAACTGGACCAAATGGCTTCTTTGTGTTCTGTCATGAGGCAAAGAGGACCATCCCTTCTAAGCTTTACAGCATTCAAAAAATTTAAAGGTGTGAATCTCTTTAATCCAAACCCTTCTTGACCATCAGGACCTCGGCTAAATGGATTCCGAGAAGACATGGCAAGGCGATTTGCATTTGGGCCAGGAGTTCCAACTGAGACAATATGAGGAATATTACGTAGAGCTTTCAAGAAAAACAGGTTTGTCACCCCCAAAACCATAGGGGGGAAACTTGCACCTTCCTGAAGTGAGTTTAATTGTGCAAAATCAGGATCATGAATGGTAAAGTACGGCCTGAAATCAACACTACAAAGGAGTGGAGCAACCAGACTAACTAGACCAGCAACAGCTTCACAAGATTGAGGAGGTGTTGGTGCTATAACAAGAATGGGTTCCCCAATGAGTAACAATTCCCAGAGTCTCCAAAGCTGCATCAAAAGCCCCCGATATATGCCAAAAAGATCTGAATCATGGAAAAGACCTTGAGGCACAGATTGGTTTGAAGGGAGAAAAGGAGCTATTGGAGAGGTTAACTCTTCAAAGAGTACTCCACCATCTAAAGGCAAACTATGAGCAGGTGGTAAGTGCACTTTAAGTGAAGCATTTCCGATAGGCAGCTCCATTAGTTGACCAGGTAATGGAGCAGGCCAAGATGATACAGCAGCAGCTATATAGTTAAGAGCCTTGTTCCCAATATCAAAATATAAAGGGCCCATTATTTGTAATAATCGTCTGAAAACACCAGAGTATGGAGAGTGGGAGAGGATTACCACAGATTTTTGTTCACCGCCCCGCTTTAGCCTTTCATCATGTCTCTGCCTGTTAAAAACAAAGCCATATAAGTATTTTGGCCCCTTACCTGTTTGCACATTATTTAACTGCTTGGGAACCTTATTCCCCTGCGACTCATTTCCTCCCTCTACTTGTATCTCATTTGAGACCCCATTCACGACTTGCGAGTTTTCCTTCCTCCGTATCCTAAAAAAGAAAATGCAATCGTGGATGCTTGAGCGATTATGGTGTTGAGAAACAGAATCTGGGAAGGAGTTAAATGCAACTTCAAGCTCCTCATTGTGGGTAAGACAGCCTGGAGGGTAACACTCTTCGATGAGCTGCCCTTGCTCAAGATCAAACCTAATAATGCAAAAGGCAACAACCCATTGTTGAAAAGCGTGTTGATCAACTTGGGCATCAGGTTCTGACCTTGCAGAAAATGATGGAGACCTACTCATTCTAACGACTCTTGCATTATTTAGAGTCTCCTAATGTTCAGAAGATCATCTTCCATTTCACAACCTTGAACAATAGTTGACAATAGATACAAACCTAATGAAAACAGCAGAGGAATGCATCAGTTTCAAGCTGGATTAGCAGCCTAAGAAAGACAGTCAAATAATGTTTTGCATAAACGACAACAGCAGGAAATTAATGGCAACACTTTAGCCTCCCAGAAATAATTACATAGAGGAACATTATTAATTTAAAACAATATAGAACACAGTTGCATTCAATCGCGGAACTTATAACTGACTAAATGTTACTAAGATTTCTGAAAACAAGTATATTGAACAATACGAAATGGTTTTATTCTGCTTTCTGAGAAACAAGCATTAGAAATGAGGCCGACAATGAAGTTATTGAACTCAGCTCAACATATGTTCACATTGCAAATTTCGTAGAGTGAAAAGAAATTCAAGAACATACAAAGAAAAGACTAAAAAAACCTACCTGCAAAAGGTCCACAACAGATGAAGTGTAATGAGACTTAATTCTCCAGGATTGAAACGACCCAGATGCCGTAATTCGCAAGAACCAATCTGGGATAGGCCCAAGATCTCAAATTTAACGAAATTTAAACGAGAAAAAGTGGGGTTTCAGGGGAGGAAATCAAAATTGACGAGAAGGAACTAGATCTTCCGAGGTTTCTTCTGAAAATGTACAAATTTTGTGGGTTTCATAACACGAATCAGAAGAGTTTTACACTCTAAAAGAAATCTTGTGTTTATGGATTAGTGCCAAAAAGCGTGTGTTTCAAAAGTGACAGGTAACTTGGCAGATTGGAGTTCGCCGGAAAACGGACATAAACAACGTCGGAGAAGGGAAGTTGGGGGTTGTTTGGAATTTTGTTTAATTTTTGTGCTGATTTTCAGTTACATGTTCTTTCACCGGATTTGCCAATGTCCAGTAAATACTTTTTTCTTATTTTAGAAATTGAGTCAATTTACCATTCTAGGCCTTTTCTTAAAAAGAAAAAAAATATAAATAAATAAATATATAAAATATGAAACTTATATATATATATATTCAAATTTTTGGAAACATGATTTTTTCTCCCAATTACAAGTTATAACATTTTTGTTTCCTCCAACATTTAAATTGTTTCGATTTTTTTTTTGTGCGAAAAGATCAACATGGTTAATCATATTTGACGTACAAATTATAAAATTATTTTGATTTTGTATAGTGGATGTCTCTATGGTAAGTTGATATTCAATAGGGAATGAATCACAAAATCCCTAATAAGGTCAAGTTATATATTCCACCATCATCCTTCGATGATTTCTGTTTGAGAAAAACCAACTTCTTAGAAATGGTTTTTGCAGAGGCTATCATCACTACTCGAAAGCTTTTCCAAGAAACGATCAAAACCGCATAGCTTCCATTGGAAAGCAGTTGTTCTAATGATAATTACACCTTCATTCCTTGAAGCCAAGATTAGTATTTACAAAAGCGAAATGAAAAAGAAAAGAGATCACAGAATAGCAAATAGATGACTGCAATCTTCACATGTTCCTATTCTCTAGTTTTTGTTAGTTCAGTTACACTCTTCAGTAAAGCGCCCCCCCCTAAAGCCTAAATTTTGGCCACAAGAGAAAAAAAAGAAGCTATAGTTTCTTTGTAAAAATCTGCACTACTTCAGTGAGAGTTGAGCGGGCTATACATCATATACAGGCAAGCGTTGTGAGATAGCGATGCGACAAATAGGGCATTTTGAGCATTTCTCGGAACAGTTGCTGCATCAAAGTCCAAAATATAATCTAAATTCAGAATCAAAGGGGGGAATCACATTTGTGGAATCGATGCAACAGTAGCACATGTATAATGTAATACCTGCAGAGAACGCGATGTCTACAAGGAAGGAGAACCACACTTATCTCCCCTTCGAAGCAAACCCGGCAAAGAACCTTTTCCTGATAATACAGACATTAAGAGAAGTGTTAAACACACAAATTTAAGCAAACATACTAAAGTCATCCAACAAAAAGAAAATGGCGGGGTTTAACAGCTTGCTTTATCTGGGAATTAGTTGCACCCAACTTCCATAAATAGAACAAAGTGTATGCACGGAGAAACCTGAGTTTGACTTCTAGTTTAATGCTTTGACACCACATTGTTAAATTTCAATTTCGCAACGAAAAATATGAAGCTTCTTTAATTAGAAACGATATCCTCATGTGAACTCAACTTCAATTCAGAATCTTACATTTTGCAGCCTTTCATATTCCTGCTGACTATATTTTGTGATTTCTGTCTGCTCACCAAGTGCTGCTTGAAGTCTCCAGACCTGAATAGTTCGAGGGAAACATAATAATAAGCAAACCAGAGGATGAATCAATCAAGCGTAATAAACAAATAAGTAGCTAAAATGCAAAAGATGGAAAGGTTACAAGGATGTAACAATTTATTATTTAAGTATAACATATATATAATCATAGTTTCCTCGTACCTCCTCAGCAAGATCCTTCTTTGGCAATTTTTTGACTATCTCAGGTGGATACCCAGAAAAAGTGTTGTACCTGCATCATCGAAAAGCATCCTGAGAGAACATATTGGTGACTTTCGGAACAGTTAAGAATAAACTAAACAAGTAGCATACAGAATCAGTATTTCCTCTTCTTTACCAAGTGTATATTTCACATTTGGCTATTATGCACTTCAAGACAAAAGTGACTGAGGGGGGAAAAATGTACAGCTACGAAAAATAAATAGGGAAAAACTTGGAGAAAACAAGTCTGCACACTTGATTTCAGATGGAAAATTGGATAAAACCTGGAGCAATTTATGTTTTCCCTTGTTAGCTTTCAGAATAGAACTTCATCATTGTAAAACAGATGGTTTAAAGAAAGTAGTAACTGCCGAGACTCCAGATGAACTACACAAATATAGAGCGGGCCAAAAAGATTTTCTCTAAGACAATGTTTGTTAAATCTTTTTTCCCTGACGAACATCCAATTCAAACTCTCCTCACATTTTTCAAAATGTTCCACTCCAAAATAAAGTTCCCTACAAAAGATCCCCTCCAAAATATTTTCCCTTTCCTAGAAAAATTCCTCCAAAAGTAACACTTCCAACCTTAACATTTGTTGATCTGAACTACATTATTAGCTGCAATATAATAAGAAAAATTCTCACCCGGAAGCCCCATTGTGGAATAGACGAGCCTGTTCTTCTCGACTTGACTCGTCAATAGACCACCAACCAAGTAGCCTGCTCAAAATAGTTGCAAGTTGCAAGATATTCAGCATAAATCAGGCATAAAAATGTGACATTAGAGGTCTACTCTAGTTTTTTATTTCGAAATTCAACTTCCAAAACTACTACGTAATTAGAAACTTACCGAGAGCCATGGTTCAAGAAAGCGAAGCAATCCCAAACCCTTGCACTATATGTAAAATATCTGCCAGTGGCATCTCCATTCCGTAATGAAAGAACTAGTCTCTCAACAAACTTGGCTAGGGCAAAAAGGACTGCAGCTCCCTGAAGTAGGAAAATAGGCAAAAATAGCATAGGGATTGGGATAAGCTTGGCTGCCAGAGGTGTACCCTGATTATGAAAATAAGTAACAGATTAGTTGAAATGATATACTAGGAAGCTTCAGCATTATTATCTTTAGACTGTGTATCAATATGTTGCAATACCTCCAGATGCATACAGAGGAGGACTTGGAATCCAACTATCGGAATTTTCATAAAGTGGCCACCAATATCCTGTAGATCACACATTCGGTTTTGTGATTGGCTCTCAGCAGAGACCACTAAGCCACTGTTCCAATCTAGATATCTAACTGTATTTGATGATGAAGTTGCATCTCTTGGTTGAGAATTTCTATGGATCATTGGATTAGACCACTTTGTACAAACAAGAAATGCAAAGCACTCTGCAATACTGTAAAAAAACAGAATAAGCAAGCACTTGTCACCTCAATATGTAATAAAGCTCATCAAATCAAGAACAGAATACACACGCAGCTCATGGTTGGTACCCATAGTTTATGAATAAGTCCCACCAGCCAAGAGCCCCGACATCACCTGCATTTTAAAACCCAATTAAGAAGACTGCCAAAGACCCTTAAGATGATTGCTCAGCAATACAAGCTACATAAGGGAGTAGCGCTAGTTTAATGACAGTAACATATCCAGAACTCTCTTTGACTATTTTAGCCACCAGACAGAGCCTTTAAGCTCTAACAGCCAATGCAGAAAACCATAACTAATGCTGAAAAAGAGATGATAAAATACTGATGTGGATTTGTATGTGTGTGTGTGTGTGTGTGTGTGTGAGAGAGAGAGAGAGAGGTACCACATAGCTTCAGCATGGTGAAAATAGTAGCCGCAAGAAAGAAAACCATCGAAATTGCCACCCAGAAGTGCTATAGCAATGAAAGTGTCATCAGTAAGCAAGTCTATACAACATCAGCACATGAATAAAGCCAAAAACAACAATAAAATAAGTTCCTATGAAAACAGCAGCCGGTAGAGAAAAGCTCTAGGGTTGGACCAGAGATTTAGTGAGAGCATCGCTATTTTGCGAAAGGCTGTTACCGTGGATTGAAGTCATGACTTAAGTCACATGGCAACAGCCATTAATGCTGCACCAAGGCTCCTCTCCATCAAAGTTAATTCTCAATTAAAGGAAAAGAAACATGGAAGAAATCCTTAATTAGTGAAGCACTTCTGGCTCCAAAGATTCACATCTCAATTCATTTTCTGAAATGTCTACTTTTCATGGGGCACTTTTCCAAAAGGGAAAGACGAAGATAACTTATTCACAAATTGCATGCCACCATTGTCAGTCTAAAGTACTAAAGTGATTGAAAAAAGGCTTCCTTTGGTTTTGATAAACAACATTCATGACCAACTAAGGTTACAGAATTCTATCTGCAAGGCAACATACAGCTTTCTTTTGAAGAGGGGGGAAAAAAAAAGAGCTTTCTTTTGAAGAGAGGGAAAAAATAAATAAATAAATAAATACTTGTAACAGGTAAACTTTCAGCTTTTTTATGTCTCAGATTAACACCAGCAAGCTGATGCAAGTTTACTTAACACTCTATTGAACTTGGTTTGTACAGTGATATGCTGGGTGTGTGAATCTTTTATTTTGTGTATATGGAGAGAAGGAAAGCACTACATTTGAGTGCTTGCTTTTCAATCCAAAACTAGAAAATACAGACTTTGGGACTGAATAGTGAATATACTGTCACTAGAGAAACCATGGGATCATGGAATTTGCGAATTTATTCTGTCAGACCTGCACGGGACATCTATGTCTGTGGTTGCAGTTCCTTTACTACAAATGAATGGCTCACTTCCTGTCAGTGTCTAGTTATACGCCTCAAACTAGAGCAACGCATAGCTACTAAAAATTACAGAAAGCCAACAAATCTATGCCACAGGAAAATAAGAAATCCATCGACTTCTTCTGACTTACCGGTAGTGTTTCCCATATAGCATCATCACTCAAGCTTTCATCATCTCCGGGCAATAAAGCTTTACACATTCTGTACAATGAGACAGTAGCAAAAGTCTCCCAATTATAACAGGATCAATGATAGCTATAATCAGAGAAGCTTAACAAGTTTCCAAATCTTATGTTTTGCTTTTTTTACATCTTATAGGTTAAGAGATTTCGCTAAATACAAAATTCAAGAAGATCATGATCCATAAATTCTCCGCAACTTCTACAACAAGAAGCATTTACACTACAGAATAATAACTGACCTAGATCTTCTGAAACATACAACTTGAGAGAAGGTTTAGTAATACTTGGAAACAGTAGAAAAGGAAAAAGAAAGAATCGGAGGATTTCAGAATACTACAGAGTGATCAATCAGCTGGTCTGGAAATCTACAATTATACATGCTTGACATGACATTTGATGCGGAGTCTTCGACTCAGCCCTTAGCATCTCATCCCTTTTCGCAAGCAGCACAGATTAAGTTATGTTTCTCAAGCTCACAGTATTTTTTTCACGTTTATAGATGATCAGTCAACCAAATTTTGCACAAGATTGTTCCAGGGCAATTCTGTCGTAAAATTTGATATCCAATTTCAACGGAGCAAAGTGAACCAACAGATGAAGTAAACAACACATTTAAAGATAGGTCTTGAAAAGAGCTGTTTCCATGCAGCATCCAGTTTGAAAAGCACAAGAAAGTACAGCAATTTTATTGAAATAAGCAGCTTTTACTACCTCGACTAGATGCTCAGAGAAAATATAAATACATCCAAATAACTTAATTAGAAAGAAATGATAAGTTACATACCTGAAGTTGTCTGTGAGGATGATTACTTCAAATGCCAACAGGGGCAGGAAGACAATTTTTAAGTTTACAGCCGCAGAACCTTTAACTGCAATAAAAAATTAAACATAAGTTCCAACATTGAGATCTCCGATAAAAACATGAACAGAGTGAATGAAAATCATCTTTGTAAAATAAGGACTGCATGTTAACCTAACAGCATAATAAGGTTTGAAAGCCGAAGAGAAAGCACAATTCTGGATTTTAGGGAGAGTGCTAAGGTTAAGAAGAGCAACTACAAATAAAGAAGATGTTCTTAGTTTACTGCCAGAGCACTTTTATCTTGTCTTTTCTGGATCATGGTTTTAATATCAGGAAGTCCATGACGTCCAAAATACTGAGTGCAACAGATAGCTTCAGAATTGAAATTCTAATAATGATAGAAAGAGAATTCTCAAAAAATATAGGCAAGCTGAATACAGTATGGAGTGCAAGCAACATTCAAAATCCAAAAACAACAAATCAACATAGAGAGAATATAGAGCTTATGTTCTTACCATATACGCTCTCGAGATATATACAGAGAAGCAATTCAAATGCAATAAGCAATGGAGTTGCAACCACGGCGTGACATGGGGCCCACTACGGCATAAAAAAAAGAAAATAAATAGGTCAGGAAGTCTTTTAATTATTCTCATCACTTAAATGGAATTTAATATAAATGAAAAATCCTTACATGTCGATCATGCGGAACTGAGGGTGCAGGCAAAGAGAATCTCCCTCGGGCAACAACAGCATGAAACAGCCAAAGGGGAAAGAATACAAGCCTACATCGCGGTAATCGTATGATGGGTCACAATTTTGGCATTATCACCACTGATGTACGTAAGCGTAAGAACTTGAAAACACTTACTTAGAGCACAATGCATAAAATGCCTTACAAAATTAAAACTCAGAAAATCTTTTAGTTGTATATAATCGAAGATTGCATATTCAAACACAGAAGTCAATCTCCCACAACTTCCTCCCTCCAGAAAGGATTCATCCAAAAGGCTCACTCTAATTTAACAACAACCAGTTAAAGATGTGAAGGGAAAAGATTTATAATGATCATCTGAAGCAACATACATCCCAAACGCACACATAGAGAAGCACCGAACTAATATCATTTTTCTCAAAATACAGCCAGGAACTCCACAATCCTGTTCAGATTAAAAACATTCTTTGGGGAGGTATGTAGGAAAAGAGACCCGAAGTCATTCTAGATGTTACTTTGCAATTGGGATGCGTGCACCAAAGAAATGGGTGGCTCTTTCAGCGAGAAAGTCAACTAAAATAGATGATAAAAACTAAAAAGACACAGCTGACTTCCATCTGAAAACCACATTATACCATTCTCCAACGTTTCTCCTCCTATAATCTTAACTCAATCCAATTTAAAAACTACAAAATTGAAATAACTCAGTCCAAAGAGCCGAGAAAGCGAAAGATTGCAATTCTATCCCCCAAAAAACATGCATTTCCTAAAACTCCTATCGAGAAAGTGTCCTCTCAACCCCAAATATAAACCCAGACACCTCATTTCAAAATCCCAGGAAGACTAATCCAACCTTCTACAAACTGAACAATACATAGAAACCTCCCCCAAAAAAAAAAAAAAAAAAACAAAAAGGGTTCACTTCATCAGAAGTAAAAAAAGAAACATAAGAACAAAATTCAAATTTCAGAACCCAAAAACACCAAAAGATTCATACTTTATTAAAAATTACTCACCACCAAGAGGAATGAATAGTATGATCGAGCTTCAAAACAAGCAAAATCGTGAAGCATAATAGCAAGGTATGGGCTGATAGTGCCTGAAAAGCTTTCCCAACTCTTCTCCAGCTCATCATCTCCCCCTTTTCAGTTTTCACTCCCACCCAGTTCACTCTCTCTCCACCAATTTACTTCAAACCCCCAAATACTACGAAGTTTTCTGCCTAAATTACTTCAAGCCCCAAAATACTACGAAGGTTTCATGAATTATTATTATTCTCTAAATGATCTTAAATTTGAAGTACAAATACAGAGAAGATAAAAGGGGTATCAGGCAAGAAACCCAATCAGGATAGAATTATAGAGACTGAATCTTCGAAAACCGATAAATTTGTAATGATAATCATAATTATAAATATGGGATTCTTCCAATTTTTAAACTGATGAAGAAAAAATTAAAAAAAAAAAAAAGGTGCGATTTTTCAGGGGTTTAAAAGAGGGACCAGCCCAGAACTAAAGAAGACAAAAGAAAGGAAACTAGTTCAGAAGGGAAGAGCTTGATCATCATCAACGAAGAAATTTATTTTATTTTATTTTTCACTTTTTTTTCCCAAGTTGTGAGGTGGGTGGGGCCCGATACACTTTGGGCTGTAGTACTGCTGACTGATTTTTTAGGTGCCCTTTTTAAAGTTTTTATCTTTATTGGGTGGGTTTGGCGCGTTATTCACAAGGGAAGAAGATAATAATAAACAATGGGCGCCATTTTTTGTTGCAATTCTGCCCTACGTAAAAAATGACTAAGGCTTTGTTTTTTTTTTTTTATGGTTTTTCTAGAATTATTAATTAATAATTATCCCATTTTAATATATTTTTTTACATTTTCAATACATATTTTTACATTCTCAATACAAAAAACATCTAAAACACACACACTAAATAACGAAACAAACATACTCTAATCTTTCTTGTAATCAATTTTGACTACAGAAAAGAAAACAACAATACTATTATGAGACGTTTGTAATTGAAAAAAAATGATAAAAATTATTTTTAAAAATGCTTTAATTTATGGGTTAAAATTAATCACCATGTCAAGCCGTCTGTTTCAAAGTAACGGTTATATCTTTTTAACAAAATAGGGGTTTTTAGATTATAAAAATTAGTATTAACACTGTGTTAGTAATATCTAAATTCAATTCCTGATGTATGAACAAATTCGTGTATAAATATAGGGCTTATGCATTTTAATTAATTACATTTTGTATTAAGGGATGTAGTAAAGCTTTATAAATTTTGATGATATTATGGAAAAGTAAATTATGGTGTCACGAATATTAGAACTTATTTTAGTTTACTAATTCTTAAATTGAAAGAGAAAAACTACATTATGTCATTTTATATATCAAGTATATTTTAAAATAATTATATCTTCTATACATAGATATATATATATATGTGTATATATATCTATTAAAATAATACAACAACACAATTTTTTTAAAAAAAAAATCCACCCAATGAACTCCACTTAAGACCCCCCTTACAATCCCTGTTGGGAATCAAATTCTGAACTATTGTGTTGTTGTATTTTAAAATAATACAACATGACAATTATTTTAATCGAGTGTATCATAAAGTTTGGGTTAAAAAAAAAAAATGAAGCTTTACGTTCACGTTAAGTCTTCGTGCATGTCATCATCATTCATCATTTATCATCATCATCCACTTACCTCATAAAAAGCCCTTCTTGTTATTTAAATTTTTCATTTTTCTTTCCTTTCTTGAAAGAAATTTTCTTTTATTTTCTTTACTGGTGCATCATTTGATTTGGATTTTGCACTACGTACATTCACACCCACATTCATACATATTTCTTTTTTGAAGTTATGGAGTACACATATTGGATTCTTTTGTAACTTCTGCGATACAGAAACCTGAGGTAATCATAATGAAACTTCCAATTCTGTAATGGAAAATTCTCCGTTGAAAATGGATTAAGTTTAATGTCATTATACATTTGAAAATTTTTCCGTGAAAATTAGTACAAATTTAATTTAACTTTGTCTTCGAAAGAGGTCCATTTAGGTCACCGGAATTCAGTTTAAATGCGAGGAGAGTCCGTTCAAATATTATCTGATAATTCATGTATAAAAAGAATGAAACGAAGTACAAATATGGTTAATGTGTTTTTCTTTTTTGGATTACAAATTTTTCTTATGTGGTGTTTATGACTTCATGATGAATAAGGGTTGTATTTGTGGATCAGGACAAACCCACTAAACCTGAAAAGTCACATATTATAGTCACATCATGGACATTTTAAAGTGTCTTTATTACAGGAAGTCTTGTGACATGCCTTGTCTCTTCCTCACTCCGTAAAGGTGCCGATTCCCCGTAAAAAATACTGTTAAAGTCTAGTTTAGTTGGCAACACAAACTCGAAGCAGCTATGTCAGTGAATGGAACAAAGCGCACTACTTGCAGTAGGTAGGATATGTCAATCTTTGAGCACCATAAGAAGGCTTGTATAGGAATAGTTGTAGTGTAGTAGTAGGGTAATTGTAGATTGTGTGAAATAATATCGGTGTTTCAAAATGGTAATACCTATAACGGAGTACTCTTAAAAACAAAACAAAAAAATTCATGATGAACATTGTCATATAATGTGCTAGAGGATCTCACGACTTCATCGTCATTGTTGGAGGACAAATTATTTGCACCAACTTAGAAAATTCCTCGAAATGAAATATATATGTTTATTTCCCGTTAATTAATTAAATTTCTACAAAAATATTTAACATAAAAAATGAAAAACTAAATGAACAGAAATATCGTTTCTAATAATATTGCATATAATTCAACGTATTACATGAGGTCGGAAGTTGTTTCCTAAGTGTAACATTTTGATTCGTTCTACGAGAAATACGAACACCTGTACTAATCCTATTAACCCACATAAATTCTGTCAATTTTGATGAGACATTTTATGACACAATTTCATAATTCAATCATTTCTTGCAATTCAGGGTTCAATCACCAAATTGACTCAACTGATGTGATGTGTGTGTCTAACTGTATCTATATGTGCATGGTGGTTCAACTCCAAACAATAAAAGATATTTTTTGCCAAAGATTACTAAACCTGTTTTTCAATTATTGGATTGGAAGATGGAAAACTTGGTTGAATGAATAATTGAATTAGGCCCTGTGTCTTTCTTTCTTTGGAGAGCTTCCAATTTGCATTTCATATGAATGATGATGGATACCGTTAATGGTTTTAGTGGGGGAAAAAAAATCTTAACTGATAGAAAAAACGTTACGCGTTAATTAACAGTTTAAATTATCTTCGAAATATATACGTACATAATATGATTGACTAAAAATTATCTTGCGTGCATGCATCTATATTGACTTATTTTAGTTTAACCAAATAAAATTGCAAAACGAGAATTACGGGGTCATATTTCGTGAAGACTCAGTTGAATTTATTTGAATATTGATGATAAGTTAAAATGAAAATGCTATTGCGTTTGGAGAGAAACAATGAATAATTATTTCTACTACTATTGCATATATTGATACCGTGCCCAGCCAGATAACGGAGTGTTTCAATTAATTAATTTAATTAATTCTTTTTGTATTCTTTTAAGTACATTCTTATTCATCAAACTAAAGGACTCATCATATCAATTAGACGTTGACCCATGCATGTTATTCCATAATTAACAAATTAATTATTGGACAGTTGTCAGTTGTATATGTACGTGAAGAATTACAATCTTTTTTCAAAAAAAAAAGAATTATCTTAAATGTTTTGCTAGTACTACCTCCTTTTCATTATGTATAAGTCCACATTGAGTGGCACAAGTATTAAAATATAACTAGCAACTAAAATTTTGTAATTTATTCTTAATTAATAAGATTAACTACCTAACAAGTGGTTGTGTACATTAGAATTCCATAACTACCATTATAAAAACAAGGATAGTTCAGGTAAAATAGAAAAAATATCTATTGGATACAAAATAGACTTATATTTTTTACACAAATAAAAATAGAAATTGGACTTATATTGTGAAAATGACGTAGTAGTTAACACCGAATGAATGTTGCCTATTGTAGTCGAGGAAAAAAATATATTAATAGAAAAATATTTTTTTTTTTTTTGTAGTTAATAGCAAAGAGCTAATTACTAATTAGGCAGAAGCTCTAAGTAGTACAATTTACTATTCCTCTAGATTGTTTCTTTTAATCACAATAGTTAAAGCAGTGAAGAAACGGAAGATTTTTTTTTTTTTTTTTTCTGTATTCTTGTAATCGTGTTTTTACGTACTGTGAGAAGGAATTTCACATCAGTAGCAGATTGGGACATGTATAATAGTTGCCTCGTGACTGTAGAAAACAACAAAAAGTGTTTTGCTTGTTTTTTTTTTCCTGAAAACAATTTATGAGTTTAAATCTACACGAATCAAGAAATAAAATGTCACACCGCGGGGAATCAATTGGATAACTAGTGAAAATATCTGTAGAAAAAATCTACGCAAAAGTTTGTAAGCTCAATATTAAAAATCCTGTCACTGTGGAATTGATTACTTTAAGGATTTTTCTTTTTCTTTTTTAAATACATTTTGAGCAATGATAGATACAAGGAAAAAATAACAAGAAAAAATAGCAAGGAATGACGTGTCAAAATCTGAACTATGTCGTAATCTTAAATGCATAACCTTATTTGAAAAGTTTTAACAATGGATTGGCAGTTATAATATAGGGATCCTAGGTACACCCAGCAATGTGTACCTAGTGTGAAACACACACGCCCACAATCTCAAAAATTCTGAAACTACTATTTATTATCCCTTTTTTATGGTATTTTTTATTTCCAAATTTCCATAACCGATTATTCACCGTAATTATCCACCATTTATGATACCATTCCTTCCATTCCATCCGGAACCATAATCTCAGATATTTTTCATTTTGTATCATTTTGATATACCAAATTCTCACGTCGACAGTACTCTTGAAGACGAAATCAAATTCGTGCAGCCAAAACTGGGATTTTGCATCATGTTGCTAAGTATTACGGTAAAAAATCATGTTATTCATCCCTTTTGTGTGGTTGTTTCTAAAATCTATCTCTTAAAAATATAAATTTGTCCGCTAAATCTTGTTTGGAATTCTCAAAAATCTTTGTTTCACTATTCAGATTTGCCAGTTCGAGCTCGTTCGATAAATCGTTGAAGGTTTATGGATTCATATTTGTTGTGAAAAAGAACATAAATCAGATTTGGTGAATCGCCGGAGGCTTATGGATTCAGATCTGTTGTGTAAAGAAGAAAAGATTTATAGATCTAGGTATTGTTCATTAGTTTAATATCATTATTCATCTTTAAAACATGTTAGTTCATCGATGTTCTAGTCTTTGTCATCGATTTGTGGTTGATTTCAGAAAATATTAACAGATCTGGCATTATTCATCATCTCGGTATCATTATTCTTCATCAATGTGTAGTTGTTTTAGTCATGTTTTCTTCTTCTGTGAAATATTATTCATCATTTATCATCGATTAATGATGTTTGTTCATCAATTTCTTAGTTTTGTTCATCGATCTGTGGTTGATTATGGAAAAAATTAATCGATCTAGGCTTTGTTTATCAGTTTAATATCATTATTCATGTTTAAAACATGTTAGTTCATCGATGTTCTAGTCTTATTCATCGATTTGTGGTTGATTTTGGAAATCAGATTTTTACATCATTATCTATTTTTGGCGGTTATTCATCTTCTCGATATCATTATTATTATTCATCATCAATTTTGGGTTATTTTAGTCATGTTTTTTTTTTTCTGGTGAAATATTTATTCATCTTGTATTCTAGTTATTCATTATTTTCGCTTAGTTATTCATTAAAGTACAATTATTCATTTTGTAAAACTACAACTATTCTTCATTGTAATATTGTTATTCATTTAGGATGAGATCATTATTCGTCAGGTTTGCATCGTTATTCATTTTTGTGAATATAGTTACTCATTACAAAATTTAAATTTATTCGTTCATAACGGTGTCACTATAAGAACATCATTGTTCATCACCTCCATAACGTTGATATTATAAGCACCAAAAGTCTTTTCCTCAGAGTTGAAACATCATCCAATAAGCACATCATCTGTTATTCATCAATAACAATTTGTTATTCATTACTTAAAATAAGATAATCATCGTAAATCTGAACAAGATGATACACCATCTGTCAAAAAACAACAATGAAATTCCTTTTCATCAGTAACCATATATTGCGCATTACCTTACGCATGTATATTCACCAATAAAATGCATACATTCTACATCAATCATCTTTCAATAATTGTATAACAGTATTCATTGTCTAAACATTGGTTATTCATTACTGAAAAAATACACATTGATTCTTCATATTCATAAGTCTCAATGATTAACCATAATCAATTTTACTGAAATAAAATCCATTGTTATAAAAAAATATCTCATATAATAAAATAATATAAAAGCTAACACGATAAGCAAAAAAAAAAGGTTTAAATTAAACGTGTGTCAAAAAAAGGGATAAGATCAGAGAATTAAATATCAAAAAAAAAAGGGGATAAAATTATGGGGATTAAATGCCAAAAAATGAGGATAAAATTGAGTGATTAAATGCGCGTGTGAGAACTAAAAATCAGGACTAAAATGATCACTTTTTTCTCCCAAATTTATGATACACGCACTGCCTAGATACACCTTGCAAGGTGTACCTAGGAGCTTAATATTATTTACCATGGACTGATGAGATCAATTCCTTATAATTTTTCCTTGTATCAAATCATTACTCCTACATTTTTTCCTCTGCATACTAAATGAGATGAAACACTTAAACTATGACAAAATACTTTAAAACAACTTTGAATTGCGGACTGGTTGTCAATACAATCTTTACCCAATAAAACCCTTACCAAAACTAAGTTTGATATATTTAAAATTGAGCTGAAAAATAAGGTTAATTCTTCAATATCAAAATATTGTACTCCTTCCGTCCCACAAAAATAGTTCACATTGAGTTTTGAGTTTTGTACTGTTTTTAGTACAAATTTAAAAATTCAATAAAGACTATTTTTTTGGGACAAAGGTAATACTAACCATTGCATAATAATTGTATAATTATTATATTAATCATTGCATGAATGCTCCAAATTCCAAACCATTGTATTATTTTTTTTTTCTTAAAAAAAATAACAAAGAAACAATAGATGATTGCTAAAATGGATTGAAACAAAGAATTCTGTCGGCTGGAAGTTTCAGGGTCTGGTGTGATTATTATTTGTAAGGGATTTAGCTGAAACGAAAAGATCAAAAAATCAGTGAGATGAGAATTATAATGTTCTGTGGCCCCTAAGAGCTTGTTGGGTGGTGGGGGGAGGAAGAAGGAGTTTCCTGAAAACGTAAGATCCATAGAGATGATGCTGACTTCGGAAGCTCGACATCTTGTCCTTTCACAAATTATGTTTTTGTCTGAAAAGACCTACTATATCCAAATCTACTAGTACCAACGTATTTTTTACTTGAATTAAATGAAATGAACGTGTATTACATAGAAATGGCCAACCATTTGATTTTCATTTATTGTGCAATAATTCACATGAATTTGATGCATTTATTTTGGGGTCTCCTCCTCAATTCCAAACAAACACAATTCAACTACTGGATAGATGCCCATACTGATAATAGATCAGATTATTGCATTTGGCGTTTTTTTTTTTTTTTTTTTTCCTTCTCTTAATTTTCTTCCCTGTCAAGTGGGCAGCTTCAAAATAAAGTCCTTTTTTTCATTAAAATGAGACGAAAAGAATATTAATAAGTCTTTGTTTGTAATAAAATATGTTAAGAATGTAAAAAGATAAAATGTGTTAGAATTTAGAAATGTGAGAACTAGATTGAAATTTTAAGGGAGGGGGGGGAGGAACACCTTTACTGAGTCGAAATTTTAGATGACTTGAGCGGCTTCAATTTTTGGTGAATTTTTTCAATGAATGGTTAATATGTTGGATTTCAACCTTGGATGAACCTTTAAGCCAAAGGGATTAAACAGGAAAACAATTTCCAGGACAAAACGTTTTAGGCTACTGTTAACAAAGATTAACTTATATGCATTAGACGACCATTCATTCATACAGGGTAGAGAGGATAACTGAAATCAACAAAGGCTATACAATCTAATGACTAGTGAGAGTTGGAATTCTCCAAATCACCATGCCCGAAGTTGAAGCTCAGTTACCTTTTGGACAAAATGGAAACCCTGCTTATCATTGCTCCTGGTCTCTACATCAAAAGAGATACGGCACACTGCAAAATTAGGAGCTTCAAAGAATTCCTCACACCTTGAGACGTACCGGATCATGGTTGATTCTCAAAAGTTGCAGAAAATGGCGGCGTTTAGGTTGAGGACTGTAAGAACTGTTGGAGCCAGTTACAGTTGGCTGCATCCTTTTCTATGTCGCTGCGCATTCTCCTGGCATGTTGGAGGGCCTGATTTAAGTCCATTGTGTCCAGGGGCAATTCAGAGAACTCCTTCAAAACCTGGCGAGCTCGGGCAGCGCCTCTAGACATGTCATCAGGATCCAACTCCCTTTTCCGCTTATTTGATCCCTGTCCACCATCACCCATTAATCATTTCAAGGACAATTTCTATAACTCGGTACAAACTTTAAAAATGTTTTCAAGGACAAAACTTGAATGCACCAGAAGACAAGTATCCTTTTACCTATGCCTCTGGTAAATAGGTCGTGTTTGCCATTTGGTATAAAGGATACAGTACAGGGGATTAACATAAAAATGGGGATAATCAGGATTCAAACAAAATGGTAATACCGAACATACCCCAGTATCATCATTTGCTATAAAAGATGCAGACGAGAAATCTTCCAACTCAGCTGCTTTTTCTCTCGCAAGTGCAACAACACTAGCAGGAAAATTTGCAAACTCCGCCACATGAATACCGAAACTCTGATCACAAGCACCAGGCTCTACCTGAGATATCAGATGGCATCATTAAGCAGATTGTATCACCCCAGCAAAGTTAACTGCATCTTAAGTCCAGATCTTAAACCACAAAATTCTCCCAAAAAAAAAAAAAAGTTGGCATACAATGAAGTGCTTTTTGTTCTGCTAATACTAATAAAGGTACAGAAACTTGAGATTTAATATCAACCTTGTATAGCATTGTCAGTTTTCGACTTGCTGGATCTATGTGTGCACTGACATGATAATTAGCCACACCAGTAATGTCAGGATTGTCAGGATTTTCTTGTGCTAATGCAGTCAGCTCATGAAAGTGAGTTGCAAACAATGTAGGTGCCTTAATCACTTCAACTATGTGTTCACAGATTGCCCAAGCTAGGCCTGATGTTGCAGCAAAAGTGATTCAACTTGTTAGAGACTGAGACAGAAATATGATTCAGCAGAAATAAAGAGACAAGACCAAAACAGAGAAAGGAAACATTATATAAACCGGAGCAGAAAATCATCAAAAAGTTAAGCCCATACTTCAAAGAATTTAACAAATATCCATTAAAAAGCTCAATAAGTAACTGCTCTAGTTTCTTTTAATATTGCTTGCTGGGAAGTGGTTGATCCTGGAATGGAAAAGCCTGACCAGTAATCTTCCCAAGCAAAGATAAAAAGTGAAATAACATCTACACAAACCCCAGATATCTTAAGTTTTTGGTAGAACTGATACACTCAGGTAGCATTTTGTCCCATAAATTCCACAGCATCTTCATGAGATTGCAAGAATTTAAGCTTTATTACATGAAACGGATTTCATTCGTTTCTGAAAATTCCAATTAGATCATAAGAAGGTTAATAGGAGAGATAAGTGTGCCTATATGGAAAATAAGTAAAATGTGCCCACAAGTTGCAGATTAGAGCATCTATAGGACCAGAAGAGAGTTGATACTCCGCCTCAAACAGTTGGATCTTTCTCTAGCTTCAATGCAATTCCTCCAAAAAGGTTTCAGTTCCAGCGACTAGTTTCTTTCCCTTTTCTTTCTTTTGCATTTTACAGAGCTTGACACCCATAATTTGAATTTCAGATTGGAGTGGACTGTAGGGTAAATTGCGTGCAGCTAAAGTACAATGCAGATGCATGCCAATAAGATATAAGATTTTGCTATCAGATAAGGCCAGTACTATTGCCATGGCTAATGGCCACTCAAGTAGCAAAATGAAAGAAAGCTGAAGTCAACATTTAAGCACCCAAGTTTTGCCCGCAGAAATACAAATCAAACATGGATTGAGATTAACTGGTTTAAATTGGGAAATGTCAGGTGGAATAACACTAACCGAATCCATCATAAGTTGACGTTCCACGACCCAGCTCATCAATGATTATTAAGGAGTTTTCTGTGGCACCTTTCAAAATCGATGCAGTCTCCAGCATTTCTTGCATGAAAGTGGAAACTCCACGTAGCTAAATAAGTAAATGATAGAAGGAAAGACGGAAGAAAACTAATTGTCAGAAGTTTTGAAGTAAATTATTACTTATGATCACGAAAACTTAGGTTTAAGCTTAAATAACAGCTCAAGAAAGATGGCGGTTAAAGAATGACATTGTTCCAATTTGAAGTCACAAAAGAAGAATCAATGATGGGTTCCCACAAGAAATTGCCCCACAGTAAACATATGAATGAACACCAGGGTTTAATCTATTCCCAATAAGAATCTGAAACTAATTTTATCTTTCAGATTTAGTAAACTGTCTGTGGCACACATCTTTCCAGCTAACACTCAGTCCACTAGATTCGCCATAGGCATGGAAAAAAATGCAGTAAGTCAAGACCAACCTGGCAATCACCAGCACCAACACGAGCAAAAATACAATCACGTACGGAAATAATAGCTTTGTCACAAGGAACAAAACAGCCTACTTGAGCCATCAGGATATTCACACCAACCTGCATGAGAACAAAAGATCTGTATAGTATTTCAATGCAATGGGACGAAAAGGGATAGTATTGTATGACAAGAATCTCCAGTGAGATGCAGAGAAATAGAATAATAACAGTCAATGTATGGAAGAACAGAACCAAAATACCCCATCAATTTTGGCCCTCAATTTCTTCCTTGCCTTTACTATCAGTTCATCACATTAATCATTCCTCCAACCTTCTCAGAGCAATAATCATAATTAGAAGTACAAACTCATAAACATAAAACTTAAGTTTTCCTATGTTCATAACGAAGTTCTAAGTTTCCTACATCATGCAGGTCATACATAACAGTTTCTGCTTCTGCACAAACACAAGTTGGCCTTGCAAACTCAATCTGGGAAAGGAAAAGGTGTATTTACTAAAATTCAAACAAATATACCAGACAAACCCATCACAGTTTACATATATACTAATCCAGCAACTCATAGTGCTCCCTGTGGAAAATAGCAACTTTGACCCATTTTATAGCTGACCAATTATTTCTACAATGGAGCTAATAAGTTAAAAATGCTAAAGTCAGCCAGACATGCAAAGTATCATTTGGTGGATAGAAGTTTCATATTGAATCTGCCATTCCAAGCCTTGAAGGTACTTAATTTTAGGAGCCAACTTATTGCAGCAAAGAGAGTAGGATTTTATGTCAGGATTGAACTCTTTAAGATCTAACACCAACTCTATGACTGGAATTAATCAGGTGTTCCCTTCGCATTGCTTTTACAAGCACTCAATTCCAGACTAACAACTAAAATCAGGTTCAACTTTTCAAATGTTCATGGGTGCAAACTCCCTAGATTTAATATTTTGAAATTGCGAATTTGAATTAGTGTAGCTCTTCCATGTGCAGTTTTCAGAAGTATCAACCCATAATAGGTGGTTCACCATATATAACAGTCATGTAAGGGCCAATACTACATCACCTATTGCTTAGGTCCTAAAATCACTTATTCAAATTTTAGCCAGAAACAGCAAGAGAAAAAATAGTACCTGTCTTATGAATGTTGACTTTCCACCCATGTTAGGTCCTGTAATGATTTGAAACCAACTCTTTCCCCTGACCTGCAACGGCCCAAAAAGCAGGTTATACAGCTTACATCAGACAAAAACTGCGAGACAGCAGCAACTGTATTGCAAGGACTCACTAGTTTACAGTCGTTTGGAATAAAATTCACCCAATCTTGAGCTTCAACACAAGGATGTCTACTTCCTTCTAAAACTATATCTCCAACATTCTGCCAAGCCAAATGAGAAACTAATTAAATCTTCATGCCAACAGAACTTCACCATTGGCATACTAAAACAATAAGGGAAAAGTCAATCATTACTGGAGGATTGATCTCTGGTCGTGTGTAGGAAGTGGGACAGCTGGCTGCTAAATCTGCAAAGCTTAGTAGGACATCTAACTCAGACAGCATGCCAGCTACACCCTCAAATACCTGCAGCCTCAAAGCTTAGTAAGACTTCAAAATCTCCAAATAAAGACAGGTAATGTACAAAGTGAATACCTCTGAAAAGGTGGAAGCAGTTTGGACAACTCTTGCCACAAGTTCCTTCTGACAATTCTTGTACTCCTCCAGTATCTTTTGATACTCATCCCCTAACTTCTTAAGCTTTGAATTAGTAAACTTTACACCATCTTTTCGAGTTTCAAGAATAATAAAATTGGTGTTCAGCTTTTTCCTTATTTTTGGCTCCTCCTTCTTCGTAATCCTAAAAACATGTCCAAATTGTGTGCCTTTATCCAATTTTAGAGTCTTGTCAACAGCCAGGTCTAGATCATTTGCAGTCTGTTTATGCAAATTATGTATCTGTTTCTCTAGAGATTCTTGCTCATCTTTCAACGCAGATAAGTTTGAGTCATAACCAGATGAAATCATGTACTCTCCGTTCTCAAGTTGATCAAGGTCAACAGATGTTTCCACGAGACCAATGAACTTATTCAAGTGATTATCATCAGTCCAGTTCTCCAGATGGTTGAGATACCTTTCTCTTATTAACGGCGCAAACTGCCCATCATACCGTTCCAAAGCACCCTTGATATATGGAAGCCTGATGCATGACTACAGACACGGAAATAACTAATAAGTCATAAGTTCACATTCACTATTGAAAGCACTTGTTAAGAACTAGAACTTATACGTAACCAATAAAAAGAAAAACTAACAGTTACTATTTTCTGAAACAGACTTGACTTATACTTGAATTTAGCCATACTGCAACTATGAATAGTTTTCGGCTAACAAATACAACTTTGAGATTTTATACTTTGGCCATTCCAGTCCTCTGAAAAGATTTTATCTCCACATTAGGATTGCAGCATAGGTGAAAGAAAACTTCTTCTGAGTAACTTTAAATTGATGGCAACAATTGGTGAGATAAGACCAATGGCCAAACAATATAGTGGGATGAAGGCTAAGCATATCGTTGTAACACCTAATGTTTGTCGAAATCGGTTGCACACAAACCTTAGGTACATTGATATGCAAATTGATAGTATATAGTTGGGCAATCATGTAGGACATCATGAACCGAAGAATTATAAGGATCATTAACTTACCTTCTTGGAAAATGGAAAACAAAATTTGATACAATTATGTTTTGCTTTCCCTTCACAAAAAACTGTCTCAAATGCAAAACAAAATTTGAATTTAGAGGGAAGTACCTGATAAAGTTTGACAACATGCACCAAACCAGCCCTCTTCTTTTCAAGATTGCGAACCAAACGCTCAATATCTGAAATCCTCTTGAGATGCTGCCTCAGGTCTTGACGAAGACCAGCATCCTCTACAAATGTTTGCACTAAATCGAGCCTGGAGTTGATTTCGTTAACATTTAGTAAAGGCTGTTTCAACCACATATGCAACAATCGTTTGCCCAATCCAGCGGTACAAGTACGATTCATGAGACCAAACAAACTGAAGTTTTTGTTGGCGTCAGATTTACTCTCCATGACATTTAAAGCCCTCATAGCAGCAGAATCTAGTCTCATGTAATTGTCAAGGTTATACTGTTGGACTGAAAATTTTCCGTAATTGCTCTCATCTGCAAGTAACTCGGCATAAGATAATATAGAACCCAAAGCACCAGGTGCAAATTCAAACCCGGATACCAAATCTCGAACTACCTCAGAAGATCCTTTAACAAGCCTACCAAGATCCTCTACTAAATCCCTTCCTTTAAACTCAGATTTCTTTCTTTCAGTTACCATCACTCCACATCTTGACAAGGCATCTTGCAAAGATCTGCACTCAACTGCTCTAGCACTCTCCAGTGGTAAAATGCATTCCTTGCAACCAAGAGCTACTAAAGCAGATTCCAAGTTTGTAAAATGGCTATCATCTAGAAATTCGGCCAAACCAAGCACTCTCTTAGTAATATCAAGAAAGGCCAAGCCAACTGTGCATCCATTCTCTCGGAAATTGGGAACAACTGAAGCAACAACTGGGGAATCCTGCATTTCATTGTTGGCAAATAGTATATCCTCAAAACACCCTAGATTCCCTGGAGTTCCACTTTTAACCAGCCTCCAATTAGAGCCACTGCCCTCGTATAGTTCAAGAGTGTGATCTGTTCTCTCCAAGAGAAGGTTACGTGTGATGGTCTCAAACATATTCCTGCTCACACTAACACTAGAAATAGCTCCAGAACCATTACCCAGTTGTCTAAGAGCAGTAGTGGTTCGGTAAAATGTCTTGGCAATAAAAGTAGCATTATCGCCATGTGCGGTGTAATAATCCTGGAAACCAGAAGGAACCACTTCATATATGAAACTTGAAAATCAACTTTTTTTTTCTGTGTACAAAGAATTTAACTTAAGATCCTCAACATCGTATATGAAAAAAAGAACAGATGGAATAAAAGTTGATATTCAGTATTCATATTAAAAACATGCACAGAGCAGATTAAGATCACAAACAGATTTCCATGGTGAAGCAAGCACCCAAGTTGTCTGGCAATGCAAATAAATACTTCTCTGAACTACTATCCCGGCTAAGAATGTAAAAAAAAAGCCTCAAACATCGAAACAACCAATAGAATCAAAGGTAATTTGTTACAACGGCTCCGACTTAACCAATTGCAGAGCATGAGATGAGGACAAAATGATTTTTTATTTGATAATTCATGTGGCCTGAAAAGGAATTGCATTAATGTTCCAGAAGAAAAACTATCTATCTTGAATTAAAACAATTTGTGAATCAACTTTCTTCGAAACACTATAATTTAAACCTTTTAACACCAACCGGTTGTTTTAAAAACCTGAGCAGAACTTCAACCACGAGTTATACCAAAAATGAAACAAAGGAAATCAAACGACATCCCTTTAGAAATTAAAACCCCAAATAGGAAGACGAAGAAGAAGAAGAAGAAGAAGAAGAAGAAGAAGTACCCGCCGATCAAAGAAACGGATAGCCCTTGAATCCTGAGAAAACAATAAAAGGACTTAGAAAAACGAGAGAAGCCCATTTGTCATTTCGTCAGATAAATAAAATACTAGATAGGATTATTGCTTACACTGGGTAAGGTTTTGAAAAATGAAAGGAACCCTTGCGCTTGTTTAGCATCTACACCAACCGAATCATCACCATCAATTACATGCTTCAAAAGTTATATATATATATATATATTAAATAAAAAATAAAAATAAAAACTTCAAACCGCACCTAATTTGAGTTCAGGAAGCTTGCCCTCTTCAAAATTTTCATCCATGGTTTGTAAATGCAAATATCGAACAATACCAAATACTTGTCTCTTGAGGTCACTTGTAAACTGTAATTGTTAGGAAACGAAACTCAGGTTTATCGATTTGGCTGCTTTAGGGTTTGGATAGTGTTAAACCCATCGTGTATTTCAGGCTCTTTTTTACCAAGTATTAAATTATGTCTATGGTCTCTGTGGGTATGTGTGCAGAAAATTGGCGGGAACCGAATTGGCGTGGTTTTCTACCTTTCTGTGAGGAGGAGAGCATTGAGGCGGGAGGGATAGCAGGGAAAATTAACGAATATGTTATATATTGCTTCCAAACGGTGCCCTTTTCGTACAATTTTTTTGCTAAAAATTAAATCTTTGAATGTCTCTGTAAAATCGTACTAGTACTTAATGACCAGTAAACACACTTTGCACAGATTGGTCTTTATCACGCACTGCAAACAGATTTGTTTATTTAATAGCTGGTTCTTTGAGGCTAAATTAAGTTACATTGGCTTAGAGAAGTTGAAATTTTTTTGGCAGACTTTGGCAAATGGAAAATGCAACCATGACAGTATTTCTTGAATCCAATTTTGACCTAACAAGCTCAAGAACAAGTTCACGAGCTGCCAGGCATCATTGACAGAAAGTTTCAACGGCATCTACTTCCCCACATTCTGGTACAGACGAAGGATTCAATCGGAAAGTTTCAAGTAATGGAAATTACAATAAGTTCATAAACTAGCACGCTACATCAGTCCATCCGTCCTTTCAAAGTCCTCTCAATTACTTCGGTTGGTGTCCTGCACAGGCAACAAAATGAAGACATCCTTGAGTTCTGATTTAAGGGAATTCGAATATACAACACATAAGGGTAACACAGAAATCACAAATATATGAGCACTAAAAGGCTTACACCACATAGACGTGTCCACCCCACCCACTTAAACAGTCACGATCGACTGAAGCTAGCAGTGCCTGAGAGATGGTCTCAAACAGTTCTTCGTGTTCCTGCACAATTGATAGAAAGGCCGTTTAAGGCATAGACCATGAGCAAAGAAAGATATGAGCACAATCCAATGGCAAAGTTGAAAAGTGAGGTTCAAGTCCAAACATATCATTGTTACTGAAGTTGCAAGAAAAGATTCACAGATTCAGTCCCATGTTAATTTCCCTTGAAGGACAGACTAAACATATCCAACCCAAGAGTTCAAACCAAAAACTCTACACAAGGAATTTTTTTGATCAAAATATCCCCCAACCCACCCAACAATATATATATATATATATATATATAGATATAGATATATATAGCAAAGCCAGCAAGAAAGAGCACCACAACCAACTGAAAAATATCAAGCGTGAACCACAATATTCTGCTCTAGAGAAGAACTTCCGATTAAGGAAAAAAATAAGGGAAGAAAAATGCATACTGCTGAAGCAGGCAAAAGTAAGCGCAGAACGGACAGTAATACAAATTCAGATACAGCACGAAAGAACTTAGGCACCACCACAACCTAACTACTGTGGCCAGATAAGATCAGAACTTTTCAAGACACATTTCTGCAAATGAATGTGGAAGACTTACCACTCCACAGTTTCAAGCTATGCAACCAAAATTCAAATTGACTTGACCAATGACAAATCATCTAAATAACATCATCAATACTCTCAAAAACAATAGCTTATGCGATAGATGGTCATAGCATACAACAACCGTCATATGATGGATACTCTCATGTTAACACAAAAAGAAATACTAAACGAGACGGCTACTTACCATGTCAGGCTTGAACATTGCTTCACATGCACCATACAAAGATTCTGAAGCAGTTCCAGCAACAACAAAATCTTTGGCAAGTTCTCTATGAAACCAAAGCACACCAAAAATAAAACTTCAGCAGTGAAATCCAGATTTACCAAACCCTATAGAGCTTTGGATCATGAAGTTAAACTCAACATATTCTCAATCCATGCATGTATGACAACAAGCAGTACAAGAATCAGAACTTTTTCGCATGACAAATATTTCAATGCAAGAGGGGTAAGGAATGAAAAAGTCAAGAGAAAGTTAAACTATCTTAATAGCTGGAACTTAAAATTAGCACACAAAAATGACTCTCTAGGAGAATGCAGCAACTAAATGCTACCACACAAAAGCTAAATAAATGACATGCATAATCCTGATTCCTAAACTAGTCTTATCGTGGAATACATACGGTTACAACTTAAGAAAAACTCTAGAGAAACAATTTTATGGCACAAATATTTTTATCTCAAACTCAATAAGTTACTTAGGTGTTTTTCATTTGATCATATAGTCACTAACATAAATGAGAGGAAGTTTGATCATATAGTAACTAACATAAATGAGAGGGAGAGGAACTTCATGACCATTGTGAAGAATTGAAAAGTTGAAATAGATTCTGATTTCTGAATGATGTTGTTTATCAGTTTTATCCCTTGCAATGGTAACTACAAATTTCCTATTGTTCAAGGATACACAACTGGAAAACGTGATAACTTCCATCTTCATGAGCATCAAATCCTAGATTCTATCTTTTCCCTAATATAAGCCCTCATCAAGTACAAGCATAGATTTCATGCACTCATACATCAAAGATTTAACACAACCAAATAAATAAAATTTTCTCCTAAAGAAATAGAGCTCTAGAAACATTTGGATATGGCAGAATCAAAATAGTAAAGTAGAAAAAGGTATGTTCTGATGCAAATCTACAAGAAAACATGATTAACAAAAAGCATGAGCAAGACCCTCTCAGAAGAAGAGAAGCACAGCTAATGATAGCATTAATTCAATGAGAAAGATGAGGGAAAAAATGAGAAGAGCATACTTTGCTCCAATAGAATCCATTGTGCAGATGAATGGCTTGTCATCATCTCCTAATCCAGCAATCACAGGTTGGCAGAAGTATGGCCCAAACCTGGGACAGAAGAGAAGATTGATTAATTAATAATAATAAGGATCCCATGTACTTATGGTCTATGATGATAAAAAAAGGTTCCCAAAGTAATTTCAAGTACCAGGAAAAAATAACTAGTGGAGTTATCAAGGACAACATGTCAATAACAGAACCAAAAAAGATGCAAATATGAAGTTCAAAACTTCAATTATCATGCAGAGAACACTTTTCCAAATTATTTTTCAGCATGGTAACGTGGAAATTTGAATGACAAAATGTGCCTAACCTTTTCTCGTACAGAATCGCAGAAACTAGGCTGGCAAAAGTTTCAGGCTTCATGTCCCTCTCTTCTCTGAGCTGATACAGCTTGTGCCGGAAAACAAGTCGTTGGTGCCTTCAGATGTCAGAAAGAAAAGCACATAAATTGCAGTTCACACAACTCAACAGCACGAAAATACAGCAAACACTGGTAACCTATATAAAGTCAAATCTTCCACATTCACAAATTCCTCTACTCCTACCAGTAAAAACAAACTTGATTAGACCAACCACCCAAAGCACCACCGAATTCACACTATCACCTTACCCACCACCACTACTATAGTAGAATCAAAATGAGATCTTTATGCCCAAAACAAACCAGAAACCAAAACCGGTTGAAGTTAAGAGCTTAAAATCATATAGTATTTTAGAGTGGTAAATTACAATGTCTGGGCATCAGTGGCAAGGCCGGCAAGTCCAATGAACAGTTTATCATGGATTTTGTAAATCTTTTGAAAATCAGTGGCGATGGTCTGAAGCTGAACTCCTAGTCTTCGGTCACTGGCTATTGCGAAGCAGTTCTTTCCCACCATTGCCACCAAAGCACTTCCATTGTACTCGAATATCTGCTCATCACGACATGTTTCCAAAACAATAGTCAACAATTGAAGAATATCGCGGAGAAATTAAATACACGGAAATAAGATCACGAAAAGCCCCAAAAATCACTTACCGACATTGTTGCAGCAAGATGAAGTCTGATAAATGGTGCAGAAGGATGATGAAGGGAAAGGACAGATGAATCAACCTACAGGAATATCAGAAAAGGAACTGAGGACAAGGAACTATAAACTCAAGAAGCAAGAAGAAACTGAATATCCAGTAAGCATAACAGAATGATTGGCGTCGAAATCATGTAGAACAAAAAAAAAATCAGAAATTGATGATTAAGCCTTTTAACATCAATCATCTCATCAAGAATATCTTATCAAATCGCAAAGTGAGCTCCAGTATACTAATCCGACTTATCATTAAAAAACTAGGGCATCGCCAAAAAACTAGTCTTTTTTTAGCCCTTTTGGGCAAAAAAACCTAAGCTTCAGAAAAATTAGTCATTGACAACCACGGCGGAATTCGAGGATCTAGTCTAATCGAATTTTGTCCAATTTTGTCCATGTAATAAACATTAACTAGCGACAAGACGATGGGGCTTCCAATTCCACAGACAACAATTTCAATCATAATCATTAATCTCGAGCAGATGAATACCCAATTCGACAAAGTAATGGCCAAGGCGACAATAACGATTCCATGAGCAAATAGTGAAAATATGCAAACAAATCAAGCATAAGAGAGTTGAGAAAGAAACCTTACACGGAAAATAGGCCGGTCGATTCAGTGGGAGCTCCCGACAGACGGAGGATTCAGCCGGTGGCGGAGTTGATAAGAGAGTCCGGAGGGAGAAATCTCCAGTTAGGGTAGCAGGAAATCGACGGAATATCGTCTGAGGTTGATGTTATAGAGGGAGAACGATGAAAAAGAAAAGAGGGGAAAATTATAGGGAGATGGAGTGGGGAGTAAGTTTCGAAATCGCGACTTCTGATACAAAGCTGACCAGAAAATATTGTTGTGAAATTGCATAAAGAACCGTGAGATTTAGTGAAACTTCAAAATAAACCGAATAGACAATTGGCAAGGAATAAGGATTGTCAATTTTCAGTTTTGGTAAATCTGTACTTTGTAGTTTGTACACTTACATAATATAATTAATTGTACTAAAAAAGAAAAAGAAACAAAAGGTCACTACTTCGAGGCTGTATCCAGTATACCCGAGGGCACCGTGCCCCCCTCCTATTTTTTGCACGAGTAGTCCTTATTGTACTTTTTCCTCAATCTTTCTATATTTTACACGTTTAGTCCCTGTGAGTTTTTTTCTCTCTCTTCCAAAAAAAACATCCCTAATCTTTAAACGAGCAAATCTCCCAATCCGTGAAGAATTTGTGAACAAATTATATATGAAATTTATAGTACTCGTCGAGATCTATCCAACAAAATCCATAGTGAATATTTTTTCGGGCTTAAAAATCACTTAATTCTGATGGACAGAATAGGAATGGATATCCAGTTTTACAAGATGGATAACCAACTTGTTCTAAATTGGTTATCCATTGTGTTCATGGTGATTACCCACTCCATTTGAACTGGTTATCCATTTTGTTTCTACTGCTTATCCATTTGGTTATCCAACTTCTTAATTCAAAATAAGTTGGTTATTCATTTTGTTCATATTGATTATCCAATACGCTAATACTGGTTATCCAATGGATTTACATGCTTATCCAAGTTATTTGTACTGGTTATCCACTGTGTTCATGCTGATTATCCAACTTGTTTGTACTGGATATCCATCCATTTGGTTAGTATGCATATCCAACTCTAATCTTTCAACGAGCATATCTCCCAATCCGTGAAGAATTTGCGAACGAATTATATATGAAATTTATAGTACTCGTCGAGATCTATCCAACGAAATCCACAGTGCAAATTTTTTCGGGCTTAAAAATGACTTAATTCTGACGGGCAGAATAGAGGTGGTTATCCATCTTCTTTTTTTTTTTTGAAGAGTGAATGTCAAACATATGATTGGATAACAAGTACGAACAGAATGGATAATCACTCCAAACCGGTTGGATAATCAGCATGAACACAACGGATAACCATTTTTCAAAGAAAAACGAAAAACACATTTCTTTAATTTCTGCCCGTAAAATTTAAATACATTTAAAGTTCAAAAAAAAATTCAACATTGATCTTATCGGATAGATTTCGTCGAGCACTATAAATATCATATATAATTCGTGTTATAATTCTTTACGGATCAAAAGATACAAGGAACACAACGATATGCATGTAAAATAAGTTGGTTATCCATCTTCTTAAACTGGTTATCCACTGTGTTCATGTTGGTTATCCAACTTATTTGTACTGGATATCCATCCATTTGGTTTGTATGCATATTCAACTCTAATCTTTCAACGAGCATATCTCCCAATCCGTGAAGAATTTGTGAACAAATTATATATGAAATTTATAGTACTCGTCGAGATCTACCCAACGAAATCCACAGTGAACATTTTTTCGGGCTTAAAAATGACTTAATTCTGACGGGCAGAATAGAATAGAGGTGGATATCCACCTTTTTTTTTTAAAGAGTGAATGTCAAACATATGATTGGATAAATAGTACGAACATAATGGATAATCACTCCAAAACGGTTGGATAACCATTTTTCAAAGAAAAACGAAAAACGCATTTCTTCATTTTACGCCGTAAAATTTAAATGCATTTAAAGTTCAAAAAAAATATTCAACATAGATCTTATCGGATAGATCTCGTCGAGTACTATAAATTTTATATATAATTCGTGTTATAATTCTTTACGAATCATTAGATACAAGGAAAAGAATAATATGAATGTAAAATAAGTTGGTTATCCATCTTTTTAAACTGGATATCCAATCTGTTCATACTGGTTATCCAACTTGTTTGTACTGGATATCCATCCATTTGGTTTGTATGCATATCCAACTCTAATCTTTCAACGAGCATATCTCCCAATCCGTGAAGAATTTGTGAACCAATTATATATGAAATTGATAGTACTCGTCGAGATCTATCCCACGAAATCCACAGTGAACATTTTTTCGGGCTTAAAAATGACTTAATTTCTGACGGGCAGAATAGAATAGAGGTGGTTATCCATCATCTTTTTTTTTTGAAGAGTGAATGTCAAACATATGATTGGATAACAAGTACGAACATAATGGATAATCACTCCAAACCGATTGGATAACCATTTTTCAAAGAAAAACGAAAAACGCATTTCTTCATTTTTGCCCGTAAAATTTAAATGCATTTAAAGTTCAAAAAAAAATATTCAACATGGATCTTATCGGATAGATCTCGTCGAGCACTATAAATTTCATATGTAATTCGTGGTATAATTCTTTACGAGTCAAAAGATACAAGGAACACAACAATATGAATGTAAAATAAGTTGGTTATCCATCTTGATTATTTATGTTAATACTGTTTATCCAACTAATTAGTATTATTTATCCAACCTGTTTTTTTTTAATTTTTTTAAAAAATAATAAACTAAGTTGGTTATCCAACTCGTTTGTATTGGTTATCCAATCATTGGTTTTTATTGGATTATCCAATGCGCTAATGCTGGTTATCCAATGGATTTACATAGTTATCCAAATTGTTTGAACCGGTTATCCTTTGTGTTCATACCGGTTATCCAACTCGTGCACACTGGTTATCCAACTTACTGGATATCCAACTTATTCTGCCCAAAGAAATTTGATCATTTTTAAACTCAAAAAAAATATTTGAAATGGATCTTGTTGAATAGATCTCAACGAGTACTATAATTTTCATGTATAATTCGTTCACAAATTCTTCACGGATTGGGAGATATGCTCGTTGAAAGATTGGAGATGTTTTTTTTGAAAGAGAGAGAAAAAATGACAGGGACTAAAATTGCAAAATATTGAAAGATTGATAAAAAGGTATAATAAGGACTACTCATGCAAAAAATAGGAGGGGGGCACGGTGCCCCCGGGTATACTGGATAATTTGCCACTACTTCTTCTTCTTCTTAACTGTTTTTGAGGAGATATTTTGTTGTTATAAGGACATCTCCAACCAAGACACCAAAAAACATCAAATTTAGTGTTTTAGTGTAAAGATTGCACTCCAACGAAGACACCAAATCACTGCACTATTTTGGTGCAATGAACAGTGATACACCAGATTTGGTGTAAATTGTCTATTACACTATTTTTAGTGCACTATCTTTTATTTTGATCAAAATGTATGTTTGCTATGTAATTGAATTTGTAAAACGAATTATGTTGTGAAAATTATATCATATTAAATATTTTGTTGAAATCTTCAAAATAAGACCCATAATGAATATAAAATTTATCTTTTAAAAAATTAATTTTTAGTTAATAATAAAATTGAATATGAAACAAAATTGAAAAAAATGATATTACTACAATAAAATAAAAAGCGATTACAAAAAACAAATTTCACAAAATTATCAACAAATTACAAGATTTTAATTAACCATAAAATAAAATTTAACCTAAAACATTAAATATTTAAACCATTTGATGCCTCAATGTTGGAGATCAAAGAACTTTGGTGTAAAAAGATTTTTAGAATATTCTATTTTTGCACTAAACTTAGTGCAAATTATAGTGGAATGATTGAAGATGCTTTAAAGATTGTACTTCACGAAAATACCAAGTCACTGTACTATTTTGATGTAACGAACAATGTTACACCATATTTGGTGTAAATTGTTATTACACTACTTTTAGTGCACTATCTTTTTACTTTGATCTAAATATATGTTTGCCATATAATTGAACTTGTAAAAATAATTATCTTGTGAAAATTATATCATATTAAATATTTTTTTAGATCTTCAAAATAAGACTCATCTTGAATGTAAACTTTATTTTTAAAAAAATTATTTTTAGTTTTTATTAAAATTGAACATGAAGAAAAAAAAATGATAATACTACAATCAAATAAAAAGATTATACGAAACAAATTTCACAAAATTATCAATAAATTAGAAGATTTTTGTTGACAATAAAATAAAATTTAACCTAAAATATTAAATATTTAAACCATTTAGTGCATCAAGATTGGAGAGCA